TTAATTCGAATGTTACTTTGGATATTCTAGAAGTTATTTCCAATGAATTTTAAGATTCATCCTTTTTATCAACTTTATTGATCTTAATGAAGGAAAGAATTTTTTAATAGTACTCAACTTTATAGTTCAAATTTAACATTATGAGAGATTCAGAATTGCTTTATATCTTTGCAAATTAATAAATTAATAACTTAAATTTGTTCATAACTAATCTCTCTCTGAGTGGAAATATAACAATTCCTATCACTGATAGAAACCATTATTTATTTAATATTTAATGCACTTAATTTACTTTACTAAATGTAATAATATCTAATGTTAATGATCCTTTTATATTTTATGTTGCTGATAACTATGAGATAATAATTAAAAACCTTAAATTTATAAATTCATAAATTTACCAAAAAATTCCATTATCAAATTCATGCAAAAATTAATTTGAACAAAACAATAACCTATTTTTTATTGAAGGATTTTTCTTAATTACTTTAGATCATATTTTAATTAAATACTAATAAAGTATTGATAAATCAATAATAGGAATAAGATCAAGCAAAAGTTATTTAAGAGATCTTGAAGGATAAATTAAGATAACAGATTTAATATTTAATGGAAACGTTCTCTTATAGTAGAATTAATCATAATTTTTTTCTCTTCTAGCAATTGAGTCGCAAGGAGTGACAAGCATATTCATTCAAGACATAAAATATCTATCGAATTGTCTTCATTCATATGCAAATAATCAATTTCAATCTTTTGCAGGTTTAATTTACATCAATTGCAAGACTGGCTATGTAGAGATAATTAATATGAATAGCTTTCAAAATGCTGCTACGAATACATCAAATTCCTTTATACAAATTATTTCAAATACAATTGTCTTTACAAATACTACAATCTCAAACAATAATATTCTACCTCAATCATTCTGGGGTAAATACTATAATATAGAATTTGCTGAGTAGTATTCTTAAGAATAAATAAATTAAATTGTTTAATAAATATTAAACATTGAAAATATTGGAGGAGTTGCTGTGGTAAAAGCTTAAAATTTTACCTGCAATTTTTGTTACTTTAATGATATTTTAGTCCTTAAAAGTTCCATCTTTCAAATCACTACTCAAGGAGAAGGCATTATTGAATTAAATTCCATTTTAATTAATTCTACTATCAATAATATGAAACTAAACACTAATGGTTCTGGATGTATAAGTATAAATTCTGAGAACAGTAAATTAAATCTCAAAATATCCAATGCCACTTTTTTTGGATGTAATAAATAGAATGACATCTTCAATCCTTACACTTATTCCATCTAATGTTTAGAATTATATTCTGCTTTTAAATGTTTAAATAGAAAATTGTATTTCATTGTATAATTAACTTTTAAAGGCAACCTTTTTAAGTCAAATAATCTTGAAAAATACAATTACTTTTCAAAATATCAAAATAATTCAAAAAGAATTGGCTTGGAAATAGTATTTTTAGAAATTAGGAGATCTGACTTAAAATGAGATTAAGGAAATCATAGACGAAAATAATGCTATTTTGAATTTAATAGGTAGTTCGGTTTTTATTAAGAATTTCATTGTAGAAGGTCTTTATTTTAGTCCTCTTTTAAAAATTCAAGATGCTCCAAAATTCATTATATAGAACTGTCAAATACAAGATATTTAAATTATGTATCCTTTGGATCTCATTCATTATAATGAGATCTATCAATTGAAAACTCTGATATCTTTCCAGCATTTAAGCATTATCAATGTTTCAATTTACACCAACAATTTGATAGAAATTTAAAGAGTACCAGAAGATAAATATATTATTAAAGAGTGCCATCATTTGATAAGATAACCTTAAAAAACTCACACCTCATTTACTTTTGAGAACATAACTCAAAAATTTAAAGATCAAATTCAATTAGGAAAGTCACTACTTCATTTAAGTAGTATTTCAAACCAAAGTCGATATTTGATATCTTCAGTATAAGTTAATTTAAATAATTGTTCATATTGTTCAAATGGACTAATCTTTTTTTAATAAGACTCATTTTAAACTTTATAACTCTTAAATTTTGAGTGTAATTTTAATAATATTCTATTTCATGGTTGCTTAAGATTTATTCTGAAGAATAGACCTTTAAATGATGTCATAATTCGAAATTCAAATTTTCTATATAATAATGGTACATCAGGAATAGCGGTTTTAGGAATAAATACTTCAATCTAATTGAAATCCTGCTACATTATGCACAACAATGCTAGTTTGTAAGGCGGAGGACTGTATTTAGACCTAAATAGTGAGAATTTTGTAATAAGCCAATCATTATTACTATATAATTATGCAAAAGAGGGAGGAGGAATATATTTAAATGGAGATAATAATTTAAATATTGAAAACTTCCATAATTCATACTTACAATTCAATAAGGCAGAATCATTTGGTAATGATTTAGTTGAAAGTCCAACGCATTTGGCTTTGAATATCAATAATATGGAAATGATGTCAAAGTTTTCAGCTAATTAGAGTCAAATACGAATTTTAAAGCTAGATCCATATTTTATCTTAGATTAAGAAGTCAAAATATCAACTCAATATTTAATGATACCAAGTAATCAATAGTTGAAGTAGTATAAAATATATTTACCAAAGAATTAAGAATCCATGCCTTATATAAATTAAATTTACTTAACGCATAAAAATAGTAGAGATGAACTACTACTTAACTTTAATAAGCCAACCTGTAGTATAAGTTAAACAATAGTATCAGATGCTTCGAATAAGATTATTGATGCTCCCTCAAATTACACTTTAGAATATGATTCTGATAATCATTATTTTGATTTAAAGGAACTAATCTTTCGATTTGATCCATACAAGTAGACGAACAACTATTTACAAATAAAATTTAATTGTTCATCTGTGATTTAAAACAAATAGTTAATATATTTAATTTAAGCGAGAAGTTTTAAATGCTAATTAGGAGAAATTTATTCAAACAATGGATGTTAAATTTGCCAATCGTCTTAAGGATTTTATTCTGTTTAATATGATTAATAAAAATGCTCCACTTTTGATAAGCAAAAATTTGCTGATATAACCTCGAACAACATCAAGTTATTAGAGGGCTATTGGAGACCTAATTATTTATCGGATAACCCTAGTGTCTGTTTTAAGAATGTTAAATTTTGTCTAGGAGGATGGGGAGTTGGAGATTAATTGTGTAGTTTAGGTCATATAGGAGCTTTGTGTGAGGAATGTGATACTTATGATATCAAAGGAGAAGGATAGTATTTTAAGAATTTACAGAACTCAGAATGCTAAGTATGTTTTGGGGTTGATGACAGCATAATTCCTTTCATAATAACTTCACTTTGGTATATCAATATTTAACTGTAGGGCCTGTTTCTCAGTACAAATAACATTTAAAAGTATAGCTAAATCGAAAAGACCATTTGCATCTTTAAGTTAAGAGAAAAGCAGAGTAAAATAATATTTAAATTAAGTTAAGTTAAGGTATTGTTTGAATAATCTATTTAACTTCTCCTTTTCTTTTAATTTTATAGATTAAGCCAGTAATAACTCATATTTTATGGCTAATAACTTAGACTGATACTTATCTACTTATCAGAGTATTCATAAATTCTATTAGTTTTCTCTAAAGTAATTTCTGTAATGATGTTAATACTATATTAATTTGTGATCATTCTATTAGGATCATACATTTACTCTAGGATTGTAAAATCTAAATTTTATTGCAATACTGTTTCAAATATTACTCTTAGCCTCTATATTTTTAATTATGCAGGATTAATCAAGATGTATCTATCAATTATAGGTTTAGAGTATGTTCATTCTATTCTTGGAGGGTAATATCAGATCTTAAATACATTAAGGTGATGTCTCTTTAAGAAATGACACTGAGTATAATAACAAGTGATTTCATTCCTTTATTATCCCAGATCTGATTTTTTTTGGTTATATAATTCCTTTATGCTTATTTTGTTTATTTTATGCTTAAAGAAAAGAGTTGGATTCTATTAGTCTAAGAGGATATATTTGTAATTAATTTAATGAATATGATTAAGACAATAACTAATTAAGCTCTCAAAAAAAGCAGCTATGATATTTATCATGATATATTTTGAAATTAATATTTATATAAAGGATACATTATTGGGTTTGTGCTTGGTTTTAGATGAGTTGATTCAAATTAGAAATAAGGCATATATCATTTTCAAGTTTAATGCTTTAGGTTTGTACTCTCGGTAACTATGCTAAATTTCAATATTCTTAGCAGCTGCAAAATATAATAACGAATAACAAAATGATATAGTCTCATCAATCGCACTTTAAGTGTTGCTCATTATATTTTGCTTTAGATTATGTCAACCATATTTGGTAGAAATCATTAGGATATACAATAAGAAATATAAAGTTCTGTTTTTCATGAAACTAAACAAAATCTTGAGGTTGCTAAAATTAGACTTTATAGTCTAACTTCTGGATATATTGGCTACTTCAAATGAAATTTTAATAATTGCAATTACAACGCAATCTCAATAAATTAAACTACGATCACTAGCAAGAAGCCAAGTTACAAATAGACGGTATTATAAATCTTACAAATTTAGACTCATTACTTCTTAGATTAATTCTTAATGGACATATAGATTTAGATAGAATAGTCCGGATGTGGAACATAAATCATTAGTACCTCTCGTTACAGATTGATATTCATTTGGTTATATTATAAAACGTAAACTTTTTAATTAATAATATTTCTGGTTGGTTTTTCTAATCAAGAGAAAATTATTAGCATTAAATAAAATCTTTATAATTTAGCATTTATAAAATTTATCAATAAAATTATTAATATAAAAAAGAAATTAGAATTGTTGTAAGTTATGTTGAAATTAGAAACTTCAGGTTTGATTTCCTGTTACATAAAATGATTTAATATTATATAGATATTGGACAATAATATTCTTATATCTATCTCATAAATTCAAAAGTTTGAATTTTATTTCCCCGCTTTTATTAAGGGATAATGTTGGAAAACAAATTTGTTATTGCCTTAAATAGCAAATATTAATACTCTTTTTTCTCCTAACGTTTCTTTTAAATTGTATGCCATCGCAACTTTTTCAAATTTTTTTCTATCCTTGAACTCCTCTATGTCCATTAATCGAGTTTTCTATTTAACTTCAAAATTAAGCTTGATGTAGGTTATAATGTTTGTAAAATATTTATGAGTAGTGTGAGAATTTTATCTTTGTATTTACTATAATAAGCTGAAATAATATCATGAAGATATGGAAAACTAAATCTAAAACATATAAGCACAATCAAAATTGACAAAATTCTTGCTTACACATAATCTCCTTATTATTCACAAAGATATTAAACAGCAGCTAAGAAAATTGCCATTAGACATAATTATCCAGAAATCAAATCCAATCTATTTAATTTTGGATAAATGTAAGGTAGATATGTTGACTAGATTATTTAATAGATAGTTAAGCACATACCAATCAAGAAACCTTTAAAATATACATTCGTTTCAAAGTAAATCAATATCACAATAATGATTGTTTTCTTCCATAACTTTACCCATTCCCAAAAAGATCGATTAATACTATATTCATTAAATAAATAGCCAATGTGCCTTCTAAATGGTATTTTATCAAATAATTATCTGTTTTGGTACAAAAACAAAAGTAATGATATTGGTATAATTAAACCAAACAGTAATGATATTGGCAATGCAAATTTATACATCCATGCCGAGTGAGTCGATGACCCAAAGAGAAGAGATACATCTCCTTAAACATATTCAATATTTGAGATTTCCCTTTTGGCCAAAATTGAAAAAAGCCTTAAATAATCATATTATCTTACTGATTTATTAATGCAGCATAGTTTTAAATATACATGTAAATTAATGTAATCGAAATTATGTTATTACGAAGTTTGACCATTGCTAACATTGAGATTATGTTGACAACTACTTAAACGATGAATATTTATAAAGCGATTAAAGTAAGCATCATAATTATTCTTGCATATATCAAATCGATTTCAAATGATTAGGAAAGCTCACAATCTAAATTGCGAGTCAGGAAATATGAGGTATCACTTATTTAGTTAACAAAGATAAATGAAAATGAGAATTGAATATTGAAAGTAAAAATAACAGAAAATATCCAAATATAATTAAGAAATAGCTTTAACAAGATACTCTCTTAATCTAAAAACAATATTTTAATATTTACTTAAATTCATTTTGAACAAAATATGCGCAAATTTTTGAGTAAGTTTAAATAGAGCAAATAACTAATTGGTTTTTTCTACACTAGCTAATGTTATAAAGGTTGAAAGAAAAACCCTAAACTAAATTAATTTATTACCAAGCTGTTATCAGAATTAAGGATAATATGTTAATAGAAACGTTGCTGCAATTCAAACATGTAGATTGATCATTTTTAAAATAATATCCATCTCCTCTGATATTATGTTTATCACACTCTTCACATAATCCTCCTATATACCCAGTTTTACAAATATCATCACCAACTAGCCAACCACCTTTACATGATTCAATATTTTTGAAACAATCATTTACTAAATCCGACTATTAATGAGGTCTCCAAAATCCAGGTTTCAAATCAATACTGTTGGAAGTAATGGCTTCAAATTTGGTTTTATCAAATATTGAACACTTTGTGGCATTGTAAGTAACAGAATAAAAACCTTGTTTTGATTAGCATGTCAAACAACCATTTAAAACATAGAACTCTCCCAATTAACAAAGTAGACTTTTTACCTTTATATTATAAGATAACTCTTAAATCTAATTTTTGGTTTTACAGTAGATTTAAATTTCATACTATTTGTCAGTTTGATTATATGGATCAAAAGTGAAAGTCAACATTCCCAGGTCGAATTTGCTTGTAGTTTAATTAAATTAAATTGATGAAACATTAATTGATTCCAATCTGGTTTATTTCTTAATATCAAATATCTATTCAATGATTTAACAAGTTGAATTAGTAAAATTGAGCAATTATTCATTAAATCTATTTTTAAATTGAATTGATAACTCACTTATATATGAGGTAAATTTATTCTATTTAGGATTGTATAAATCATATTTTGATGTCTCTTAATTGCTAAGAATCATCAATTTACTTTCCATCATTTCTTTACCTTATTAAATTATTTGATATGGACTTAATTTTAATGACTTTGTAAATATTTAATCAAATATAAAATCTGAAGGCATAATTTAATTATTGATTGACAGATCTAGATGAGAAGGTAACTCTTACAAATTATTTGTAGTTAATTCAGCATGATTAAAAAGTATGAGTGAATTCGCAAAATTCATTTCACTTAGAATACTTTCACTAGTTAAATAAATTCCTCCCCCTTCTCTTGCTTTATTATATTAAATAAGCGTTGAAATTATATTGAAATCTTTATTATTAAGATCAAAATATAATCCACCTCCTAATAAAGTGGCAGTATTATTCAAAATCTTGATGTTAAGCAAAACTGTCTTGACGTTTTTTGAAGATACGGCTATCCCTTACCCACCAGTATTATTAATAAAAAGAGAATTTCTAATAATTAACTTACCTTAAATTTGTTTATCAGATAAAGCAGTAATACATCCATATTGCTTTACGTAATTTCCATTACATGATAGTTCTTGAATCTAGATCTTTAAAAATTCAACTAATTAAAAGTAGATTAAACCATTCTTACAAGTCTTGCAATCATTATTTTTTAATAATATAGATTGTATAATTATTTTTGTTAAGTTGTTTGAAGATTTTATATATAAGATCGATCCATTTTAAGTGGAATATGACTGAATCAATTCAAAATTATTTTATTTTACTTCTAAAACATTTCCATTTATTGGAAGAGATACAATCTTTAATTTTTAACATTTAGAGTGCTCTATATAGAAATTTGGGTAGCCTTAAGGAGTTAAAATCTAATGCTAATTATTAAACATGCTTATTTCATAGATTTTTAGGTTAAGAATCTAAATTATTGATTTAAACTATGCAACTTATTCAATATGAAGCAAATTCAAATTGTAAAATATAGTAATATAAGTAAGTTCAATATTCACTATTTATATTTTCTTGCAATTTATCAAATTTAATATGCCAATTAATGCAAATCCTTCGAATTTAACATTATGAAATTTTAAATTGCATCCTTAAATATTAAAAATAGCATTATCTTAAGTTATTTTTGATAAAATTATTGGCTCCAAGATATTAAGCTATCTGTTGTACTACAATTACCCTTATTAACTTTATTGTATAAAAATCTCCTCTATATTTACTTAATTTTAATCAGCTTATTCAGCAGGGAATATGAATGCTAAAAACATATTGATTAAAGAGAAACAATTTGAGATTTGGACATTTTTTATGAGAATATTATTTGAAATCTCTGATGGTTTAAGAGATATGATTGCTGGAGCTAATTGATTATTAACTTCTGTGAAATTAAAATTTTAGAGCATCAAAGTTAAATAACTATTTTAAGAACTTATACTGATTGAGCCTTCTTATTCCTAATTTGAAAGTAAATTATTTTGAGAATTAGCAACACTACAATATTCTAGAATGACAATTCCGTTCCCTCTGGTTATAATATCTAGGACAGAGCTACTTTTGGCAATTATGTATTATAATTATCCATTTTATAAAGTGAATTTATTTGCGATTATTTACATAGCACCACCTTTATTTTTAATTGAAAGTATTTATTCGATCATATAATTAACTTCTATCTAATTGAGGTCATTTTGCAATTCAATATCATAATACTTATTCCAAAACTCCATTTTAAGGTAATTATGGTAGAATACTTTAATTTATACTACTTTAGCTTCACTAGAGCTGATAGCAATAAAGGAATTAGAAGAATTTGTTAGCGAATTCTGAAAACACTAAATATTTTAAAGAACTATTGAACTATTCAATGAGTTAATAAAAAGCAAACTAGCGGATGTTTATTTCGGATCTTCAGTATATTAATAGTAAGAATTTTCTTCATACAAAATATTCTCCAAATGAATTGACTAAACTTTATCTGAAAATATTGATAAAATGGAAAAATAATTTCCTTAACTAATTTTCGTCAAAATATTTCTAGTAAATGTAATATTTTAGATTGTAATATTTTCAGATATTTTATTTATGATTGAATCATTTGATTGAATATCAATAAAAGATTAATCTATAGTAATCTAATTAGCAAATTTTATGAAACCTAAATTGAGAGTCTCAAATCCTTTCACAGATAGTAATTTCGAATATTAATAGTCGTTAATTGCACAATCTTAATTAAGGGGAATTTTAAATTCTTAATGCTCATTTTATACAGATACATTCGTGAATGTAATTTTTGATACGTTATATAAATAAAAGTAGCGATGATTAAAAGTATTTAATATGGATAAATTCTAAACTAAAATATTAGTACAACTAAGTATAAATGAGTAATCTTGGATTTCTTTTTTAGGGTTATTATTATCTCTAAAATCTATATTTGTTAATTCTATTTTTATTGCTTTTATTTTGTTTTAATCAATAATAAGTACTTAAAAATACTGGAAGATATTAGAAGATATATCAAAATCATCTAATTTTATTTCATTTTAATAATTTATCGAGAATTATTTCTCAAACAAAATTGATTATAGAAATTTATTTTTTCTTAGTAGAAAGTGAAAGCAAAAGAGATCTTTACTAAATTTTATAAGCTGTGAGTTGATAATCTAGTTTTCAATCATTTAAAGAGATTCGATATATAACATATTGTTATCATAATTTGATAAAATTGAAGAATTAATAATTATTGAATTCTTTATCATTACATCTTTTATTCTTATCTAAGACGATTCTTTCATTAGTTTAATATTAAGCAAATGTAAAATTATTTAATTAGCATCCATCAATCAAAAGGTTTTCAATTACAATATTTTTTGAAGTAATATTAAAATTAAACAAAACGGTATTGTTTATGCAAGCAGTCTATCAGGAAGAAGAGGTCTATCAGAATATCTTAATTTGATATACTCTAACCTACCTAAAAAATAATTTAATTATCAATATTAGCATTTTTAATTGACACATTTTGAAATTTTAAAATCTGATGAAAATTCAGAGTGATCCCAAATTTAATTGGTTTTAGCTTATTTGAATAGAAGCTGCTATTTTGTATTTGATAATCTATTGCTCCTTAATTATTATAAAACTGTAATCTAAGGTCATTCTTTAAATTTACAAACAAATTATTTAATTCTATTTAATTAAAATTATTAAATTGATAATCTGAAAATACCGATAGATATCCTTTTAAGCTTAGTTTAAGTACTTGGATTGAAAATACTTTTGTTTAAATGTAATTGGTAATATTAAGCTTACGATAACTGCATATAATCTAAGTCTAAAAAAAAAGTCTTAGAATGAATTGTTGTAGACCAATTTCATTAAAATAAGAGAAGTCAAAGTTATTCTCAAAAAATTCAGTCATATTTGGATCAAACAGATTTGAATTAATGTTACAAGGCACTGTAACCTATTATTATTATAAATCAGTACTGAATATTCAAACAATAACCTTTGGAACCTACCAGTGTTAACTATTTAGACAAATTCCATCTATTAATTAATACAGAGCCCAACAATAAGTACATATTGGTTAAGATATTTAAATTTAACATTTGAAACAATATGAAAAAATGAAACATTTTGGATATATAGTTTTTTTGCATTTCAAGCAAAAATTTGAAAAATGAGCAAAAGTCTATATGTAATCTGAATAAATATCAGACTGTTCTTCTGAATTCTCGCTTACTTTTAAATCATTTCCATCAAAAAAATACTATTATATCCCTTCATCCTGTTTTGTAAATGGTACTTGATTATTATTTGCTACATAATTATATTAACAATATGGATTTTTTATCCAAGTTTTTGGATTTGTAATACATTCTATACAAGTTATTAATCTTTCTTTTATTTTAGAAGGGCTATGTCTATTATAAATAATTACCATTTCCAGCATTAATCTTCAAATTCAAAATATCCATAAGTACATTAGAACTTTTTTTCATTCCCTTAAGACAAATTTAGTTAAAAGGAGTGGAAATCTTTGCATTCTCCATCAATATCAATTTTCCCATATTAACAAACACAAGCTTTCTATTTTTGGTTATATATTCTATTTGAAGTAGAATAGCAAGACAAACAATCATATTTAGTTGGACCGTCGCATTCCAAACAGGATAGATGACATAGTTCTGGATTAATTTCTATGTCGCAGTTATATAAAGCCATATTTATTAATTAGATTGTTAAGTAGTTGATACTTTGCAATATATTACCACTAGTTACTTTAAATCTAATCAAATTAAAATGATTAACATTAGACTCAAATGAATATTCTTTAACTTTTCTTCCCTCGTAAAAGTTTATTGTTACCAACAAAGAGTATTTACTCTTCTTTACAATTAAAAAATGCCATAATTGTATATTCATATCTATATCGAAAGTTTACCTAATTAAAAACGGATTATCTGAAAAATCAATATTTATTGTTGGGAAAGTGTAACTGTATGTTGTTATAATGATCTGATTGAGGCTTTGAGTCAACTTATAATAAAGTGAAAAAGCTGATAGGTTATCATTCACTAATTTTGGATTCTGAAAGTGTGAAGATAATTTTATTAATTGATAATAAATTTCTTTTTCATAAAAGATCTTTTCTTTGATTCTAATCCATGTCGTAAAAAAAAATTGATCACAATTTGGATTTTGTGATATAAAATATTCCTAATTAAGGTTTGAAATAATTGTATCAGGAATATTAGGAATATCATTGGATGTACATATACAAAGGAAATTGCGATTTCCAAAAACAGAAATATCATAATTATCTTTCATATTATAAGTAGATGGAAGATAGTACCTCATATTTCCTGGAAAATAACTAAAAATAGATATTTCTGGATTAAATAGGGTTTAATTAAAATTTATCTATAGACTTCCTCCTATCAAATATGATGAGTCCGTATCATAATTTTAATACGAAAGACTATATTCTTGCGTATCGAATTCTTGACCGTTTTTGAAAGCTGTTATGATAACTTTTTTTTCAGCTAATGCAACAATAACACCTAAAAAGTACCAGTATGATTCATATTCAAATGTGTTTAATAAATATGTATGTTTGTAAATTTTAGTATCCTCACCAACAAATGTATAAGTCTTTTGTATTTATTTTTTTTAATAATCTACACAATCATAATATAAAAAGTTAATGTTATTATCTTTAGTATCTCTGATATTAAATATATGATAGCAATTACTGTCTAAAATTCCAATATCTCCTAACTAATTAATCTCAATCAGCGGATTATATCTTGTAAAAAATCCATAAACATAGCAGAAAGGACCATCTTTATCGTTTTCTGGTTTCTTAAACGCATAATTTTTAATTTAGTATTACAGGTCCATCTTAGCAATTGGCAGGCCTTCTGCATATTACAAACCAGAAAAACATAGCAAAATTAGGTAATTCATCTACATCAGATATTTTAAATAAAAAATTTAGATATTTTCTCAATATTAATAACGTAAATTATTTAAAATCCCTATGAATTTACATTAATGTATTTTTTTCATTGAATTAATAATTGTAGATCGTATAATATATATTTCATCACTAACTGTTATTTAATAATTAGAAAAATATTATTATATCTAATATTTCATTGCTTCTTGCAAACAGATACTGTAAAATCGCACCAACTTGCCACAATCAAATTGTTTCCACTTATTAATGCTCCAGATACTCCTTTTGGTAATTCTGTATTTTGAGCAAGATAAATTAGTTTGTCTGAGGTGAGATTATATTCTGCAACAGTTCCCCAATATTCAAATTTTGTGTCCTTTTCTAATCTATTAATTCCTTTTAAGAATGCATCTAAAGAAAAATAATTATGTAATTTTGGAATCAACCCTAAAATGAGAGAATTTCTATCAACGTCATATTCCAAATTATCAATTGAATTTTCGATATCAATAAATCTTTTGAATACAAGACCTGATGGTGTTATTTCATATTCGTTTAATTATTTTGCAATAGTATCACCCGCCCAAACTCGATTCTTTCTATCCCATGTGATTCCATTCAAAACAACTCCAGTCAAAGGAGCATCAAGTAATTCCTTGCAATTTGGTTTTATTATTGTGCCTTCCTTTTGAAATTTGCAATCTACAATGTATGAAGTTCTTTATTGGCTTACCCACAAAAATACGGTTTTTAATAAATGTAATGGAGTAATTTAATGTCTACCTTCCTTTGGATCTGTGTATGGCATATACTTAGTGATTAAAAACCGATTGTCTTCGATCAATATCAAATCATTTAATATTCCATTGTATTTGTCATCCATTATGATTGAATGTCTATACTCAAGATTGAGGTGTTCATCTAATATTTTGAAGACTTCCACTCTTTCTCCTCCATTTTAATATGCATGATTAATTGCATAAATATAGACTCCATCTAATTATTCTCTAATATCAATTCCATGTACATATAAAGAAATATCATTTGGAAAATTCTTAATTCCTAATTTCACAACTTTTGGTGCCTATTCTTACGAATCCACTATTGCATATAGTCCTAATTGCTCTAGAATGGGTTTTCCAAGGGACCACAACTTATGATAGTCACCAGATCCAACAATTATTGTTGTTGAGTTGAATTTTTGCATGTCTTCTGGCCCAAAAATATCTGTGCTCAAATGTTGGCAATGCGAGTACGTATTTACAATAGGAACACTCTTGAAAGCATCGAAGAATCCAATAATCACTTTAATCAGATAAGAAATTATTGCTCCAGCTATCAGAATCCAAATTTTCATAGAATAAATTGAAATTATCCGCATTAAATTTGATCAGATATAAATTTAAAACGATGACATCAGCGTCAACAGATTGATGATGTAGACATTATTAATTCAAAGATTGCATAATAATTGATTTCATTGAAGTGTTCTTTTGAATAATTTTATTTATAAAAGAACTTTCAAATTTTATTATTATCAGAATATACATAAGTAATTTTCTATTCTAATTATTTAACAACAATATAGTATGCTGCAAATCTTTATCAAGAACAGAAATTAGCTTTAAATAATAATTTGGGTTTAGAATAAAAGTTTTCCTTTTAATTTTAGCTTTCAAGAAATAAATTGTTTTTTTCTTAATTAAAATTATTGCTTAAAGTAATACTAATAATCACCTTATAATTTTCTCTAATTCATTGAAACATTATTATTAATTGAAACATTTCCCTTTTGATAATAATAGTTATATTATTGTTGCTATTTATTATTATTAGGTTTATGATAATTAAGTGATAAATCAATATTTCACTTAAAACATTACTAAATAACACATAGACTTAATTCATAATACTAAATAACATTCTAATTGTATTTAAATGTTGACTAATTTTTGGAGACCATATTTAATTATTAGACTGAATATAATTATATAACATAAGAAAGAATATTTAATCGACAAGATATTTACTTAAATTCTTTTTGCTACTTTCTGATTCTTAATAATTTAACTATTTAAGTCTAAATTTATATAACTTGTTTTGATTCTCCTACCCTATTTAATTTTAGAAGAAAATTTGTTAATAAATTATATTGTAATGCTTATATCATCAAGATCCAGTTGTTGTGGTTGTATTAGTAGTGCTACTACTATCGGTTGCTAAAGATCCTTTCACTTAATCTGGTGTATTGAATTTTCCATCATCCAATCCTAATGCTGATAATACAATTAACACTATAATGGCTATAAAAATTAGACCAATCAAACACATTAATAATTTGTCTGTATAAACTTATCTAGCCATTAATTTTAAAAAGAAACCTTGCAAAATATTTTATATATTTGGCTGATCTTTTCAAAACAGATTAAGTGTCCATAACTGTGTCATACATCCTATCCAATTATGCTATTTGTTTATCTAATTCCATGTTAATTTAATCTGCTAATTCATTACCCTTATTAACAGTTCCTATAATGTCATCTAATTTATTCATTGCTAAAAATTATTGATTCTATAAAGTACCATTCTACTACATCTAATCTCCCATATCGATAACTTATTATCTATTCATATCTTCCAATCTTTGAGGTTACTGCTCTGATCTTCCTTTAAAGAGATTCTCCTATGTCTGACCTTCATTTTTTTTAAACTCTAATTCAGATTTCAATCGCTAAAATCTTTAGTTAATTGATCTTAACGAGTCGTTGTACCTAAAGTAAAACTTTTAACTACTTAGCACTCTGAACTTTATCAAGATTACTTATCTCTAATTCATAACTTTCAATCAAGGTGGAAATGCTTTTCACTTGGGCTTGACATTTTTTAATTGCAGCATTTTTTTGATTGTATTCCTTTTTGCTTAAAGAGTCTATTTCTTTTTATAATTTATCTAATTCAGCATTCAGATTAGAATCAAATTCGTCCAATTCAGTCATATTTTTTGATTTAATTTATAATGTGATTTACAAGAATTTAATAATTTATATGGAAGAAATCTAATTCACTTTAAGACTAAAAGATTGTTTTTAGAACAGTTTTCTATAAATCATGTCTATAATATAACTTTGGAGAATAGGTGGAATAAAACAGAAAGATTAATATTTAATAAAATGCTTCTATTAATTATAAATATTATAATAATCAGTTAATGCTAAATAAAAGTCAAAACTCTATGCAGCTTTGTTAATTATGTAAAATGACTAGTTAAAATCCTATACAACTTATCTGCTCGCACTCACTTTGTTTAAAATGTGGACTAAAGATATAGATACAAGAAAACACTAGGTAATTAATAGATCAACAATTAGTCAGATACAAAATAAGTTTCGCATATAATGTCCGAAATGTAATAAAATAACTCTAACCTATGATATTAAAAATTTATTATTGGAGAGCAACGAATTATATTTGATAACTGATTCTAGTGAGATGGAGAAGGAGGTCTTAAATGAAGTAATTGTTTTTGCATATAACAACAGAGCTAGTTTTCTTTGCAAAAAAATTAATAGGAGGCAATTTTTGGCAGAAGAGAATCTAATGCTTATCAAATCTAAGAGGTCTTTTCAAAGAACTCTTAAATGTTGAATGCATAAGGTATTAACAACAATCCTCAAATTGCTTTTAACCATAATCAGTCCAATAAAAAGAAACCTATTATTGGAAATGAGAAAACATCTCCAACAAAATAATTCTAGAAGCCTGCTTAATAGAATCACTAAAAAAAATAATAATACTAAGTGCCTCAACCAGAAATCGTTTTAGAATGTAATAAAAAAATTATTTTACAGGTAAGGCCAAAACTCAAGCAAACACATCAAATGTTTAATAGTAAAAATTAAATGATTTTTTAAAGCCGAATTCCAACACTCCTGTTGCTACTCCAACCACACTATCTTCTTAATTATTATTCTAATAGACTGATAATAAGAAGTAGATCGCTTAAGTTTAAGCTGTTTAGCAATATAAGTAAAAGCAAAAGACGCAGAATACCAATATATACGTGCAGGAACATCAATAAAGTACTATAAATCAAAATTAATCAGACGTTGTATTTCCTCAATAAAATAAAAAAAATAACCAAAACAATTTAGAGAGTGTCTATCATTAACAAGCTCAACACTAGAACAGCATATTCGACAAGTATAATGACAATACCAAATAAATGCTATTTGATGACAAATAGAGATGCACAATAGAGTTGAATAAGGAAAAGGAGAATCAATTTTTGAAGGAAATCTCTAAAGATTGTTAAAACTCATCCAATTAAACTTCAGACAATTCCAGACATAAGAGAAGTTCTACTGGCTTAATTTAAGAGGTTGAAGAAAATGCATCAGTTTAGATAATCTAATCATATTTTTAAATGGTTTAGAAGAATGTTTAGAAATTGGAACGAGAGGTGATAAATGCTGCAAATGGCAAATAAATTGATCCATAAATAGTATACTCTAAACTCAAGGTATTGACATCAAGAATCGGAGACAATGATGGGGAGTTAGTCCAATCAATTAAGGTGATGCAAAAACTGCAACAAGAAATTTTAGGACTCTCTACTCCATCTTAGCATAGAAAAACAAGTTCTCATTAAAATACCAGTCATAGATATACTAATTCTAGCAATTATGGAAAGAATATAGAGAAAAGTGATCAGAGTATAGGAGCTATGCCTTAAGAGTTAAAAATATATAAAAAGTTCTTATGATTTAATATTATATATATTGATATTTCTGTTACTTCATAGGTCCAGTTTAAAATGCTTCAGCTCGCAGGGATCGTTGATTTCAATGGCGGCTTTTTAAGATTACTTGATAAAGTCCTTCACGGGCTTTTCATTCTTTCCATATTGGATTAAGCTCTAAAATTAGAAATAGTGCGTACTTTGAGGTATTAATTGATTTCAATTTTTCTTTTTTGAACAAAGTGCTGATCCATGTTACCAAAGAGTCGTTTTTCAGGAAATTTGGTAAGTCGTTGGGACACGTCTTTGTTCAACTTTGAGTGGAGTCCTTCTAGAAGACTATATCTGGTTTAAAATATCCAATAAAGTGATCCATAAGTCACTTTAATTTAATAGATTGTAAATTATTTTTCTACAATTTTGTGGTTAATCACTTCGATTTAATAGTCACAGTTCTAAATTATAATATAAGATTACTTATTATTCATATTGTTTACTATTCAGTGATTTTTTAGGATTCTTATTTTTTGGTCTCTTCAGGAAGGACAAGATGGGTAATTGATTATCAAGACCATTCAGGTTGTCTTAATTTGATATGTTGAGTTGTTATTCAGTTTAGTTAGCCATTTTTGATGGTTATTAAATATGTGAAAATGGGAAAGGTTAGACAGATCTAAACTTTTTATTTTATTTAATGTAATTGAAAATACAAATTTTAGTATATAAAGTGATTATATTATCAGATTTTTTTAGTGCTATTTAAAGCAAAAATAACAACATATTCAATTTTACTATAATCTTCTAGAAATTAAGAGGAAACCCTTTGATTGTAAAAAATAAGGGGTTTTGAGTCATTATAATTAAAATTTCTCTTCTACATTTTCATATTGCTGAGTTCAACTAAAATGAATTAAAAAGACAACGATAAAATTTATACATAAGGCGCCCAAAGCTAAATGATTTGGCTCAACATACTGACGTAGAATGACTTAAAATATAAGTTTTATAAATCAAATTGAATATATACTCTTATATGAGATGTTTAAAAAAGTCTTCTATTTTTATTGTATAATACATTTTTATGCATCAATATATTTATATTTCTCTTAACTGAATGAAAAATTACATATAATAGAATTATCTTCACAATTCAAATTATGTTCATAGTAGCAATTTCTAGAACCAATACAATTTAACATTTATGCTTTAAATATTAATATGCTTGATGTTTTTTATTAGTATATTTAGAGTTGAGTAGCAAACATTGTATTTTTCATGTTTAAAAAAAGGAATCCAATATTGAACCAATAAATACCCTCAAATGAATGTACATCTAACTCACAATTTTTGGGAACTTTTTGTAAGTCGCCCTATTCATTAAAGGATTCAATCTAAATTAAAAAAAGGACACAATTAAATCTACAATAATTGATTATTTGGATGAAATGGAAATTAAATTAACGATATCGATACCATAAATGCACTCTAACACATTATTGAGAGAGGAGGATATGTAAATTTGGTTTATATTATACAATAAGTTAGATGTTTAGAAATTAGTATGTAAATTTTAACAGAAATTAAATGTAAAAGTCCGTGATATGATGAATTATGAGATCAGATGAGCGAGATGAATATAACTAGAAAATTCTATATACTTGGAGTAGTTTATGTTTGATGAGGATACTAAGGTTCCGTTTAATTCTCTAGTTTAATGACTTATATTTAATTAGTATAATGATTCACTATAGAAATCTTCCCACTATATACAGAAATGATATGGAGAACTATCAGATTCGCCGGTTCGAGAGAGCCACCCGTTTCAAGCTCTCCTAGTAAAACTAGATAGGGAGGAGAAGAACAGTTAGAATACAACCATAATTATTGACGACTTCTTAGAAAAAGTTCTTTGTTGAATTGGTAGCTTTAAATGAGGAGAAATCAAAATATTTATTGTACAAAAGTGATTTAAAAAAGGTTCAAATTTAACAAAAGAGGTAAAAGCTCTGAATCAAGTACTGAAGGTACATTGAATAACACTGCTTAATTGATTATGTTATCTCTGCCGTACTTCTATGCAAATCACAATAAGAGATAAGCGATATTGAAAAAATGGAAATAGATTATATGGGGAGTGAGGGTCATCCTGCGATATAAAAAGATCCTCAAGGATTAAGCCTATTTTGAGTAGTTGTTCAGACTACCAAAAAGAAGAAAGCTCTCGTCTCCGACATCTGCGTATAGGAGTCCAAAGAAGAGGAGGTTGCCAGCCCCTTCTGGCGACACCTTTAATTTCGCAATTATTAATAAAGATTTTCAAGAGGACACTAGTCGTTGCAAGACAAGTCGAAAAATTAAAAATCAACTCTCCGAAAATTTCTAAAAATCTATATACTATTAAAATTTGAAATAGTAAGAGTAAAGATTAGAACGATTGAGAACCAATAGTTTACATCAGTTGTTGAATTCCTAATAGAATCAATCCTTAACAACAGCCAGAACTCAATCTGTTATAATAAGGAAGATGAGAATAAAAAGGCAATCAATTTAATGATATTATAATGTTTCGATGGTTTCACAAATGTTATCAACAAATATATATATTAATTTTCTGAAATGAGAAATTCCATTTGTTAACGAAATCTTGTACAAAATTTTGTTATCGATGGTGGTATTTATCGAGCGAATGCTAACCAATCAATTATGATAACTCGATAATCTAGACTACCGTCTTTTAAGAATCCTCCTCCAATTTCAACTCCATCATCTCCAAAGGAGTAGAAAAAGTTGTGGAAAACAAACTTTGGCTTTCAAAACGATATATCTTTTATCTCTAATCGGGATAAAAGTCCTGAACAATCAAGTTAAAAGAAAAGCAATAGTCCTCAATCGAATTCCATTACTCGGAAGCCTTTTTAATTGTAGTTAGGAATCGAGCAATAAATGTTGAACCATCATCCAAAATCAAGGGAGAGGAGACCTCTGAAGAACACCATCTATTCTCGGCCGATATCAAGATTAATAGAGGACTCCCGAACAACCCGTATGCCATCAACAGATCATGAAATTAATAGGGGCAATTTTAAATTCCATTATGTACTTGGCAAAGGAGGATTTGGGAAGGTGTGGAGAGTTGAATTGGTGAAGTCAAGGAAACTCTATGCCATGAAGGAGATGAGTAAAGCTAAGTAAGAGAAATGAACCTATTAGGATTATGGCTAAAAATTCTGTGAATTCTGTATTGAACGAACGAATTCTCTTATCACAGTTAAAACACCCTTTTATAGCAAATATTCATTATGCCTTTTAGGATCGAGAACATCTCTTTTTGGTTATGGATTTGCTGTCTGGGGGAGATCTCCGATTTCACATAGGAAGGATGAGAAGATTTAGTGAATAACATACGAGTAATAAAAGTTATATAATTTTAGAGTTTGTAATTTGTAGTATACTATTGGCTCTGGAGTACTTGCATCAGAACGGAATTATTCATAGAGACATAAAACCTGAGAATATCGTATTGGACCGAAACGGGTATCCAAGATTGACTGACTTTGGAATAGCCAGAGTCATCAAATCAGAAAATGCTTCAGAAACAAGTGGCACTCCTGGTTACATGGGTATTGTGTGTAAATATGTCATCATAGCCCCAGAAGTGATGTTCAGATAAAACCATAGTGTGGGAGTTGATCACTTCGCCTTAGGAGTGATGATGTACGAATTTATGATGGGGAAACGACCATATCTGGGTAAGTCAAGGAAAGACATAAGAGATGCTATTATTGCTAAGTAAATACAGTTGAAGAAAAGCGATCTGCCAATTGGGTGGACTTTGGAAGCAGCGGATCTGATAAATTAATTGCTTTAGAGGAAACCTCAGTCTCGATTGGGATTCAATGGGACTCAGGAGATCTATGCTCATTAGTGGTTTGCAGGATTCCCATGGAAGAGTTTGTATGAGAAACAGTTGGCCTCTCCATTTAAATTGTCGAAATCTTGCGAGGAAAACTACATTAGAGAGATTTCATCGGAACATGATTCATTGGATCAATAGATTTAAGAGAATTCTATTAAACTGAGACAAGAGACTGTTCAGAATTAGTTCTAAAATTATTCTTACGTGAAAGAATAGCAAGTCACAATTAAGAGATTTTGAATAAATTATATTTTATATTATTTTTCACTTATGTAATAGCATAGAAAGGTTAGTACTGATTCTAAATATCTTGATTTGGACATAGTTTAAGAATACATCAAATAGGATTTGGATTAGAATGAGTATTTCCGTTATGAACATGACATTGATTTTGATATTCCAGAACAAGATGAATTTTTTGATTGTCTCGATTCTATAGATGAGCCTCCTTAGATTGAACGTTTCAATTAGATAAAATTGCACACCATGAGGATTAGTAGGAAGCAGCGAGTGGAAGACGAGTTGACCCAGCCTCCTGAGAAGGAAGATCAATTATAGTTGTCGATAGAATCTATGGAAGAGGAATTCCAATATTAAGACGAAATGTATGATATAAAGCAAATTGAGATTGATAAACGTAAGGTTATTTCGATCTTTACACTGAAGCAAGACTATTTTGATAACAAACACAATCACACTCAGTTTCTCAAGAATGTCGAATTGTTGAGACAGAAAAATATTCATCTGGAAGAATTTTACACCTACATCAAAGAATTGGGGTTAGGTTGTGGCTTTAGTTTAGATTAGATCAGATATGAGTTACTCCAACAATTTATTACTGGATTGGTTGAAATTGTTAAGTTCATAGATGATGTAAAGAATTATCAACTAATTTTAGATGTTTAGATTCCAGAGTAGGTGGTTGGAAAGAGAACCCATCATCACCTTGTAGAATATCTTCTAAGCATTTTCATTCTAATGGGAACGATTCTAGGATTACACCACTGCCTTGATAGATAAATCAGCAATCAGCAAAATTAGAAGCAACAACAAGATAATCGACTATGATTCCTTGTAATTCAAAAAGGGCATTGACTTTTGTCTTACTTAAATAGATGAACAATAGAATGACGGTGCAGATTTCAATATCCAATAAAGCAATTAGGAAAGTTTGATCCTGTTCAAGGTCTTCGAATTGTTGAGGTTGAATGAGCACTTTTTGCATATCAGCAAATAGAACCAAAAAGCCAAGAGAATCAAGAGTTATTTTGCAAAATGCAGATCTCGCATCAAACTTTATTTGTTGTTAAAAAACAAGGTGAAGTTCCAATTCAAAAACAAGCGAAAATCTCAAGTGTCGTTACATCATAATATCACTGAAAAATACCTCTTTATTGATCCCAATTCCATCCAGTTGGAAAATACTTTTCATATTTTTGAAGAAGTCTCGTAACCTAATTTGATCAGAGTCAAGATGCAAAGATCTGCGATTAAAAATTTAAACTCTAATTTTAATACTATAAAGGATTATGATTACTATTAATGATTATTATATAAATATATATTAATAATGATAGCTCCGAAATACATTGAACAAAATATAATCAACTCGGTTTGTTAATTTGAAAGATTCAAGTCTCATAGGGATAGAGTTTAGATGATTGCTAGTGACAGAAGTTCATCCAAAAAGGTACCATTTTACCATATTAGTAATTTCATATGGATTCAAATAAACTACAGAAAATTAAAACGAATCAGTACAACAGTAAAGCATCAATTCAACATATGAGAGATAAAATGTTGTATTAAGAAAATAGCAAAATACTGGATAGAATAATTAAAATTAAACCATCTACAAGATAACATTCTGCTAGTTCAATCAGATCTTTGAATTTACCAAAAAGGAAAAAGGAAGCTATGAAAATCGTTGATGAAAACTAGAAGTTGATGAAGAGATTGCAATCCACTCAAGGAACATTCAAGAACAAAGATACTTTAATGCGTGATTTTAGGAGGTACCCAAGAAAATGATTAAGAGAACTCAAGAACTTAAGTTTCGTATTTCCAGAACAGACAATAAACAGCGAATTTCGAAGATTGTATAAAGTCTCTCGCAAAAAAAGACCAAAACTAACGGCCTCACTCAGCTAACTTAATTATAGAGATTGCGTATAGAACCATAAAGAAAGACGATGCCAAAATTATAATAAAATCATTTATTCGGTTTTTCATAGTGACTAACATAATTTATCTAAATACCCAAATTCTGAAGGCAATCTATAGGCCCCAGGTCCTGGAGATACAGCTCGAATTTTAGTTAATTCCCTCTTAGCCCTTGTGAATATGGTAGATTTAGTATCTGCAAATTTGGAACAATAATACAACCCTTTCGGATCAATATCTCCTAAATGAGCATAGTCTCCAGGACCAGGTGAGAGTTCCTTGGCTGGTGAAAAACGAAAGCTTTTAGACTTTTGAGGCGAAAGGATGATAGCTCCGGAACTAGACTAAAGAATTCTTTTACTCTCTAAATTTGCTAATTTTATATTTTCCAGTTTCATTGAGTGCTGCAGGCAAATTATAATCACCACTAAATTATCAAGATGACTTACGGTCCTGGTTTTCTATCCTTGTCTTTGTGACTCTCAGTTCTCATTCTTATTGTGTACTTGATGGGAGATTTGGTGTCCTTGTGTTCATATTCCCCAGGCCCAGGAGTTTTTTGTATAAGGCCAATGAAGATACCTTCATACTTATTACCTTTCTAAGATTAAGTCAATGATGCATACATCTCGACCAACAGGCATAGTCCAGCCGTTGCTTATATTGAGAGTGGTCTTAATTTCGTAATTGTTGGGTCCTGGGGTTATGCTTTCCTGAATAAAATTTGACTTTTATCCATATCCTATTGCAGCACTACGTTTGCTCATCATCGAGGGGATATTGTATATATTGGGACATCTAATGATGAATCAATTGCATAGTTACGGTTTGTCTTTGAAATCTTTAAAACGAGTGGCTTTTGGAAATGAGTACAGAGCTTTTGACACTGATCTATTTAAAGGCGAACGATTAATTTATTCAAAAGAGACATTCATATAATAAAAATAAATATTGTGGGTGTTTGTTTTTGTGCATTTGTTAATAATTCATAATTGTCATTCAACATTATAGTTGGACAAGGTGCATTACGTAAAAGTGTCGAAATCGCTTCTGTATACCAATTGATTTGCTGATGTGAAGTACAGAATCAAGCTCTCTACTGAAGCTGAAATGAGTAGATCTGCTGGTTCTTGCTTCAAGTTCGTTTATTGTTCATTTAATCTGTATCCGATGTTAAACAAATTGATCACAACAGTTTTCTAATAATTCTAATAGGGAATAGCAACTATATGATTTTGAGTTCTGACTGATCCAAATGGGTTCCAATCCTTATATCTATTTAAGGTTGTCACTAAATAGAGGTAGGAATTGGTTGTGGTATAATCAAGTTGGTAATTACCATCTACATAGGTCTACACAATAAATTGAGTTGAATTCTAAGATACGTTAAGGGGTGTGACTTATCTGAATCTGGATGTATAGGGAATGTAGAAGCTAGATTTTACGTTAATAAATCCATTGTTGAATGGGATCAAGTTGTTTGATCTGGATATTGCATCAGCCCAGAACACACCATTTTCATAATCCAAAGTTAAGATTCTGTAATAGGTTTGTTAATCTTGTTCGTATGATGATAAACTGAAATCTGTGACATTCAAACTAGAAGTATTGAAAAATTGGGCATCCAAAACGTATGAGGTAGTACGAATGTACCAAGTGGCGGCTTGAATTACTGTTGTGAGGAGAACCAGTTTATTTTTTTGGGGGATGATTAATGTGTTTCCAACAATAGCAAATTTATTAAAGACCTCTTATATTGATGGAACGGCTTAATACTCACCGAACACTGAATAGGTGCTGTTGGAAGTCTTTTTGTAGGCTACGAAGTAAGGTGATCTTCCCTCTGATTGACAGGCCATTAAGAACATGTTCTAGAGTGGATGGCCAGAAACCAGATTGCAGGTGTGTGTTCCATTGTTAGGAGTTGAATAAGTATTCAAAACATTTAATGCATCATCCAACAAAATGAATTTTGATGTTGTCAACACGATGTCAGTGCCATTTTGTTTAGCGTGGTCGACTATTTCTTCATCAGAATCAAGGTCTAGATAGACTTCGAAATTGCAGATAGCCTATTACCTTTGAGAATATCCCATATAGAAAATGGACAATAAAAGCACACTTATCATTATTGTGTATTATTAATAATTATTTGAAAAATCCCGTATCCATATTAAAAGATGCTATTTTTCTGAATACAATCTGATTTATCATCATACCTCCAAAAAATTCAATATAGAATATGGAAAAAATAAACGAAAAAATAAATATGTTTACAATGACTTTTTTGATTTTTAGGAATTGCTGATTAGCAGTTACTTCGTTGTTATGAAGTTCGAATCCCAAATTATTAAAATGAAAATTTATTAGACATCTCCAATTTTTTAAAGCTAAGTAATTAAAGAGAACTTCTTAATAAATTTAAAAATTAGAATCAGAGTAAGTATAATTTTGAATTGTTCTTTTAGTTCCCTTAACCGTAATTGAAATTTTTATTATTTTTCTTAACATAAATTTGAATTTATTAACTCAAAAAGATCACATGGATAAGTGAATTATTATTATGTATAAATGATGCATATATAAATATTTTAATGTTTTCATTCTAATTATTGGATCATCTAAATCAACTCTTTATCAATTCCAGTTTTTTTTTGTTCCTTTAAGTACTATTCGGATAAGGGACTAGGGATTGTATAATAGATTACAGCTTAATTCCTTTGCTATTTAGTTCTTAGATGAAATTGACACTAGAGTATTGCAATTCAATATCGAATCCGTAGTCTTTCAATTTATATAGGATCAACATATCTAATTATAAATGAGAAAAAATACCGAGATCTTTCTTTTAAATCTACTAAATTAATTACTAAAGCAATATTTGATTCTAAATTAATGATAATCAATGTACATCTATTTTTAAATCTTAAGTGATATTATTTAAGGCATAGATTATATTATCTTTGGTGAAGGACAGAATAAAAGTGAGTATGACACAATTCAATCTTTCGAATAAAACATGTTTCTATTTGAGCTATTGGGAAAAGTTCAAGTGATGAATTTAGTTGTTGTCTCTGATCACTTTAGTATAACTGGATTCCAATTTTTATTTTGCAGCCTTGATAATGTAATTCTAGATGACTGAACTTTGAGTTAATTATAAAGTGTGAGGCTGGACAACAGGTTTGTCGATTTCTTTTTCCAAAGCCTTCTTCTTCCACTCTTCTGTTTGAGGATTGAAACAAATCTCAAAGTTCTAATGACAACCACCACAAAACATGATTTCGTTAACGTGTTATTCTATGCTTTTTAATTTGATTCTGTCATCCTGTAATTATTTATCTGAAAATATAGCTACTATATGATACTGTGAGGGATCGCTAAAAAATGACTATAAAATTTTGTTTTATAGAGCAAAAAAGTCATGTCTGACAATAAGTTGAGTGATGTGGGTAAGATTTCGATTAAATTGGGAATGAGACTGTCGATTTATGGATAGAGGAAATAAGGGTATTCAAAATTATTCCCCAATTATTTAAACACGGAATCTAATACACTCAAAAATACTTCCTATGGGGCTTAAGATTCAGAGGACTTTGAATCTGGTCGATGCAGGATATTGTCTCTGGATTCTAGTTGTTATAACTGTTTTTCAAGTGAGAATATTTTGGCTTTCAATTTTACTTTTTCCAAATCTTCTGATCTTTAATGCTTCCCTGCTTCAAGCAATTTTATCTTTTGTTTCAGATATGTTTCCATCACGTGATACCTTTTGTTGAGTTATGATAGCTTTTCTTCAAACTTCTTCTCCAATTCTTTTATGAGTGAATCATAATAGGATTATATGGTCTGTATTTATTCCATTTAATGTTTAAGTATTATATTTTAAATAATATCGATATATACAAATGGTTGTTTTGAAGAGAATCGAGTGTGCAGAACTAATTGAACTATCCCATAAGAATTTGTCAAAAATAAATGATAAAATTATTAAAAAAGTTTCCGAATATAATATTATTTTTAATGAGTTCACAATAAAAGTTCTTCGTTGTGAGGATCAAATGCTATGAATTAAGTCCTATTTAAAATGCGGGCGAAATAAATTCACAGGTTGTCGTGAAGGAACAGGGGGATAACAAATGTAAGAATTGAGGCCTATTCTTTAGGGAACGAAAAGGGCAAAACAGAGGTTTAATTGAATCAAAGAAACCCTCAATTTAGCACTTCGGTTCAATTGAATTATTAATTCGAAACATCTTATAAAGTTCTGTTTGAGGTTTATAACTGTCACCAGGAAAAGAAACATGTAAATATTTTAAAAATATTCCAGTTAATTGGGTACACGGAAGTGAACATCTAAACCTTGTTAGCAGCCAAGGATCAGATCTATAATACGGATATCTGCAATAAAAACAAGAAAGTGGGCAGAATAGTTTTAATTGGAGAGTATCAGAAATATAAAAATGATATGGTTGAGTTGATACTATGTAAATCTAATCTATTACCCTTAGCTGCTGATTCATTGAGCAGGAAGTGTTGCATCTTCAATCTACAACCCTCCCAACCCTATATTAAAATCTCGAGAACCTTCCAAGACACAAATGAGTCCAATCTAGTGTATCAATCCGAACCCATCAAATTCCCTGACAGGAGAACTTGGTATAAATTTAATCGAATGAACTAGGCCTGAGATCAAAAAGATGGCAAGGGACATCTGCAACAATGATAGTGATGCTGTCTTGCAAATTGAAATTTTCGACAAGGGAAGAAGCAACGATATTTATATCGGATCTGTCAACCTATCAATATCTCAAATGTTGGACAAGAAGGGTCAGAGAAATCTATAGCACAAGGGTAATTAATGCATAACAGGACAGTTAAGCATTTAAAAATGTCTATTTAGAGAAATACCTACTTTTGAATAATATTTATAGGAAGGTTTGCAATTGAATCTAATGATTTCTATTGATTTTACTGACTCCAATTTAGAACCCACAAATCCTTAGAGTCTGCATTATTTTGATGTAACTAACAGAAGACTTAGTCAATATGAATAAGCTTTAAGAAATGTCTCAGAGATTTTGATTCAATACGACCACGACAAACGAGTTCCTTTGTTTGGTTTCGGATTTGAGATGGACGGCAAAGCACATCATTGCTATCCATTGAATCATAACTTAGAAGACCCAGAGTAACTTATAAACCATATAATAGAGTGGTGAATATACTGGGATTATTTCAAACTTACAGGAATTTCGTAGGAACAGTCAAATTCTCTGGTCCCACATTATTTAGACCAACAATTAAGGAAGCTATGAAGACAGCCAAAGGATTTAAAGAAGCAAGAAGTGAGAAGTATGTTGTATTGGCTATACTAACAGATGGGATCATCAGTGACTTTGATGGTGCCTTTGAGTTGATCGTAGATTGTTGTGAATTGCCAATTTCGATTGTTATTATTGGAATTGGAGATGCTGATTTCACATTGATGGAAAGATTGAACAACAATGATCTGAATGAAATCGATTCATAAGGCAGAAAAGCAACTAGGGATTTAGTTAAATTTGTAGTTTTCAATAATTATAAAAATGAACAAAAGAAGTTCGCTTAGGAAGTGCTGTCTGAACTACCAGATTAGGTGGTAAATTACATGTCAACGATTGGCAAAATGCCAGGAAGTCGAGAATAGAAGAATCAGCCATTCATTGCTTAGAACTAACAATTTGATTAATATTATTAACCCAAAGGCATACAGAGGTAGAATACTTTGAAACGTCTTTTGGGAGAGGCTGAAGAGGAGTATCAACCAGATGAAAGAACCATCATCACTTAGAATTAGTTTATACAACAACCCTTTATATATCAATAATAGTAAGATCAAGGACAGGGACAATAGGTATTTGGATAGCATCTCTACCATCAAATTTATAACAATGTGCAGAATCCCTTGTTAGAACAAGAACCTCTCACTTAAAAGAATTTGTCCCAAAATCTGATTAATTCAAACTACAATCCAAACCCTCAGACTCAAGTTACCTACTTGGGTGGACTTATGTCTAATCACAGTAATTCTTTAAGTAATTTAAGATACCAATCTACAACCTAAACAATCGGTGTCTCACATAATCGAAAATGCTGAATTCAATAATCAACATTCAGAAGGTTCCTTCCCTCTGATGGGAAATGATGATCAGTAGCAACAAAATGCTTAAAGAGACGAAGAAAGGGCCTAAAATAACTAAAATAGAAACCAAAGTAATTGAGATTCAATATAATTTTTATTTATTAATAGTAGATTCTATAAATTACAATTATAATTAAATATCCCCCCATTAATATACCTATGAATCAAGCTGAGAATTCTGAATTACTTGAGAAGCTGGACCTTTATATAAGTTGCAGATAATTAGATGATCTAGACATTGTGTCAGACTTAGATCCTTATGCTGTAATCTACTTAAAACATAATAACCATTGTAAGTGCATAGATGATATTGTATTCAAGGGACCAAATTCGGATAAACTGAATTAGTGAAGAATAATTTGAACCCTAATTACAAAACATCAATATAATTGGAGTATCATTTTGAAGTCTAATAACATTTAAAGCTAGAAGTTTATCATTACATCAGTCCAACTTAATCTAAGGTAAAATACTTATCACGATTATAGGTTGTTGGCATTGCAGAAACTACGGTTGCTCTTATAGTTGCTTCAAGAGATCAAATTTTAATGGGTGATCTAATTAACATTTCTGGTAGAAGGAGTGGCTATTTCATAATATAGGCAGATATAATTAAGTAGATCAAAGATGAAATAATCCTTACCTTATCTGCACATGACATTAAAGAAACTAGATTTTTGTTTTGGCATGGCACATGTCCACAGTTAAGATTCTACAGATATATTATGGATGACAATAACCCTGTTTTAATTCATGAGACTGAGTTTGCAAAGAAGACAACACAACCAAAGTGGAATGAAATCAATTTCTCATCTTTCAAGTTATGTGGTGGAGATCATCAAATGAATATCAAAGTTGAATTATGGGATCATAGAAACAACGGCAAGCATTTGTATCTAGGAGAGACGACATTTTGTGTAGATGAATTAATAGAGCATAAGAAATGGAATAGGATATTGGAAAAGGAGTTTATGAGCAAAACAAATGGTAAAGAATCTTCCGGAGTCCTTCAATTCAATGGTTTTTAATTCAATCCTAATTACACGCTTCTAGAATATTGCCGAGGAGGATTATAGTTAAAATTGATAACTGCTATTGACTTTGCAGCTTCAAATGGCAATTTCAATGATCCTAATTCATTACATTATATGAAAAGTAATGGAGCTCAGAGTCAATATTTATAAGCCATAACTAGCTTAATGGAAATTTTAATATGTTATGATAAAGATAAGAGTGTGCCAGTATATGGTTTTGGATGCAAACCAAAAATGAATTTGATTAACACTAATAAAACACTATCTTCATTCGCCCTTAATGACAACCCAAAAGATCCAGAGTATCTTATTTTAATTAATAGTTTAAAGAGTAATTGGTTTGGATGGAATAGTCTAATGCTACATAAAGTAATTGCCTCATTTGTGTTTCGATGGTCCTGCCAAATTAACACCAAGCTTGAAAATCGCTATGGATATGGCTCATTAATTGAAACTCTAGGATAGTGATAAATATTAGATTCTTTTGATCTTCACAAATGGATAAGTAGGTGATATGAAAGAATTTATTAATGAAGTAAATGCTTAGTAAAATTTACCATTATCAATCATCATAATTGGTATTGGAGATGGCAACTTTGATGAATTGTCAGCCTTGAACAATTAAGTCAAAAACATTGTAGATAGTGATGGGAACTATGCTTCTAGAGATTTGCTTAAATTCGTTCCTTTCAATTAACTTAAAAATGATCTTGCTAGATAAGTCTTGCCTTAGATAAATAAATAACTATTACAGTATATGAAAGTAATGAGTAAATCTCCTAAGCCTATAAATCATAAGAACTTATTCAATCTAAAATAGACAAGACAGTATCCTCAACCATAACCTTGTGTATCCTAAGAACAGAAATTCCCTTCTCAACTATTATATGCTCCCTAATTGTCATTTCCTCCTTAAATATCATATCCTAATTAAGCGCAACCCCTATAAACTGATTTTGTACTTAACTAACAAGCATTTATAAATTAAGGGTTTTAATAAGGCCTTGTCTAATAAAGGAATTAATATCCATAATAGTGATTATCTTATATTTGTTATCTACATTTTGTAAAATATCATTAACAATAAAAGTTTTAACATCTAAGGGGGATGGATTCCTAAGATTATAATTCTGATCCAGAGAAAGTTCATTTTAATGAGTGCTAAGGGTTTCTTAGGAATCATAGGAGTGGAATAAGAGTTAATAAAAATTATGGAATAGTAAATAATGTTTAAGTTATAGAATGAATTGGATAGTCTTTAACTATTGATTTTGTGGTTTTGCAATGATAAATGAGATCAATGCTGAAAGGTCGCAGAAATTATAATAAATGCCAGAATTAATATTTATATATGTCTAATTCAAATAATAAAGCATCTTACATAAAGCCATTCCTCTTTGGAGGCATCTCAGGATGCACAGCGGTTGCAATTATCATGCCTTTGGATACATGGAAGGTCAGACTCTAGATTTATAGCGAGAGCAAAGGGATAAGTCATGGTTCAACGAAGGTTTCTCCAATTGAAGTGGCAAAGGAGATGCACAGAGTGGAGGGATTGAAAGGGTTCTATCAAGGGTATTTAAAAATGCTATTATAGGTTGGGATCTGCGATGTTGAGACAATTGACTTATGCCACTGCTCGACTGGGAATTTACAAGGTGATTGTAGATGAGGTTAAGATCAATCAAAAAAGTAAGAGTAAATTCCATAACTTGTTTAGGAGATCTGAGTTTCTTGGAGAAAGTGGGTGCATCATCTTTTTCTGGTTTGTGTGGAGCTTTGATTGGCAATCCTACAGATATTTGTTTGGTAAGATTTTAGGCGGATGCAACTCTGCCAGTAGCAGAACGCAGAAATTACAAAAACGCTTTTGATGCTTTATATCGAATAACGAAGGAGGAGGGATTGCCCACTTTATGGAGAGGGTCAACACCCACAGTATTAAGAGCAATTGCAATAACAGTGGGTTAATTGACAACTTACGATGAGATTAAGCAATGGTGTATGAAAATATTCTTAAGAAAGAAGGAGACTATGCCTGATCGAATCATGTAAATAGAGAAAATATTAATTAATAGGGCATCTGTTGGAGCTGGTGTAGTCACATCTGTGTTATCCTTACCTTTCGACAATATGAAGACCAAACTTTAGAAGATGAAGGTGGATGCGAATGGAAAGTACCCGTATTCAGGAGTTGCTGATTGTTTTCTGAAGACTATTCAAAGAGAGAAGATATCAGGGTTGTGGGTGGGATTGCCTGTTTATTTTGCGAGAGTGGCTCCTTAGTCGATAATCATATTGTTGGTGTAGGATTTGCTTCATCATGTGTTTGAGAAGCATTGATTAATTTGTTTATTTTTGGTTCACAATTTAAATTTAATGTATATATCCATTGAACAATTTTAATGACTATTTTATAATAAAAACATTTGTTCTTTTCATAAAAGAATAATATTCATGCTCAAGATGCTGAGTATTATCATGGCCCACATTTCATATTTGGGAGTGGTTCTAAATTTGATCTCGTAAACTTAAGTCCTCATTTAATGCTCGCTTGGATCATCATTGGACGCATAATAGAAGATTGAATAGTTAGTATAATGAGTGAGACCATCAAAGGTGAAATTGAGTGTGGTTGATTTGTTGAATCGCTGTCTTTCATAATACGTCGAATTTTCTGGTTTTCTTAGGGCATTGCCTTGTCTCAAATCGTAGAAGGTGGGCATCTTGGTTCTGTTGATGAAATCAACCATACAGTAGACAAAGCCCTCTTAGTCCAAGGAGATGTTATACAGTAAGATTGAGTTTGTGCTGACGTTGAGATTGACTTCATATTAAAATATAGGGATCGTGGTGGATAGGGCAGTTAAATCAGACAATTTAACTAAATTAGGCAATCCAGCGACTTGATCGTATAAATCTGATATAAACTAAGTCTTGTTGATTCCTTTGGTAAGTAAGGAGGCAGTGACAGTGTCTTGTAATTCAAAGTCGATTAAGCTGACATACATCCTCACATTCTTCTCATTATAAGTATTACTACTTGTTGTACTCAACAGACGTCTTCTTTGTAAGGAACACCAAGTGTTGATTGAGTTACGAATGAGTCTGGCTGGCACTTTGAATTGTTGAGTCAAGAAGCATGTGATACTGGTAGAGAATTCTAGATCAATTTCACTATCAAAAATGAAATCGAGATAGAAAGACTTACCGTTATTGGATTTTGTAGTTTGTAAAAGAGTTGTGGCCACACTGAATTTGGTTTCAACGTTTTTGCACACAGTTGTGATATTATACGTTGTAGCTGGTCTGAGTCCACTTACAATGACTGTGTAATTCTTCAGTGGAACAAACACATTCTTTAATCCAAAGAATTGATGATAATAATCATCTATGGATGGTTCAGTCCAAAGAAATGTTCTTGCTTAGATTTCTTCTGAGTATAAAATTTCAGATCCTTTTATTGAAATGTAATAATAAACAACTGCATATTGATTACAAGACACCATGAATTTGACATAGTTGGATCCTCGATCCACACTGTAGAGACTCGATGTTGGTCTCTTTTTATTAATATCAATAATTCTGTAACTGATAGGATCTACAGTTGTATAATATTTTTAATATGATCCTGACACTTGGAATGTAATCAATCCTGAATCACCTACACTTATTCCACTGTCTTCGGATGCTAAAAGAAAGGCTCCTACTTTTTGATTCAGACCAAACGTAATCGATGATTTACTCTTGAAATATATTTTGTCTGTGTCTGATGATGCCTCAATACGAAGATTTGATGCTGGTTGGCACTCTGTGAGATTGAACAATATGGGTAGTGCTTGACCTCCGAGAGTCAATTAATAAAGACTCATTTCAGTGTTCAAAATACAAGACTTTTATGACAAGAACACTCTAAGAAACGGCAATTGAGTATGTTTATCAAAATCATCTGTTTTTGCAAATTCAATCAATTGCAATCCTTGAGGTGCTTTGCTTGTACCTGCTATTGAAAAGGTTGTATAAGCTTAACCCATGGGGGCAATGGTATTAGTGGGATTGGCTATAAAGTAAGGATTGTCACAATAGATTTGGAATGTACGCAGAAATAAACCTGCATCAGAAGCTAATCCTATCACTTGATCAAATATCCCTGTCTTTACTTACAATGTCCTAATACTTTGTCGAGTGTTCATGTCGATCCATTTAAGTGTCACTTGATTTGGATTGGAAATAAATGGAAAGATGGGGATATTGAAGTTGGGAGCATGGGATCTGCCAAACACATATGTTGAATTCAAAACAGTGATTGTCCACATGTTGATACCACAAACGGCATAATCTGGATTACGCACATTGCCTAAGATCAGGTAATAATACTATGAGCCAATGTAATCGCTTTGTTTAATTGAAATGGTAACTCTGTTTCCAAAATTTATACACGACTTTGCATAATTGGTCTGATTGTTTTGATCATAGAGGGAACAAGTGGGTAGTTTGTAATTTATGATCATGTCCCAAGCAGGTGGGAAATCGACTTAGATTAAATTGGAGACATCAATGGCTCCTGCTGGAAAAGATACCTTAAACGTTATTGTACTGAAAGCCCTGATATATTATTGGGTGGTATCAATCCACAGGGTTAGAATGTTATTGGGAGGAGTAGTGACCATATCCTATCCATTTAAATCATAGATCACACCATATTCACCCAAGACTGTAATATCTACATTATTAGTGAAGGCCACGAAGATTTCATTTGCTTGATCGTTGAAAATGGCTGAATTCTGAGCACCATAAATTCTGATTTGCATCTCTTACCCTCTTGGTATGGAGATGTCAAAATTTTCTAATATCACTGTGTTTTCAACATCGACTGAACATGCCACAAAGAGATTATTCAAAGAACAATAGGTAAGATTGCTCGAGACAATGAAGGGATAAGTAGTTGGGAACACCACAAAGATGGAAGTGCCTAATTTGACATCGATCAAAGTAGTCGTGACATTGATGAAGAAATCTGTGGTTGATCCGCATAAGTTATTGAGTTTCTAAGTCAATTAGATGTTCTTTATTGGCAGAATGGTTTCATCATACAATGAGTCCAATGACACGGTGCCTGATTATTATATGATTAGATATGTCCCCTACAGGATAAGACTGGTATCCATTGGCTCTGGATTCAAACTGTATGGTATGACCATGCCATAACACTTCAAAGTGAATATCTAAGATCCAATTATGTCATCAATGGGGTACAACTTGATTCCACTTACTGAACTCCCTCTATCCAGGGTGTAATCAGCCTGTCCAAAAGCATATGAGGGCAGTCCCTATTATTAGACCTAACACATGATGTTCTTCTGGTTCCTTTGATTGTCATCGAAAAATCCTCCGATATTGATCAACACATATTCCTGTTTCCAAATGCTACGAGTAAATTGGAAGTCAACACTGATTTGTCCTTTGGCTCTTCTGTTGTAGAACTGGAACTTCGGATTACCAAAGAAGGCAACATAAGCCACATTTGGGTTATCGTCATATTCAATAGCCCCTTGAACCTTGGACAGATCGATGGTGTTCAAGTATTCTGACATTATTCTTATGTTAAATTAAGACTTGGAAACAGCACCAGTGTGCAAACTATTCAATCCCCAAATGTTGAGTGTAAATTGCCCATTTGTCCATGGACAACTGTCACAATTACTTATTTTGAATAAAAAGTACACATAGGAACCTGAAGTGGATCTTGAAACAGTGCAAGTGTGACTTAGCAATCCGTAAAATGCTGTTTCAATTGAACATCGAGATCCTTTGTTGATGGCATCGAAATTAATTGTTGGAGTTGTTTCTAGAAATTCTAATCTTATGGTTGCTAGATTCGGAATTGGATTGGTAGTATAGAATTTGATTTAGATTCTTTGTTGTTTCTACGCAATCTCAAGTTTAGGAGAAACCTATAATATTTTGACTACTCCTTTGAGTGTGATCAAGGTATCAGTATCTACCTTGAAGACTCCCAGGCCGTTCACTTTGTCACTCCAAGCATAGACAGTTCTGTAAGGTAGTTTATCACCATTATTGAAGGGTAGATTGCCTGCTTTGATTGTCAAGGTTGTTAGTGGAGAATCACTGGTTTTATCAGTGGGACAAAATATAACGAACTTAGTCAAATACTCAAATGTCACACATCCTGAGACTTTCGACGCATCAACAGATATTGGGGCTTTGATGGTGGAATCAATGGTGTAAAATGGCTGAGTGGAGACCAGAGTGAATCCACCGCCATTTTGATTGTCATTTGCAACAGTGTTAATATTGATGAAACTGACGTCGTTGTGACCAATAAAAAATGTCAGATCCGTATTATTCTTGCCTACTGTGATGGCTGAACTCACTTGTAATTAGTATGGGATTGGAGTGACACCATCAGATTCTAATGCAGGAGAGACACCAGCTCTTGCGAATCCATTGCCTAATCCTGCCACTGATAATGGGAATGCGTATTATCCACTGCTGATGTTATCCTTACCAGTCAATCTGAATGATGATCTTATTTGGATTAGGTTATTGATCTCAACTACAGCTGTGAGGAAGAAGCTCACCTTAGTGTTGGATGCGAAGGTCTTTACAGGGATCAGTAATTGGAAGGCATCAGCTGAGTTGGTTGGCAAAGATTCAAACTCCACATCCAATCTCTCGTAATTGATATACGATTAGCCATTTGCCAACAACCCTGAGGAGTAGTATTAACAGGTTGGTTAAGTTTATCCAGTATATTTACAATACACTCTGTTATCATTTTCAAAGTCAGAGGAAATGTACATCGGTTGAAGATTTGTAAAGAATAGGGAAATCTTCGTTTGAGCATTCTCTACATCGGTGTCTTGGAAGTAACCAGATAGCCTAATCATGGTGGGGAAGTAATCCCCAGTGTTTCCTGATGAGGAACTTGAAAAATAGTTGACTATGCCTAATTTTATGTAAGACGGAGCAGGAGAAGTAATGGTGTAAGCATTGGTTAGGAAGGATTATTTGAATATTGGATAAGTACTTTCAATTTAATCGAATGACCCAATGTAAAAGTCCAATAGATATTCATCTGGATACAAGGAGGCATGGAATTTGACTTATAGGTTGCTGATTGCGAATTAGAGGAATTTAGTTTGTAGTTCATTGGTGTTGTAAACAAACATGTTAAGGAGACCTTAGGCATCTGAACTGGCTACGGTGATGGCCAAGAAGTTAGCTAAGTTGGAGGATTTGTAGTCGTATTTAAAGAATTAAGACCCAGAGAGTGTTGCACATTCAAGATTGGCTGGATCTGTTGATGACATAAGGATTTTTTCATTGGCAATAATTACAATACCTGCACTATATGGTAGCTACTATGTTCCAAGGACAGGAGTGACTGCTGGAGTGATAATTTTATCTATTCTAATGGCCAAATTGAATTTCAATCTTATCAATTCGATATCACCATCATCTAGATTGGGGATGATTCCGAGTGTGTTTGTGAGAGGATCATTTAGAATGGATATGTCCATTTTCTAACTAGATACAACAGTGCCATCGTAGGCAGAGTTTAACCAATCAGGATTATTATTGGTTTGGATGTATTCGACTGGATTTGATCTAGGATAGATAATGAAAATTGTACTCAACAATGACTGACAGAGTATCTTTGATTCCATTGCTGACTGTATATATATTCATGGAACCAAACTATTATTCCAATGGAAGATTGAATTGATCATACGGAAATGTAGCTCTGCATCCAATATAATAAGTGGTTGACAAATACAGTTATCCAATATTGTAACAAACTATTTTGGATTGAGACAACTTGTTGGAATTACTGAAGATGCATTTGCTTTCCTTTCCTGGATAGGATGGTAGATTGTGATTGATGCTCATTAAATAACTTTTGAATTTCATGGGTGTGGACACTTCAATTTGTAATTGGATATCTTCAGGCAAATCAGAAGCCATGGCAAATTACCACTTGAATGCATTATAAGGATTGTATTTGCCATTAGCATCTCCCCTGAAAACCATGATGGGGAAAGGATAATAGGAGGATGATCTGGAGGAGTATTCTAAACCCCAACCCAAGTATAATTTATGAGTTTACAATAAAACTTGTTTGACTTGGAATACAGCATCAGTCACTGTTCTTTCGTTGATGGTGTTTGAATATTGTTGCAATGATCTGATTTCTAAAGTAGTAGGCAGAGTGACTCTCAAAGGATTTCTGACACTCACTTGGAAATAGAACCAATCATTCACCAGGATGTATTGTTTTATTAAATAGACAACCATCTACGAAGTCAAGGTGCATTCATAGGGGATATCATTTTATAATTTGCAAGTGCCTTCAAATGTAAAATCAGATTTGAAGATCAGTTAGACTCTGGCTCCTTCATTCATTTATTTCTTAAATTAAACTCCCACAATCACATTGTAGATTTGATTCATTGTATTCACAGTTTCACTTACCTGGCTTCTCATGTCAGAACTCGGTTCCAGATCCAAGGCAAAGATTCCTCCATTGGGAGTGTAATCAATTATCATGGCAATCGCAGATATTGATGTAACTGTAGTCAATTGAATTGGTTCCTTCACTCCAGATGACTGGATGTTCAGATTCTTGCCACTAATCTGGACTATCACATAATAGTATTCATTAGATGTTAATTCCACTCCGAAATTCACGTAATAAGCATTGTTCTCTCCACTGTTGACAAACACTTGTGCACTCTGCTCATTCTCCTCTCCGCAGTGGTAATTTCCTTTTGCCTATTATACATCCCTTAACATGATTACTTGTTTGAATGTGACCACCACATTGTCAGGCACATTGTTGGTATTTGTGTAATGAAGTGCGAATGGGAATTTGATCCTCAGGTATCCAAAATTGGGCAATGGATTACTCAATTTAAAGGGAATAGTAAATCGACTGGCATATCCGGCATTCGTGTAATCCAATTCGATATCCCAACTCGATATGTGTCTATATTTGTAATCTCTTTATAACATACCCACAATTTCCTAAGTGAAGTAGTAATAAAATTATTAGCATATTATATATATAATACTAACTTATTTAATTAATTTTCAAATATCACTATCGCTGTCATCATCATTATCCATTAGTCTCTAAGATCTATAGGATTGATTCTGCAACTACTGCTGTAATCTATTGAAGGAAGGACTTCTCATCTCTCCATGCTTCTCCACTATCATCTCCTTCATATTCTAATTCAATTGCGTAATCTGATTGCTCAGATCCTTATTCTCCTTCTTCAACTTCACTATGCGTTTCTCCAACACAATGTCATTTCCCTCCAACTATTCCAATTACTATTTCAAACTCTGATTTTCTGTCATCAGCGACTTCTTCTCATGCTGCAATCCATTCACCTAAGCTGTCAACTTATTGAACTTCCCTTCCAAATCATCCAACTACTTGTCACTCAATTGCACCACTCTCTCAATCATAAACTCGTTCTACTTGGCCTCAGATTGCTTCTCCTCCAATTATTTTTGCAATCTTTTATTCTCCTTTTGCAATCCATTATACTCCGCAGTCACTCTCTCCAACTCTTAAATCGCATTGTTCAACTGCATAGATAATTCTTAGATCTACAATTATTGTATCATGCTTACTTCATAATCAGCCTACTTCAATTGACTATTTAACTGCAAATTCTATTATCTAACCTTGTCCTACTCGTAATGATCCTACCTCCCCCCATTCCTTTCTGTACTCTCACTATTTACTCTTCCCAATTGACTCTCCAACTATTTAGATATCCCATACAATTGATCATTTTCTGTTTGCAATTTCACTCTCTCCATTTTCATCTGTCCATTCTCCTACTCTAACATTTTCATAGCCATTTTATATTTCTTCAACTTGTCCTTGTACTACTGGTGATACTTCTCCTTCTCCGCCTTCAATTAAGCATTTTCAGTATCCAATCTCACCTTCAATTTGGTGAATCTCTATTCCGTCAAATTACATTCTTTTATGTACTCCTCCTACTTCTACTTCAGACCTTGAATGCACTCATTCAACTCCTTACTCTTCTACTTCTCATCATCCACTCTCTTACATTGCTCCTCAATCACCTTATTTAATGTTTTGATATTGTCCTCAGAAGCCTACAACTACTGTTCCCTGCCCTTCAACTCAACTGCAAAATAATCCAATTCCTAATACAATTGCTTATTCCTCTCCTATTCCTATTATATTAGACCCATAAACTCATCCTCTCTCTTCTCATAGTGTTTGATGTTCGTGAACTCCTGATCCTTCATCATCTCTATCTCGTTCTCTAACATCCTCACCTTCTGCTTTTGCAATTCACACTCTTCATTGCTATGCACCAATTATAAATTCAGTTGAGTGAGGGTCTGATTCTATTCTCCGACTTAGTAATCCTTCTGCTTCCTCTATGGTCCTTGAGTATTGTCCAAATCCAATTATCTTCTATTCTCATCAATGTGATTCTCCAACTATTAAATCAACAAATCCCTATGCTTTAATGAATCTTCCAATTGATACACCTTACTTTACAATCTTGTATTCTCATCATACAAATTCCTTAGTTCTTTTTCGAACCTCAACACTCTAACAATCTAAATTATCAAAATACTTATAATCATCCTTCTCCTTTAGTAATTCCTTTATCTCCTAGAACTACTTAGTAAAATTAGCCTCCTATCTACTGGGCTGTCTCTCTATCATACTTTAACTCTTCGAGTAGTTAAGTTGATCAGACCCAGGCTTGATAATTCGAGATTGCTGTTCATCAATAACAGACAACTTTGGCGTGGCTTATTATTATTATTACAACCCATAATCCCTACCCAATTGAGCCCTCGATTAATTCTCGATTTAAGACAAGGCAACTCTCTAACTCTATTACCCTTTTGCTGACTATCTTAATTCTTCAGCAAATTGTAATGTCATATAAGCAGTGATGTGATCCTACTGCACTTAAGACACACAAAAGAGAGCTGTAATATTATTAAATTTAGTCTCTCTTAATGCTAGGAATAACTATTGAAGAGCCTTTGTGTCCAATTCTCTCTCTTATAAATCTTACTATTGGATTAATAATTATTTTAATTTGGCTTAAAAGTCTTTGGCCTCTTATGTCACTCTTCTGAATTCGTTGAGCAGAATTAAATGCAATTAAGATATCTCCTATTTATCATGCTAAAGTATAAATTTCAAAAATAAATGACAATTCTTTGTTTCTGGATGTTCCTTCACATATTGTTTATATTAAAATAGACTCTAATTGAACATCTTTTTAAACTCGCTTCCACTTTTGACCCAAGTGGTTTTGATAGTCTAACTTCGAGTAGATCCTATCATGTCAACTGTTTCGACATTATTCACCAAAGCAATTGAGCAAAACAGTTTGCCCTTTCCTTTCAGTTGCTTCGATCCCTCAATCAGGTTCAAAGTGTTCTCAACAACCAAAAGAGCCAAACCCTTCTCTTAGCCTTTGTCCTCCCCTTTCAAAGTGTATTTCTTACCACTTTCAGGTCCTCCAGCAACAAGTAAGGTACCTGAATTTCCCAAAACCAATCCATTAACCTTACTAGCCATTATTTGATCGTATAGTAATTGTTAATTGGCCTTCTCTCCAAAAACTTAATCGAATTGGAAGAGATCTGCATTTTCAATAATTGATTATCGCTATTTCATGATATCTGAGTCACTCTTGAGATACTCTTAGATGATCTTTTGAGATAGAGCATTTCTTGAGCTGACCACAATTGTCTAAGGAGCTATAGGATTATGGTTTGCAAATACATTCATTTGATAAGACACCTGCAAAAATGTTAGTTCTTACTTCCTTTCTGGAATTGATACTGCTGGTTGAAGTATTATTTGGTTATGGCCTCAAACGACAAACCAATTTCATAGATTGTTAAATAATAAATTTAAATTTGTATTTACCAACTATGTTATATTTACAAATATAAATTAAATTTAAATCACTATTAAACAGATGCTTATCTACTCCTCTATTGTGATATCTATTTACTACGGATGATGGACACACGAGTCGGCTACTTCATCTGAACCTGAGTGTTGATGAATTCCGATTGATTGAGGTAATTGTTTTCAGTGAAATAATTTGTAAATTAGAATGCCTAATCCATACCTTGCAGACCTTCCTTAACCTCATATTGATTGGTATAAGTATCAAAATTAGTTTTTAAGATATTCTAAAACTTCTTAAATTCATCATCATCCAAGTGTTCCTACTGCACGTGATCAATTTCCTTCAACTTCTGTTCCATCTCCTACTTAACACCTACTTATAAGTGATTGACCTCTTCTCCTTCCTCTCCCTTAAAGCATTCAATTCTCACAAAAGTCTGCCACTTCTTCTTCTCCTTCCTCTTGAATTTCACTCTATTCTGTTGGTCTTAATTAAACACAATCAACTTATTCACATCCACCACCAAATGAGTCACTTCACATTCAGTACTGTAATGAGTTGTAGATTAGCATGTATAACACTGTCCTATAGCTGAGAAATCCTTCTAAAATTCAATCTTATCTTTAATCATCCAATACTTCTCGTAATCTTCAGAAAATTTAGCCAATGTACATAGGAAATCCTCTCTACTTATCTTGTAGAGTTAACTATATTGCAGTGCTTAAGCAGATGCCTTTCTTTCAAATCCAGTAAGAAATGAGTACTCTCCAAAATACTCTCCCTTTCCTAATTTCTTCAATTATAATTGTTTGTTGAAATTATTGGGGAATATGGCAATCTATCCTAAATTAATGAAATATATTGATTGATCATCCAAAAATTGAGGATCCTCTCCCAAGAATATCATTTCATATTCTGCGTAATTCATTTCCTAGATGGTTGATGATAATTCCCTTAAAAATCCCCTTGAAAAGTTTGCACAAAATAGTGGTATCTATAAGAGTATCTTCCCACAACTGGCCAATTGCAATTCAGCCTTCAACTCTGGTGCCAATTCCCCTATTATCTCTTATTCCCCTTGAATATCCCTGTTACCTTCTTAAAACCAATGTTCATTCAAATATTACCTGACACGTTCTCTTAATTACTATGGTACATCCTTAACCATCATGTACCTATTGATTATCAATCGTTGTTGATAGCGTTTGATATCATAGATAGCATATTCTTCTAATATTTTAAATATGATATTGACCATCACTGCAAAGATGAGAACTGAAAATAATATGCCTCCCATGCCAACCAACACTTCAAAAGTATTCAATGGTTACATGTCTCCATACCCCATAGTTGTTGTTGTTGTACCTACACTGAAGTAATAAGAGTAGAAGAATTTTTAAATCTAAGTCAGTTCACTTATTGATCCGAAATTGCCTTCATGAGTCAACCAAGAGTTGTATCCATTGTTAGTTGCATACAAACATGCCAAATACCAAATGCATGCATACAGAATAAAAACGAATTATAAAACTGCCAACACTTTGCCGATTTAAAATATCGTTCTTACTCGACGATGAAGCATCACTATCTCACCAAACTAAAATGATATTCTGGTTAATGATGGGTATTTCAAATAGAAAAAGAGATACAACCATCTCTCACTATATGTCTACATAATCGATCGAATCATTAAGGCCAGAGTTGCAATCAAATCAAATAAGAATCTAGTTTGCAAGTATCGATGAGCGATCTTGGCTCTATCGACTACCAGATTTCCATGTGAATAGTAAGCCATATGGAATTCCAGGCACATATCCAAGGTAAATGTCACAATGGCCAAGACTGCAATCAGGATTATAGTCCATTCAGGTACAAACTCGAATTATATCAATCCTTACATCCCACACTTCTTTGTCAAACGAAATATAGATTGGTATTTCATAGAAGAAAAACAAAATTATTGTTGCGACCCATCCCTTCCAAAATAATAAACCTGGCGTATTGGGATAGAAAATTGGAATCGATTCGTGAACTATTCAAATATTGCACTTTATTTACACATTCTATAGAAGCCAGGCAATGTCAATTAGGCTTATTTCACTTCCTTTGAATCAGCACTATGTTCAACCACATCATCATTGTATACTTTTTGTAATAATTTCAATTTTTCTTCAGGTTATATCTCATTGCTTTTGTAATACTCGTAAATATCCTCAACTTATTTCTTGTTTTCTTTTCGTAATTCAATCAGAATATGTACTTATTAATGATATTGTCAATGCTTTCTATTTAGCTGTCTGCAATTAAACACCATTATTAACATGTTCTAACTGCTGATCACCAAACTATCTCATTTCGATGCTATCCGCCGATGAATTTGCAGAATCCTATTCTCTATTCATATTTAAATTAATTAGATTTAATTATTATTTAGTGTCCAAATATAGTAATCAATTTATTCAAAATTTTAAACTACATCTTATAAAAATATATAGTTTAAAACTTACTCAAAACTATGAATTACTTATTATGAATTCTAAGTAAGCCTTAAAATACGCATTATTTTGAATCTCAAACATACTCTTGGTTCTATCCACACAAAACCACTTAATCGAATTATTATTTATCTGTTTAAATTTTATTTCAATTTTCCATTTCTTCCCATCTTACAGTCTTATATACATAACTCCAATAATCCTATATTATTCATTTTTAATCTTATATAAAAAATGTAATAGTCAAAAATATTTTCATATCACTAAAAGAAGTCTCATGGCCTCGTCAAGACTTTGACATTGTTGGATTTACTTCAAGAAGAATGTTTTCGCATTGATCTCTCTTGCATCTTCAATTTAAAGCAAGACTTTCAGATAGTCAATAACACCAATTAATTCCTAAGTGAGAATAATTTATACATTATCCTTTGCGTTATCAATATAAGGTATAATGGGAATACCATTATCAATTTAGTAAGCGAAAGAATAAGCAGCATTATCAATCAAAACAACATCCTTGAGATTTCTGTTCAAAATTCTCAAATCTTTTACATATATACCCTATTATGTTTATATGCAATGCTCCCTGTATAATCTACAAGTGACCCACTTCTTGGTTGGATCCAATTTGTCAATAATCTTGTCAGCATATAAAGGATGAGAAGCAGTGAAAATCATCACTTCGAAATGTTTTGAGCATTCCTGTAGAAATTACTAAGCAAAAGGTCTTACACTAATTCCTGCCTTTTTAATATAGTTTAGTATACTTCGTGAATCTGTCCATTTGGCATTTGGATGGGAACCTTAAAATCAAATTTCATCTATGGTTACTCATTACAATGGATTAGTGTTTCATCCAAATCAAGGACCAACGTTTTTTGCTTCTCTATTCAATAAATGCATCAATTACTAATCTATTATAATTGTATGGAACGATGCTCTATTTCCTTAACGTCTGGCTGAAGAAACTGCTTGCTGAGTTATAGACTATGAAACTGTTGAACAAAGTGATTGATGTATAGTTGGGCATACAACCCTTCCAAATTTAATCCCTTGAGATACTTCCTTAAGTTATCCATGTAATAAGTGCCTAAGTTGATCTGCTTGAATTGGTTAAAGGATGACTCCTCAGAACCTTGCGAATCTTCCTACAACCATTCGAAAGACTCTGTTCTTTTTACTCTTAGAGCTTTGAGTTCTTATTTGAACTCGTAAACCTGGAATTAAGGATTGATTTCCTATTTTTGGTGATAATTTGTTTTCCTGATTTTATTGATATTCGATTTATCTGATGCCTTAATTTGCGACTCCTTTGAAGTAAATTAACTATTATTGAGTGAAGCATCTTTAATCACTCTTCTTGTAGTCTGTTCTTTTTTATTGGTAGTCTGGGAACTAAAAAATGGGAGTTTGATATCTGTGTATTATTTAGTTGGGGACAGACACTCTATCTCCATATTTTGTTCTTGCTTTGGTTATATAATTAAATTAGGACTCTTAACTAATTATCATCTAATTATATACCTCATGGTCATAATACGCCCTTCCACTTTTACTCAACATTCTTGGTGTTTGATTTTTCGGTAGTGACAGCTTTTCTAACATCATTATAAGTTATTACATTGAAAAGAGTTTCCTAATCCTAGACAATCCTTTGGGATGCTTCTTCCTTTCCTTTAAAAACTGCTATCTGATATTAATTAATTGTTGTTTGATGCATTCATATAAATTTTTGAAGGCGAAGGCTTTCTGTTGCTATCAATTATATTATCTTTTGAATTATCATTTGTAAGAATTCTAGCATTACGTTTCGATCTCATAACTTATAAATTAAATATTGAATAATACAGAAAATCATTGAAAATAATACAACATATTTTAACTTCATAATTTTTAATAATAAAATAATCATTCTTTCCTTTTTATATCTTTCACTAAAACTTAGAAAGGAAGTTCGAATCACTACAAACTGATTATTCAAGTCCTTCCAACTATTGTGATTACTATGAAATATTTGAAAGATAAACCTAATTTAGCTTTAGCGATACTGATAATCTACTCTACGATTTTAATAACTAATAAAAATCTTCTTTCATTAGTCCTCTGAAAAGCAGATTTTCAAAACTGTCTTTATCATCAGCTAATTGAGGAAACTTTATTAAAAATCCTAAAATCATAATCGCATGCTCTAATCCTATTAAACCGCCAAATGCTAAGCATGTTATTAAATATTGTTACATTTATAAATTGTAAAACCTTATTTTTCAACTTACGTACTGATTTATCCAAGATATTAATGGAAGTCCTTATTTTTATTAGTTCTTTCAATACTCTAATTAAAGTCTTCGTTGAATCTATCAAATAGTTACTGTTTCAGAGTAGGGTTAATTAAATTACTAAAAATGTTGTAAAGATTTTAAAAGACGTCAATTTGATCATCCTTAATTTTCTTATTATGCCATAAAATCATCAATCCACTTATCTCTTGAGCACTCAAGTTTTTTAAATCTGGATAACATTTTTAGATTGTTTCTCTTATTATATCAGTAAAATTAAATATTTCAATATTTTATTTTGTCGATAGATATTTTCCAACTTCAGCAGAACAATTCTAGCTAGCGTGAATGTATAAAGAAAAAAAGTTAGTAAATGTGTAATAAATAGCATCCAAATACTACACGATTTATTGATTTTATTTATTTATTTTAATTTATGATTAAGTTGGATTAATCTCGTTTTAATTAGATTTAATCTTAATTTTTGATTGTCTCTTAATTAATTAAGTTTGCTAAGCTTCTAAGTCTCTCTCTAAAGATATTAATTAATTATACTCTTTTTGTATGTCTCAATAGTGTAGTTATTTTCTTCTTCTACCTTTAATTACATCATTTGTTGTTATTCTTCACTGATCTTAAGCAAAATAATTAAGGTTTCTAAATTAAATTGGTATTTACATAAAATTAGATGCACATTCCTATCGCATGGTTCATAAGTAAAAGCTATCATGCAACACTCTAATGCCTCATCATATCTTTCGAGAGCTATATATGACTCCGCTAAATAGTCTGAATAGATCATTACATTTAGCCATGAAGTACTTTTTATCTTGTAAACGTTGATGAGCCATTTCGAAACATTAAATTGCCTTTTCGTGTTCATTCATTTTTTAATAAGTTATTCCTACAATATTAAAAACACCATTTACCTAAATAAAAATCATAATTTGGATGACTATCTAAATTCTTGATTTAGTTCATATAATCTTATGCTTATTAATATTCATTCTTTAGCATACATAGTTCATCTAAAATTCTTATTTTTCTTACATAAATTTAGCAAAATTTAACATTTTTTAGGCTTTATTTGAAGAGCCTGCTTTAAGCAGGTTTCAGCATCTTCAAATTTTTTCAACTCTATGTAACAGAATGCTAAAAAACGATAAATGTATATGAATTTATGTTTTAGTTTTAGTTTTTCACCAATTTCACTTGCCAAAGTTAATTCACCTTACATAAAATGAATTATCATCTCTGAAAATAACATTCCAGAATTCTCATCAATTTTTTTTAATTTGCCAATCTTCGTACATAAAAGGACTAATCCAATTTTTATTCTGTCAAATTACTATAAAATTTCCCTCTCTTTATTCTTGTCTGGCAAAACAAGATCACCCATTTTTTTAAATAATTAATATATTTTCGCTGAATTCTATTACGTATAAATTACGCCTATATCTATTTAATTTAAAGTTCAAAGTTGTGATATGTAATTATTAGATAAATTATGATTTCATATAAATACAGATCTCATAATAATTTACTTAGCGTATGAGTAAAATTTATATCAATTTATTATCATTATAATTGTAAAAAATGAATTAAACTAATTCAAACAATGATTCCTCATTAATTCAAAATGAGGATGATTAGAATACATTATTGGAACAAAATAAGTATGAATCAAGCGCATTTAGTTAGATTGCCGTAAATTGAGAAATCCTTTTTTATAAATCAGGTCGAATATAAATATTAAGGACCTGATCATCCACAAATAGCAGAATTATTAGAATTGTTGGATGAAAAGCAAAGAAAACCTTTATCTAATTAGACTTTGGAAAGCTTTAGACAAAAAGTTATCTATTATGAATAAAAATTCAATCAAAATTGCACATTTATGGACAACATGTGTTAGATATCATTTTACTATATTTTGACAATTATTGTTTATATGAGCATATATTTTACATATTTAACTAGTGTGATTGTATAACTTAGTTAAACTATGATTAGTCTTTGAAATCAGATGATATTATCGTTAAGAATTCAACTAAATTAAATATAGTTTAATAATTGCCGGAATTCGGATTTATGATTACAAGTTTTACATTAGCGTAATTTATTTGAATATACAAATAGGATAATTATAATCAAAAATCAAGTAATCTTACTATTATTGTTTGTATTTGGATGCATAGTGCCAGCATTTTATTTATTCTATGTATTCCTTGACGTATTTAATTTGAATAATAGTCCAATTAATTATGATATGGTTTTGTTGTTAAGTGTATTAATAATTTCTGTTTTTAATGGCATTGTTGTTTCTGTGCTTCAACAGATAGTGGAAACCATGTATAATTAATTAGCTGGAGCCTTATTCTCAAGTGGTTGGTGTTTATTTGTAATTTACTTGTTAGGATTTTTAATATTTTCATATGTGATAGGTTTGGAGATAATCACTGCTGAGAAAGTCATCAACTACATCATTAATTCACTATACATTCCCATATTTGTGTCCATAACATTCTCATATGTATTGATCAATGCAAGATTATTTGATTGGCCAGCTGGAATTATTAAATCAGCTTTGGATAGAATTAAGATTAAGATATTAAAATAATAAATTGAAAAAGAGCAATAGCAATCCCAAAAATTAGTTCAGATAAGCACATATATGTCTAAGTTTGTAATTTATTCAATAGGAGCAGCTTATTTGACAATGGAAATCATTTTTTATATTTTGTTAGCCTCCGAATTGAAAAAAACAAATGTTAATTACACAGCAATAATTACTTTATCATTAGAACTAATAATCATTCCATTTTATTTATTTTTGGGAGTCTTCATATCAGTAAGTGATAGGAAACCATAATATACCTATTTAGCTGTACCTTTAGTTATAGGGGCTCCAATAATCTTTGGATTCTTGAAATTGGGCGATTATTTGCAATATGAAAAGGACATAACCAACTTCACTGAAATTCTATATTATTGTCCATTGTTTGTGAACATCCTTTGGTTGTCATTAACTTTGATGGGACTGGACAAAAGAAGATTGTTTATCAATTCCTTGGGATTCGTTTGTTTTTTCATTGCAATTCCAATTGGAGTATTCCTACCACTTTATAATCTATATCAATATTCTTCCTTGTAAGTAATCTCATACATCTTTGTTGTGATAGGAATGATAGTTTTGTTAATGGTGTTGTGTTACTTTTTCTATTAATCCCTTAAAACAATTAAAAGAGCCAAGGAATTAGCTGATCAAATTGTTCCAACATTTGATGAGTTCAAATACTACAATCTAACAGATTTAGCCTTCTGTATAAATTCAGTCTGTTTCTTAATTTCCTACTTTATAATAAGTTATTTCTTTTGGTATATATTTGATCAAACTAACACGGCAACAGTTACAGAAGGTGCAACTATGTTTGCTATTATGGTCATTACACCAATAATATTTGTGCTTATCAATATTGCACTTGGACATCGATCGTTAGAAATCACTTATGAATTTGCATAGGACATAAAAGAACTATAGAAATTGGAAGAGTAGAAGAATAGAAAGAGGATTTAGAAGAGGTTTTATCAAAATACTGCAGTTTGTTGTGGTATTTTGGTACCATTAACCTTATTTATTCCAATATCTTTGATAACCTCAAACGAAAGGGCTTCCATATTTTTCGAAGCATTGGCCATCGGAGTTCCAGTTTGTTTTCTGATGTACAAGTTCCTTGTGACAATTAAAAACCATTCAATTGCATTTGAAGATTTCTTTTAACCCTTTGTTAGCTCATTATTATGGTGTTGTGTTATTTTTCCATTTGGAGTTATAGTACCTACAATGGCAGTGTTTTTTAATAATTCTGATTCAACTTTCTAATACTTTGCATAAGGAGCAGTTGGATTAGGGTTATTTGTGTGTATGATTGGAGTGACAGGGACATCATTGTTTTTATCATTGTTATTGAATAGAGAAGAATTCGAAAGGAAGAAAAGAGAAATCTTGAAGAAAGTATTGGAGATGTTGAGAGAGAACTATGTTCTATGTGATATAAGTGTTGTTGGTATTCTGTATATGAAATACTTGAATAAGTTATAGATTATCTATACAAAATTGAATGCTATAAAGAATTAGACATAAAAAAAGAAATAGAAATAAGAGGATTTGAAATAATTGAAATAATCTTTGACAGAAAATCTAATCTAAGGAGAACCTATCAATGTAATAAAATATGATGGTCCAGAGTTAGAGTATGATCACAAATTGGTAAGTAGAAATGTATATCAAGAATATCTTACATTATTAGAATAGGAATTGTTAGATAAATAGAAGAACATTATTAAAGAATAGGAGTTGACAGGGTTCAAAAAGTACTTAATGGACTGTTTGTGTTGTAGATGTGGTCTAGAAGAAATGAATGAATTAGAAAACCAAAAAAATGTTGAAATAATAAAACTGAGAGATCTCTTTAATTTAGATGAAGATACTGGGTAAAAGATGAATGATTTGATCCCACAGTTCACTTCTGTCTATAAAATTGCAGAAGAAACTGATACCCTTATTAAGAAGATAGATTATCAACCTGAAGATAAGCAAATTCTATACAAACAAAAGTACAAACCAGTTTAAGAAATAAAAAGTGAGAAGACTGATAGTCTGAGTCAGATTCAAATAAAGAAATTAAATGATAAAGCATTAGGCAATATCAAATCGTCAGATCAATACTTCTCATTATAATCATCCGATCAAATGATTGCAGAGTTTATGCATGAAGTATTTATGGAATTTGCCAATAACGACTAAGGATTGGAACCTTCCATTTGTTTTGCTGATTTATAGGAATTCAGTAGAATGACTGAATTGCACTTTGATTTGATTGATTATGAGAAGTATGCCAAGACTATCTGGGTCAATTAAACTTATAGTTTGAATGAAGTCTAATTTGCTGGTTTGATCAAAGGCATGATCAAAGGGTATGATGGAGATCTTTTCGATAATCTGAAACAATTGGTCCTTGATCACATCTATCCTTAATTAATCACTTCGATGAAAACATTAATGATTAATTTCAAATATTCAAATAAAAAGGTATTACAAAATAACAAAAACTCAGATAATCCCTTTTTAAGATAGAATTTTACTTCAAATGCTGTTCAAACAGAGTTCACAAAGTTTGATGCAATTAAAGTTAAGTAAGTATTCTAAGAGGAGGTAGCCAATCAATCTAAAATCAATTAGAATAATGCAGAAAATAGAGCTGCCAAATTGTCTAAAAAATAAAAAGAATAATAATATGAATAAGGCAGATAGGAGATCGAATCAGCATACGCCTAGAAATTACCTTGTCATAAGAAATGTTGCTATTCTTGTAATGACTGGCTAAGAGTCAATATCATAGAGAAATACTTTCCTAATTTGGCTGCTGCTCAACCAAAACCAAAAATTGAAAAAAAACCAATGCTAGATCATAAAAGATAAAAAATGCCTGATTGGAAAATAGTTGCTAAACTCACGATTGAAACTTTGTTCGAAGCAACTGAAGAATATGAGAAAAACCTTGCTAATCAATAACAGAAATCAATTGAATTCAAACCCACTTCCAGTAATATCCTTGCTTTAATATTTAAGATATATGATTTGTACAGTTTAGCAAGTGTGGCATATAACCCATAAGTAGGTTGGTTTGGTAGTACATCTGTATCAGGATCAGATACAATTAGTGGATCTGCATTCTATGACAGCTATGCCTTCTTTTTCTATTTCTCCTTGGGAGTATCCATACTGTATGGACTCTTAGGATCCCTGAGTTTAGATGCTGTTCAAAAGAATACATTTGGACAAGATGAAAATGGCAATTTAGCTAGATTTCCTCATATTCAATTCATTCTTCCAAGAGTTATCTCCATTTTGAGTGGTTTTTTCATGACAGTAATGAGAACATTCATGGATGCCTACATTTGTGATTATAGTAGCCTGCCTTACAAATTTGCTAGAGAAACATCTGTCGAATGTTTAACATCTGAGCATTACATTTATATGGGTTTAGGATTGATTGGAGTCGGTATTTATTATCCTCTCTCAACTTATTTATAACCTACTTTCTAATTCAGCGATCATTCATTGGATTTAAAGTTCAAATCCACTTACATCATTATATATGTTTAAGCTAAACTGTTGATTATGGGTTTGAGTTCGTTCTTTAATACATTGGATAGTTCATTTGAATACTAAATGCTATTTTCAATTGGAATCCTAATTTTTGTTCTTGGCTTTCATATCAAAATGGAACCCTGCTTTGTCAAATGGTACAATATCATAGAGCAAATGCTAATTTTAATCATCATTTTTATTTACACAGGTGCAGTCATTATCATGATGACTGGAAACAATGTAATTGGGATTATTTTCACCGCCGTTGCAATTGCAATTGGATTTCTTGCCATTGCAATCTATCTCAAAAGATCAGTAATTCGTACAGGTACTACCTAAAAGGTATCGCCCCAAGATAATCTTTCAAGTAAATGTTATATATATCCTTAGTTATTGAAGTAAAACCAATTCCAGAAGAAAATAGACTCAATATTTATGATTTGATTGCGGAATCCTAACTTGCATAACAAAACCAAAAGAAACCAAAAAAGAAGACTCAAGATAATACTGATTTCAAGGAATAATACCCTAATCTAGACATGACAGTTGGTGATCCCAATAGAAGCAGCAATTTGGACGAGTTAGTTAAGGTTAAAGATGAAATTAATATGGAACCGATTTTAGTAAACAAATCTAATTTATCAAAATTGAGATTATGAATTGATCAAAAAATATATATATGTCTTTATAAATCATTTATTTACTTAATTAAAATTATTATGTTTCATTTGGGATTAATTTATCAACAATTTTAATTTGAAAATATAAAAATAATAGGAAAATTGAGAAAGTAATTTAATTTATAAACATCAGATTATCGACATTCTTGCTTTGCCTTTATTCCATCTAACAAGTTTCCCATCAGCCCATTCTCCCTCTTTTTCGATTCCATTGTATCCTAAATAGATTCCAACACCATGTTATTTATTGTTCTGCCAATCTCCTTTGTAGAGCTAAAGAAATAAAGATATCTATTATTACTCTACCATCAGGCCACTCGAATTGACCTAAGCCTTCCTTGATACCGTTATTGTATTAACCCTCATATTTCCTTCCATCTGGCCATTTAAATTACTCAAACTAAAATTAAAATTTACTCCATTTCCATGCATACAATTATTCTTCCAGTATCCATCATAGACTCTACCATCTTCCCATTTGAATTACCCAACTCCTTCAAGATTACCATCAACGAATTATCCTGTGTACATTGATCCATCCGACCATTTGAATACTCCTTATCCGTTTTTAAGTCCATTCTTATATTCTCCACTGTAAGTAGTTCCATCATGCCATATCTCCATTCCTTGACCACTTTACACATCATTTTCCCACTCGCCTACATATTTTAATCCTTCAATGCTATAGTATATTCCCTAAAAAGAGATGAAGAATCAAATTACTTTGCCAGAAGCTTTATCATTTCTGAATTCTCCCTCATAAATGTTGCCATCGCTGTGAACCAATCTCCCTCGACCATCAAACATATTAAAGGCCCAATATCCTTCATAAAAGGTACCATTTTGCCAATACTACTTTCCACATCCATGTCTAAGACTGAATAATTAGTTTGCTTACCCATTTTTCCACTGTCCATGGTAAATGGAACCGTCATCTAATTAATAAATTGGAAAATTAAATTTATTGTCTTCTTCGGTGTCATACTTAAAATTTGTATATAATAACAGAATCTTTCAATTAAAGTAAAATGTCAGATTACCTTGTTAATTCTACTGCTTAAATAGTCAGGTACTTTTGGTAATTTCTTGACTTGATATATTTATTGATGCTGACTTTTAGTCATTTAAGTTAGTTTGGGGTCTTGAAATGGGAAGGTGTCTTTGAAACTTAACTCATTAGAATAATTGTATTGTTCTTTTGATATCATCTTCTATTTCCTCAACTTTTGTATTAGATTTTAATATCTTTTCCTCACAAGATATCCTCTAGCACAGGCTTACACTTAGTTCACAATCTTACCTTGGATGAATTGAATTTGCTTATGGTATTTAATATCGTATTCAGATATGATAGTATTTTGTATTTAAGTTTATAAGATGATTTGACAATTCTTCTCCTATCCTTAAGATCCGGTGCAGCATGATCCCATTAAAGTTCTAACTTTCAAAATAATTTATATTAAAATATATATATATTCATCAACAATAACGAAATGATCTTATCTTGATTACTCATTTTGTTTGATGTTTATTGAACCCATATCCTCATTAAGCTATGATTGAAATAGTTCAAAAATAATGAATAATTAATTTAATATAATAAATGAAAAAGTAGTTGCCTAAGAGTGCTTCACAAACTGCTATTCAAAAACCAGAGAAATCTCAAACAATGAAGACTCCAGAAAGACATGGCATCCCTAGAAATGTCAATTACTATAGCCATTTCTTAGTTGAACCCTACATCACTGAAAAGGATATTGAATTTGTGCTCTAACTAAGAAATATTGATCATGTAGAATCTCTATCATGACATTAGGCAGAAATGACAGCGAAATTGGCTAGAATACCAAACCAAACTTTCTCAAGAGGAGATCAAAAGATTGAGTCTTAAAAGGACAAGCACCTCTCAAGAGATGTGAAGTATAATGGCAATTCTACTCCAGTCCTTCATCTTCTGAAGGGTAGAATTGGTCCCACTCCTCATTTAAGTTAAGCAGAATTTGAAACTGGTCTACGATCCTACGCCAAAACTGATAAAAGTCTGGTTGAAAAAGAACGTAACTGGACTACAGTCCCAAAAACTTAACGTAAGGATGCTTTCCCTGAATTCCTGCCTAATTACAAGGAAGAGATGGCGAAAAAGAAATCAGTGAGTATAAGTGGAGGAAAACTTGGAAAACTTACATATAATGGTAATTATTTCCTTTAATTAATCAAGCATTTGATTCAGATTCAAATTACCCTCCTTACCTAATGAAGTTTCATGAAAAAAATCTACAGAGTGTGAAACACATGTTTGTTCCTGCAATTAAGATGTCAACTGTTTAATGGTAAGATGGATTGAGACCACTGGAGCCCATAAAAAAAGAAAAAAAGCCAAAAAAATGATATTTGAACCTATTATAATTAAATGTACTCATATGAGTAAATGTTTATTTATAAAAATTCATATTTTTTTATTATATTTTAATCTCCTAGTAGGATAGGCTATAAAAATATCTACTAAGCTGATTTAGTGTAGATCCATAAGAAAGTTAATTAGAATAATAAATATATATAACGGGTTTTATACAATCAATCATCTTCTTATTTTGGATTTACCAGATTCAGATTATTTTCTGCTTAATAATGAACAATATTAACTTTGAGTGTGAATTGGTGTAATGTATATGTATGCTTATTATTATCGAAAATGATTCATATCAGGAAATCAATAATTCTAGCCATTCTATAATAAGTTACTGTTTAACTTCTTCTCATTTCTAGTTTAATCTGAACAGATGAAACCATCTTATATCCATTAATCTTGCATATTTAATTGACTTTGTAATTTAATGACTATATGTATATGGAAACTGAATTGATACTAATATTAAATATTTATGGGTAATTGTTGTCCAAAGGGCAATGTAAATTCTGAGAGAAGCTCTGTTGCCAACGTTTTAGTAGAGGAAGTGGAATAGACCAAGATGAAAGCCACCTAACCTATGCAAACTAGCCCAAATTTAGCCTCAACTAGCAACGCATTGACAGTACAAAAACCAAAAGGTTAAGTAAATAGGGAGGACTTTATTAAAATCGATAAGTTGGGATATGTAATAAAGAATTCTATTAAAAAGGGAGCTTTTGGAGTGGTTTATAAGGTGAGATAGAAAAAGACGAATAAAATATATGCAATGAAATAAATAGAGAAGGAGAGGATATTCAAAAACAAGTTACAAAACAATACTGTTTTAGAACGAAATGTTTTAAAGTAAAGTAAGCACCCTTTTATTGTCCGTTTAAAATACGCATTTCAAACAAATTCCCATATATATTTTATTATGGAATACATTGCAGGAGGAGAGTTCTATAGGATTCTGGGTCAGGTGAAGACAGGGTTGCCGGAGAATGTTGTAAAATTTGTGGCAGCAGAGGTAGTGTTGGCACTTGAATACTTGAATACAAAATTAAAAGTGATATATAGAGATTTAAAACCAGAGAATTTGTTACTAACAACAACTGGACATGTGAAGTTGACTGATTTTGGATTGGCAACAATGAGAAGAGAAAATGGAGAGAAATCATACACTGTAATAAATATATATTAAATAATTATATAGGTTGCTGGGACTGCAGAATATCTTGCACCAGAAATAGTGAACAAGTCAGGACATTCATATGAAGTAGATATCTGGACTTTGGGAATAATGATTTATGAGATGATCAATGGTTTCACACCTTTTCGGGATTCAAACAATGACTTCAAGATGATTTCACAAAACATTATTGAAAATCGACCTGTGTATCCTGAAAAGATGTCCTCACAAAGTGTAGATTTGATTAAACAGATCTTGCAGACTAATCCATCAGAGAGATTAGGAGTGAAGGTAAAGAAATTGGTATTTCTAAATAGGGAGATGGATATGCTGAATTAAAACGACATCCATTTTTTAATGGTATCATTTGGGATCAATTGTCAAATTTGAAAGTGACATCTCCTCTGAAAACATTTGCTGAGAGAAATACTCAGAAAATGGATAAATAACCATAGAATTTTCAAAATACCCCTTGTAATCCATAGAGTCCAAAACTAAAAATTGATGGAATAACTTTTGAAGGAGAAGGTGGTACCTTATCTTCATATTTTTGAAATTATAATTAAATAGATGACTTGAACAGCATTAACAAAATAATCAATCATCATCTTCGATAGGATAACCTCTAATCTTGCTCATGGGAACGAATATTTAATTTTTCCATCCGTCTTCCAACTTGATCTTATCAACATCATTAGGGAAATTGGTTTAGGTGATTTTCAATTCACAACTATCTTCCCTTTCTATCAATCTGAGTGTGACATTTGAGTGTTATTTCCAATTGTTGAATTTCCAAGTCATTTAGATCTCTTGATTTTCAACCTAAATAGAAATGTTATCATACTAATTTATTGAAAACACCCTCGATACGCCCTTCCATTATTTTATATTGTCCTCCTTCCTTTGGTTCAACAATAGCAGGTGCTCTTGTATATTGCATAATCTCAAATGGATCAAGAATAGCTTAGTAAATGACCTTTGATGGCACTCCCCAAACAATAGAAAATTCTAATTTGTCCATATATTAAAATTAATATAAATTCTCTGAAATAATTCTTTATAAATATTATTGTATAAGAGTGTTCCAGAAATGCATTCAATTTAAACTAATAATTCATTATTGAATAAATTCCAATTTCAATTCGCTGAATTCAGCTTAAAAACTAGACTCCTGAGGACTGCAAGCATAGATCCCAACAAAAGTCTCTTGAGTCTCTTTGTGTAAATGACACACTCTTATTTCGTGGAATTCTTTTCCATCATAAGAGAATTCTATATTGAAGTCTTATCCTTTTCTCTTTAATCTATAGTACAGTTCTTTAACTTGAGAGGACACTCTTTGATAACCCCAATCCGAGTATCCAAGATTTGTTACCACTGATCCCAAAGTTGAATAGTTTTCATCGTGGTACTCAGATGATGCTTTAATCCAATTTTCTTTGTCTTCAAACAAAATGATTCCAGCTTGATCATATAAGACTTTTGATGCTGAATTAACTTTGCAAGTGAATACAAAATCACCTTTCACCTTAGTAACATAGGTTGGAGCATCATATCTTATAAATCCATAATGAGTTTTGGACCAATAATCTGTTTTGGGCTCAGTCACTATTGTGATCCTTTCATTTTGGTTTTTCCACTCTTTTGGTTCATTCAACCATTGCCAAACTAGATTACTTTAATCCATAATAAAATATATTCTAAATTATATATATAAATTGAGTGATCATCCATATCTTAGCCAATCGATGAATAGATATATGCAATAGGGTATTCCAACAATTATGGCCACGACAATCCCTAAAATGACTAGTAGAAAACAAATTGGAGATAACAGGGGACAGGCTATAATGAAGGCAATAATAATAGTTGTTTTTTTGCAGCAGCTATATTCTTCGAATTGATGATATGGAACATAGTTCATATAGAATATAACTGGCAATCCAATTACTAAAACTATAAATCCCAACACCAAGGCCACAATAAACAATGGGGGTCCCAATATCAAAATCAATAGAATTGCTATAAATCTGTATAAATTTGGATATTTAAACGGATCTCTTTGTGTAAATTGCATCCCTGGACATCCAAAAATATTGTAATTTGAATAATGACGATAACTATATTTGGATCTGCATAGCCAGCAAAATTCATATTTGCAGGTTTTGCAAGTCATATGATTGCACCCATCATTTTTTTAGATTGGAGATTTGCATTTCAAACATTTTTAGATATTTAACTTTTTGATAGTTTTCTTAAAATCCTTATCAATTTGATCATTGCATGTCTATCCTTAATGTCTTTCTCTCCCACACTTACGACATATTTATTAACCGCATTTACATCTTAATTTTTTTTAACCACTCCTCTTGAGTGTTTCTTCGCAACCTACTCTTGGACACCAAATGATATCAGGATCCTGTTGCAGCTATTTGATTTTTCTGAACCTTCTCAATTTTTACATCATATCTGGATCCACAATCTATCTTATGTAAGCGTCGCTCAATTAGAAATTACAATCAGATTATGGACATATCATTTGATCAACTTATCCATTCACAATTCGATCTATTAAATAGGCTTTCATACAAGATCTATGATATAGATTTGTTATTACAAACAAAAAGTGTGACAACAATCCATTTCTGGGCAACGGTCATCAATTATTTGTTCCATACAAATTCCACAAATAACAGTAAGAAGCTACTGTGATTATCTATTACTCTTATATCCTAAGTAACTCATTAAGTTTGGACTCATTGTTCCCAACATATCAATTAGTTCTTGCCTGTGTTTTCTCTGTTAAGTCTAATCCTCATTTTAATAATTCTGATAAAAAATATGGTTTGCTATTTACATTTAGAATCAAAATTGCTGAGATCACCTTGTTTAAAATCATATTCTCATCAAGGGTTTTGAAATCTTCATCAATTATACTTTTTAATATTTCTTCTGAGTAATATTAATCAAATCCCATAGCTAAGATTTTGATCATTATATTTTTTTCTGCACATTATCTTCCATAACCTTCAGACATCATTGGAAGCGAATTTGGTCGAAATTGTTCTATTTCGTCTTCATCAAAGAGATCCTCCTCTAAGATGGCAGCCTAATGTGAACTGCTTTGATTGAATTGATTGTCCAAATGAATTTTTGCCATCTAGGATGTTCTTTTATAATTTTTATATTAACTTTTAATTATTCAATCATTATTTATGAGGAAAAGAATACATAGTTATCAATTACCTCGACTTAACAAGATAAATCGATCCAATACCTATGACCAACACGAAACAATCAAAAGAAACAATAGCTGTTTCATCCTTCAACTCAACAAAAGATCATAGTTGCTAATGTCCTTTTTTAAGGATCCAAAAAATGATCACCTCCCTTAACTTTTTAATATTCCCGTAACTAACTATGATTAAGTAGGATGATATAGATTTAATTGAGATTCAGGCAAACATTCATTTAGAGTATATAGCAATAATTCTATGCTATCTGATCAAACATGATTTAACTGTTTCCTTGCTGTATGGTTACAAATGTAAGTTTATCAAGACCACTCTGATGCATCATCAAATGTGGATGAAATTTATCAAGCTAAGAGAAGAGCCCTTATAGCAACTCCTTAAACTTCAGTCCTCTCTAGATTCAATTACATCAATTCTCATACAATAGTATGCTTTTATCTATCATTTTCCAGTCACATCGATGACTCCCATCTGAGGATTCACTTGTTAGAGTATTTTAGATTGAAACTTCATCAAAGCAACCTAGCTGTGTATTCCAAAATTATTATCAATAAAATTATACCCCTTTTACAAACTCCAAATATAGTGGGTAATCACATACCCATCAACCTTGAAGCCTACACTCTTGTCTTGGATATGGATGAGACGTTGATTTATTATGATGGTGACAAAGTTTATTAGCGCCCATTCTTATTAACTTTCTTAAAGTAAATGAGTCGAATATATGAACTAATTTTATTCACTGCAGGACTAGAATCTTATGCACATAGAATCTTGAATAAGCTTACTATGAAGCAATACTTTTCTTATTTTCTTTTTCGATAACATACCAATATTTATAAAGATTTCTATGGAAAAGACCTCAGAAAGCTAGGAAGACTTTTGTCGAAAACAATTATCATTGATAATACTCCTGAGTGTTTTAGTCTGCAACCAGAAAATGGAATCCAGATTTAGACTTGGAAAGGGGATTTGTCAGATGCAGTACTCTTAACCTTAATCCCTATCTTGAAAGCAATAAGATTTAGCAATAAGGATGTCAGAGTGAAATTAAGAGAATATAAGAATTACCCAGGTTTAATTTTCCCTAAATGATATATTATTATGAAATTTATTTAACGTCTCCAGTGATTATAATATTTATTATTAATGAATAAAAAACATATCATTTTCATATTATAAAAAATCATAAAATAAATAAGTATGATGCCTTATTTTTAATTATTTCAATCTTGATAAATAGTTCTCAGTAATAATGAAACAAAACTAAGTGTTCAAAGAGATTTAACACACAATTAATAGAATAAGACCATAAGATATAAGTGTTTGCATTACTTTGATTATTAAATAAAATAAAAAATAAAAATTAAAAGATTATGAATCTATCATTTGTTTCTTTTTTATCATGGGGACTTCAAGAAGCCAAACAATTCTATTATGCAAGGTCCGATTTTGAATAGAATAAAAATAAATTAGCCTAATTAATTACCGAAGTGACAGAAAAATTGAGAACATTCGAATAGTATTGGCACTAGCTAGAAAACACAAACGATAACGAAAATATAAATTTCATAAAGGAAGTTAAGGATATATTAGACCGAAGTAGTTAGTTAAAGAATTCTTTACCTTCTTAATAGAGCATGTAATATCTTTGATTCTAATAATTTTAGCGTTTAATGTTACTAGATGAGGAAAGAATAAATAAATGAGAAACTTTTAGAGACTTTGAACACCTTGGAAGAGTAGAAAAATAAAATAGATCTTTTAGTGTAGAATACAAGGAATATAATGCAAACAGTTATAATTCTTCCACCTAAATAGGTTAAGAATAGTAAATAATACTTATTATCATTAGATTAAATCTATAAAATATAATTAAAATTAAAACTTAAAGCAACTCCTTAAATAAAAAAAATATTTGATGATCACCCTCATCAATTAAAGACTGAGTATAATTATGAATTTGAAATGGAGGAATCTGGATCATCTAACAAAAACATTTATACATTCAAAAGAAATGATTTTTCTCTACTTGGTTAATTTCAAAGTACTCTTGGTCTAAACATTGAAAGTTTGTCTAAACAGAATCATTGCTCTTTGTAAATGAGATATAGGCTTAATTTTCCGAATAAGAAAGTTTAATAAAATCCTTTGTCAGAGACTCCAACACCAGCATCTGAATAAGAATCAGTTATCATTTCATAATAGGATTAATTTAATTATTCTGACAAATTTTCATTGTTTTTAATAGTGAATGGTAAGAATGCAGTAAAAATCATTCGCGACAAATCTTCAATATCTTTGAATTTTAAATAAGAATTAGAGTTACAAAAGAGTGATCAAATAGTGTTTTTTCAAAATTCTGAGGATCTCCCGTTGCTTTCATATGTAGTTTAGAACATACATATTACAAAGAAACAAGCTTAACCTTATTTAGAATATTAATAGAATTGATTCTATTAATATTAAATATTTATATAAATCAAAATATACTCTAAAGATCAGTGTATTATATTATTATTTATCTCTCCAGAATATTATTGTTATTATTAATGCTGCTATTGTATTTTATCAGGGTACAGGCTCTTATAAATAACCAAGATTGTTAGTAATATCATTAAAAATTGGTTATTATTCGGAACATGAAGGATTGATTATTTTATTGAGGATTCACATACAATTGGACCATTTGACCCTCCCAATCAATATTCATTCTCGTAACTCTAGGGGCTTAAGTGTTGATTTATCTATATACTCTTTCAATGAGCACTTGTGGAGGATCATTTTCGATCAATTCTGGTTCCAAGTAAGTGTTATATACGTAGTACCCGACCTAATCACATTATAGACCAAAATATCATTACTCTAAAGAATTCCTGCTTTCTATACTTAACACTGAGGATAATAGCACTAGCGCCAAATAAATCATCTTTACTAGGAATCAGCTCAAAATTTGGACCAGAACTCATCAAAGTAAATTACATAGTCCCTTATTACAGAGGAGGCATAGAGAACTATTCAAGTACTTGATCATATTTATCACTTGTGGGTGATCCTATATAAATAAGTCTATGGCTCATTAATTTAAATACTTCCATTCAATTTCCTCATCTAATTATCTCATCACTTCGAATGTGATTTACATTTGAATTGGACTATTAAAAAGTGCTGTGTCTGAATCAAAAACTATGTTGGTAATGTTAATCAATGCCATTTACAAATTTAATATTAATAAACCCTCAAAATTTTGTCTCAATTTTTAATCAACTTATATTACTTATGCATTTCCTAAAAATTATAATTCTTAACAAATTTATTTCATGAAAAGCAACCCATATAATTCATCAGATTTTCAATCTCCTATCCTTATATGATGCCCAAATTCAAACTGATTTTTTATTGTTATATCAATTACTCATAACTCAATAATGATTAATTACTAGCAATAATATTAACCAAAAACATGCTATAAATATACTTTGATCTTAAATTAATACTAAGTATGATCTATTATGTATAAATCCCATAATTAATAACAATTTATTAATTATAACTTAATGGATAAAATTATTGGATTGTTAATTTATTAAGGAAACAATAAAATTTAAGGTAATAGCCATTAAACATGATTGAGATCAATCCCATAATTAATATAAATATGTTTATAATATAATTAGTATTTAATTAAGTCATTAATATGACAATGATGATAAAATACAGACCTGTTCTGAAACAAGTATGCTGCTAAATTTTCATGCTAATGCTGATATATATTTTTAATGATTTTATGCAAAATCAAATTTGGTTGAGTAAATATAAGTGCAGGAGAGTTAAAATAAGAAATATATTTGTGGATGTATAAAGTTTAAATAATAAATCAAATAGAAAATATGCAACATCAAAGATTATGATGCTTTTAAGATCATAATAAGAATTTATTAAATGAATTGAGTATTCGCCAATCATTTTTTTTTATTTTCAAAATGTCAACTTTGGAATAGGAACTATTTTAATTAATGAAATCTATTTTTGGTGATTGGGAGACCTAGATGATGCTGATTGGAGTAGTTGTATTACAATTATAATAACAAGGTTAAGTCTAATTTAGAAATGAATTAGGTTGAGAAAGGAATGCAGGAAGTTTTGTAATTTAATTTAACCATTTTTCATTCATTTATATGAAAACTAACTAAACAAAGAGTTCATTTAGATCTAGATGCTGATTGAAAGTTAGATTAAGAATATATTTATAGGATTGTATTAAAATTGATGTGTTTGTGATTGGAACAAGAAGAATAACCAACAATTAATTCTGAAGGAATAGCAAATTTTAATTGAAGAACCCATCTCAGATATGAAAAAATTGAAGAACTGACATTGATGAGTATGTTTTTTATTTTAATTAAATATTACTCAGGGATTGACATTAAATTAAATATTTAATTTATGAGCACATTTTATTTATTTGAGGCAGCTGCTGGTTTAGCCTTGTTCTAATGTGATAGTGTAGATGAAACAAATGTCAAATCGAAATAGATTCAAAAACAATTCTCTGACTTTGCTTAATTTGCAGAAGTATGTCACTTAAAAGTAATTATCATTCCTTATTCAGGCTTTTCAACCATTTATTTCTGCTGAAATAGCTTTGAACAATGCTTTAGCAATCCATACAGGTACCGTAACTTAAGAATTGGTCGATTTCTTATCAACCAATCTCCCTGCTGTTGGGAAGAAGAGCAAGTAATCACACTGATTTATTGTAGTTTCTAAATTGCTATCTCCGACAAAGGTTTGGCTGCAGGACTCCAATAATATTTGAATTTGAAGAGCAAAATGAACGAAGCAACAGCCTAAGTGTTCAGAGGAATCAGAACTCATTTCGTTGATTTCTTGAGAAATGAAGATTTCAAAGAAAGAGATTACATTTAAGCTTAGTTGGGTTTGGCACATCAAGTATCCAGAAACAAAGTGAAGTTGGATATCAACAGAGAAGACAAACATGTAACTTAGGCTATAAGCATCATTGAATAAATGGACAAGGACTTAAACACACTAAGTATGAGAATCAAAGAATGGTATTCATGGCATTTCCCAGAATTGGCCAAGATTGTCACAGATAATAGAGTCTTCACCAGAATCGTTGATACCTATGGAGACAAGAAGAATATCAATGATGAAGCTTTGGAAGCTATTGAAGAACTCACAACTGATGCTGAATTGGCTAAACAAATTGTGGAAGCAGCCAAGATATCCATGGGTTAAGACATCTCAGAAATTGATTTATCTACTCTAAAGGATCTATGCATCAGAGTTCTCAATCAATTTGAATTTAGAGACAATATTCAAGAATATTTGAAGAACAAAATGATAGCTATTGCACCAAATCTTACAGCTTTGATTGGTGAAAATGTAGCTGCTAAATTAATAGCTCATGCTGGATCATTGATCAATCTTGCTAAATATCCTGCCTCTACCATCCAAATCTTGGGAGCAGAAAAAGCATTGTTCAGAGCCTTGAAAACTAGAGGAAATACTCCTAAATATGGTTTATTATATCACAGTACTTATATTGGAAGAGCTAATGGAACTGATAAAGGAAAAATCTCTAGGTATTTAATTCCCATTTAATTTTAATAGAAATCTAGCCAACAAGTGTGCTATTGCTTCCAGATTGGATCATTTCTTGATCTAACCAACTGAAAAGTTTGGAGTCAAGTTGAAGGATCAAATGGAACAAAGATTAAAATTCTTAACTGCTGGAGGAGAATTGAACAAAAATACTGACATCATGGATGAAGTATTGGCAGAATTAAAAGGAGAAGGACTTTATTTTGAAAGTGAAAAATAATTAACCCAAAAAAGACAAGAAGTCAAAGAAAGCCAAATCAAAAAAGGTTGTAGAAGAAGTCGAAGAAGAACCAGTAGAATAACCATAAGAAGCTCCAAAAAAGAAGAGAAAAGCATCCAAATAATAATGATATATAAATAGTATATTAAATAAAAATGTTACAGCCAATTCAATTTATGTTTCTGATGAATCTACTTTATTTAAGGATAAATCAAATTTAGAAATCATCATCTATTTATATTGTTTTATTCAAAACAAACTTATATCCTTTTGCATTTTCATCAAAGATTAAAATATGAATCTCCAACTTTTGATATTTATAATTTTAATAATAACTGTTTCTGATAAAGACATTTTTGTGGCCTTTTACCATTGTTCTAATTGACTATCCCTTATATAATCGATATTTAAGTATAAATAATGTTGAAATTATGGTATTTGATAACAATTTATACCCTATATTTTATAAACTATGCACAAATTCTAAATAAGTTAAAAATACTTGTTATAAACTTATGGATTAAAATATTTATAAATTTAATGAAACTTCTCATAAATTTTGTTATATAGAACAGGGTTCTATTAAAATATCGTAAAAAGATATAATAAAGATCAGAATTCAGTATCATTGTCATTATCTATCTACCATCCATTTAAACGATTAAAGGTTTCTCTAAATATAGTTTCATGTCTTAATTATTTGATTTATTTGCGATCTACATGAACTTTGCCTGGTCTTATCAGCCAATCACTCTTCTCTCTATTTACGATAAAATTCTACCTATTGTTCTTTTTTAATTTGAATCAGAAATTGTTAAATTTACACTCTTTTTACGTGAGATTATCTATTCAATACTCTTGTCTGGTTGTTGTTATCTAGAAGCAAAACGATTTCTTTTTATAATGGATTGGTTGTTAATAAGAATCTAATTCAAGTATTTGGATGATTTGCTTTAAGGTTTTGGTATTTGATTGATTTCACGTTTTTATTATCTTTCCTTGATATATGCATCAAATAGATTCTAGGCTGAAGCAATTGGTTATGGGATGTGTGTAGAATGGGATTTGTTAAATTTGGATTATTGAATTTCAACTTATAGTATGGTTTAGTGTGTTTTTCGACGCATTTGGTGTAAGTAATTCTATTAAAAAAAATAGATTAGATCTTCAGGTGATCTATTTCTTTGATCTGCCATTATTATTTATAATTAAATATATATACATGAATAAGATCTTCCCATAACCATCTGATTATTTGGCTCCGATGACCGAGTAGGAAAAAGTGTAAGTGTGAGTTTATAGTTAAAAGTTTATTGGAAAAATGGAAGAGTAATGAATTGGGGAATGAAAAGAAGAATGCAATTAAGATTAGACTATTTTTGTATTTGGGATTAAGCACAACGGCATATGGATTATTGGGAATTTACTTAGTGAATTCGATAGTAAAAGACATGGAGAAATCGGGAATCCAGAGAATGGAGAAAGAGGCATTGAATATTGCAGATAGCATAAAGAGAGCAGATTTCAAGTATGCCAGAAGTACTGAGATCAGTAATTAAATGTTGAAGATACTGAAATATAAGTAGGTAGTGTAGGGAGTTTGTTGTATAATGGGATTGTCATATGGATTGGCGTAGATGAGAATGTATGTTAAAGAGTATGCAGAGAATTATTAAAATTGAGTTATATAATTATTTAACGAATGCAACATAGAGTTTAATTGTAGTAGATTAATTAGAATACAAATGTTATTCCGATCTCGATTATGCAATCCCTCAAGGGTTTGAGCAAGTATTTCAAAAAGGAAAAATGCACATAAATTTAGAGATCTTGTACCTCATTATCTCCAAAACAGAACATAACTCGAAAGAACTCAAATCAAGTTGATAATCAACTCTTGAATTTTGTGAATAGTAATGAGAACAGATCAGTTCCAAATTTGTTCGAAAATGTCCAAAAAAAGAATGTAAATGCACCTCGCAATCAAAAAGTGCCTAAGGGTAGAAGTTCATCAATAATAATGAATAATATGAGTCAGGAGGATTGGAAATCCAAATACATGTAATTGAAGGAAACCTTAAATCAAAGGATTGTTACCCTCGAATAAGAATTGGAAAGGATTTATGGGATTGAAAATAATGCAACTAGCATCATTGATTAATTAAATCATTAAATAAATCAACAGAATTTATAATTAGAAGCATATAGAAATAGAGTAAGGGAAATTGAATTAGATTTGGATAGCAAGAATCAATAAATAAAAAAACTAACAATTGATAACAATTAATTCTAGATAATAATCAATGAGAAAAATAATTAAATAGATCTGTGGAGATAGGATTTGAGAACACCGAAACAACCGTTTCTGACTACTGCAATGAAATAAATTTAATCAATCTTTGAATAATTGGAGGTATGGCATCCATCAGTATTTTTAGAATTCACAAACAAATTATAAAATTCATACACCATTAAGTCAAAATTTATCAATATCTTCTTCGTCGATGGTTGAAATGATAAATGAAATGAAAGAGTCTTCTTGATATATATTATATATATATATATATGGTTAATTGATAATGCCTCAAAACATTCTATTGTTTAATTCTCTTTTAAGATTATGAGGAAAACACGAAATGCTTGGAGTAGGTCTGACCATTTCCATTAAATGATTAGGTCTATTCTGAATATGATATTTACTTGAAGGGATCTTTTCCTTTGACAAAGTCTATTCTTTAAGTAGGTTTAAGAGGATCTCCCTTATATTGAGGATATTTGCTTAAACAGCCAGTCTCACCACTTTTAGTTGGATTTGAAGGTTTAAAAGGAGCCTCATGTTTCATGATGTTTGGTTTAAACTCTTTGACTTAGGTTGGCTAAATTCCATATGAAATTTACTTTAGGTAAGTTGGTTTCACCAAAGATTTGCTTATCAGTGCTGAAATTATCAGTTGTATAAATGGTGCTTTTGAATGGCTATTTATCTTTGAGCATCTTTTATTCATTAAAGATCTTCTCCCTTTCGAATTGCCTATAACGATTGTATTCATCCTTTTCGTGTTTTGGGAAATGGCCCAAACTACTTGAACCAGGATTAGTGGTGACATTTTTGGGTCCAATCTTGACTCTGCCATCACCTCCCTTATGATTATTGGGCCCTTTTGGTATTTCATAATCAGCTTCATGATTATAAACTCCTCCAACTAGTTCTTTGTAACCAGATGGGGGAACAAAGTTCTTTTTATCATCATTAGCATATTTTTTCTTCTCCTCCAATTCCTGAATCCGAATTTTTCTTTCAGGGTCAATATATTTGTCACCTATGGTTGTAAAGCCTAATTGACTAAAATAGGAGGACTTGATTTTGCCCGATTGAGTAGCTGTGACCTTCATGTTTGGAGGAGATGTGATTGGTTTTCCTTATTCATTACGAGCAGCTAAACATTAACACAAATAGTAAAACGTCTTGGTTTATTATCATAACTATTGTCACCCAAACCTAGGGGAACAGGTGATGAAAATAGTCCAAATCTCTATACTGTGGCCAATTTCTCAGTATCTGCAAGAGCCTTTTTACCTATTTCATTTAATGTTGCTTCCTTATCAGACATTATTTATATAATAATTAATTAATCAGTTAAATGGACAGCAAAGAGAACTATTTTAACTTCAAATAAATGACAGAATCTTTTAGAAATGTTAAGAAATATTCATAACACTCAAACACCATTTTAGACATGTTTGTAGAAATCACCTAGAAATTGGACAAATCTTCCAAAGATTATTTGTCCAAAGTCATTCCTATTGACGATGACAAATAAACACTCAGTTAAGTTGATAGTATCATCATCATGAATTACTTCAAATAAATAGTCATCTATCTAATTAAAACCAAGGTAGAATTAGAAGAAAGAACACAATAAATTGAATCTCAGACCCAATATGAAACTTTGATTTAGAAGCTAGAAGCTGATGTTCGTTAACATATTCGAATCGAATAACAATTAAGAATCTATACTGAAACACTCTAATCTAAAATTGATGATTTTGTAATAGAAAGAGAGTAATAAACTCAATAGATAAAAGAATATGAATAATAAATCAAATAGAAAAACAAAGATATCGTAATCTATTAAAGTGAACTTCGTAAAGCAATCAATTAGAACTAATAAAGACATACTAAACTAATTACTGAGCCAATCCATGAAGATTATGATACTGCATACCACCTCAACAAGTTGAATTAAACCAATTATACACATCAACGTAAAGCCAGTCAATTTAATGAAGAAAAGTGTGCAGCAAATAGTAAGTATCATTAATATAAGAATCTCAACTCAATAGTTATAAAAACTCCCCAGAAAGAATCCCAATTCGCAAGATATCAGTGACTAACTATGCTGACACTAAGGCCATTAAATAGCCAGTCTTCATTCGATAACCATGGTATCTCTTCAATTATTATCCTTTAGTCCAATGTCATATTCACATTTAAAAACCGAGGTTTAACTCAGTTATAGGAGTAACAGTTAAGAGAGTAAATAGGCATCTAAGAATGCAATAAAATGATTTCATACTTATCATCTATTATTATTATGTATAAAGAAAACTCTACCATTTTCGTCGAATTTCTAATTTGATTGTCAAGTCAAAATAAACTTAACTAAATTAATTAAAATTTATGAGTTCGCAGATTAATGATATTTTAAGAAATGAAACAATCTACTATCGTAAATCTCATCTTCTCAGAAAAACTACTAATCAATAGAATAAGACATTTAGAAGAGGATTGATTTAAGACAGTTTAAATTAACCTACACATCCAATCAATTACTTAATAAAAAATCAGGATGTCTTTGTTCCCTTTATACACGAAAGAAATAGTTTAGGTCGTTTGATTAAAAGACCTAATTTATCATCTAATAGAGAAATCACTAATAAATAATTAGTAAAATCATCACTAAAATTGCCAAGAAATAAACAATTTTGTACATTCCTATAAACTGAACCTCCTAACTCAAATAGATCAGATGGATTAAAGACTAAAACTCAATCGACTACAGATTCATTTTATTCTTTCTTTACACTTAATAAGTGTAATCCAAATATCTTACTTAAGTCCAAAAACAGCGAACCATTTAGTTTTAGAAAATCATTTTATTAAAAATAACTATGATTTATATAAATATTATCATCCTTAATTTGCTGATGACATTATAGCTTATTTCACACTTTTAGTAGTCATGATTTTCTAGGTCTAATAACTAATTTAATATAATTAATAAATTACTTTCTATCAGGACTCTAATAGTTTTACACATAAGGCTGAGGACTTTGTATTCTTTGGGATACTTAAGACTACTTGATTTCATTTGAAGATTAGATCCTATCAACATATTAATTGTAAGATGTAGGAATCTAAGAAACTTAATTTATTCCAGATTATCTCGTTACAATTTAGACATTGGTCTTCTTAATACCTGAACTTTATTGTCCTATTAATTAATTCACAACTAATTAATCATTTTGTTTCTCAGTAAAAATCTATTTTTTGACTTTATTGTCCAATCTAGCATTTTCTTATTCTAAAATATGCAAACGTGATTCATAATCAGTGATATTTGTAATTAGAATTTAGATTTTATTCTCCTATTCTTATCTTATGTTTTTCTACCTCTCAATCTCAATATTTAATGTCTATATTTCATGTTCTAATTCTGTGACTCTTAATTACAATCTCTTTACTTATTCATTACTAATATTTGATGATTGAGATCTAATCTAGGTTATTTCAATCTTTGTTGAATTGTATTATTGTTCTAATTACTAATACTTCGATCTATACTGATTTAACTCCATTTATGTTTATTACAATTGATAAGTTAGTTATTAGATCTCTTGAATACTTTATTACTGTAATCTATCCTCTAAATTCTATCTTTCAATGGTTAATCTTGAGATGAACTGTGATTCTAATTCATCCCGTATTTACATATCTAAATTTCTCAATTCCAATTGTAATTTGTTGATTTACTAATTTTTTGCTTGTAATTCATAATCTGCCTCCTTTAATCTACTACTCAATCGATCTATTTCTATGGAGTTGCCTTTGAAAGTCTCACTTTCTCTTTAAATAATAACAAATCTTTAATTGATTTATTCATAGTCACTTTTATATTTCAAATTAAGCTCCTTTAAGCTCGAAATCTCTTAATTTAATTGCAAGTTAATTTATCTTAATTGCTACATTTGATCTCTTAAACTCTAACTCTCAAATTGACTTTGTCTAATCACCTGTTCCTTAGCTGATCTCAATTCAGTACTAGATTCCTAATATTTTATCTGTAATTGATCATACTAAATTTGCAATTATTTATACTATTATTGTAATTATTATAATTCGAATTGTCCTTACTAATTAACCTTCTACTCAGTAAATTGCATCTCGATTCTGAGTCTCTCCTTAAAAGACTATTCAAATTGGGCTTCTTGATTTTGAAGTTAAATTTTATATTATTATATTTGTGTTTCATATTAGAAAATTCTTTGTTCATATTGATTAATTCTTTACTTCAACACCTCTACTTCGTTATTATTCTATTATGAATATTTGATTTCACTTTCTCTCTCTAATAGTAAGAAGTTTTAGTTTAAAGATTCGTAATCATTTCTATATTTTCTAATTTATTCATTCAACTATTAGATCTCATTCTATTACCAACTACATCGATCTTATAATGTTTAATATTCATTCTAAATACTTGTGTATTAATAAGAATTTTTCTCAATTTACAATTTTTAAGATTTTAATTATTAATTTTCTTAGTATAATTATTCTTATTCAGTTTAATATCTCTTTATTAGATCCTTGTAAGTTTAGATTTCAGATTAAATCATCTTATATTAATTTTATAAGGTTGAATATTCCTCTTTTATACTTAACAATTAATATGAATTTTATTATGATGATTATTGATTTTAAATTTAAACTTGTAATTAAGAATTCTAATTTTAGAGGGTTTAATATTAATAACTTGCATTTCTCAATTCTTATTCTAACTCAATTATCCTTTTTCGCAATGAATCAAGTTCGAAAGAATTGTTTTTATATTAATCACTTTATCTCTAAAATATCATATATTCATTTGATAATCGCTCATAATCTTATTGATATTTTTCTTTCTCTTCTTTCAATAGTTTGAATTCTTATTAATATTAAGATTGTTATTAATTTCTCAGCATTCTAATTTCCTCTTGATATTCATTTTAGGTAGTACTGATCCTTTAATCTCTTTCATTTAAATCTTATATTAAAATTTAAATGTCTTGTTCCATCTCTGTAATTTTCCTTTTTAAAGCATCTACTTCTTAAGTGTCTGATTTTCTGCTTTCAAAACTAATTCTATATCCATTTATTTCTCTTTTGGATTTATCTACCTCTAATTTTAATTAATCAACTTGTAATTCAAATTGCCTAATTCTTTCTTACAAAAATGCTATTTAATTATCTTTTTAAGTAACTTTTTGTTCAATTGCAAACACCTATTCCTAAGTTTATGTTGCTTTGTAACGATCCTACCAAACCAAGACTTCATGTTATAATGCAGAAATTCTTTTTAAATACCCTTCAATTTCAGCATTTTGATTTTTACTCGTTTATCTCATAGATGATTATTGGATTTCTTAAATGTAGGAATCACAATTAAAATTTAATCTTTAAATTTCTTATTATTGATCTTGAATTTTGTCTTCTAGTAATTTGATTTTTCTTTTGTAGTCCTCTCTTTCACTTCTAAATTAATCTAAATCTTAACCAAACGATATTTTAGAGCTACTTTATTGTATTTGTATTTATGATGATTAGTATTATTAATGTAATAAGTTCTTGGCTTTAATGAGATCCTCCTTTTTAAAGTTAATTATTTAAGTTAATCCTTCAATTCATTGATTTCTTAACTTGGATTATAGGAGACATAAGAATTCTTCTTGACTTGGTCTTCTAACTGTTTAATTTGCATCTTCAATTAATTGACTTCATAGTCATTTGAAGAAATTCCTGTATTGCGCTCTAGTCTAAACTTATATTCATTATTTTCTTATCTAAGTTTAATTATCTCTTCCTTGTATTAATTAATTTCAAAATCATTTCCTTAGTAAACAGTAGTAACACGACTAGACCCTTTTTCAGCTTGCAATTGTTTATACTTATATTTCCATTAATCCAATTCTTTCAAATAATCAGATATCTAGTTGTTTAAGGAATTTACACTTTCCCTTAAATTTGCAATTTCTAAAATTAACGATTTTGTTACCTCTATCTTTAGCCTCGATAATCTTCTAAAAAGATGCTTAATCAGTTATAGTTATTTATTCCTAAGGGATGGAATTGGTTTGTATTCTGTAATCTTCAGTCCTTGATAAATCAATATTGAAATTTACCTTAATTGTGAATTTGTGTATTGTTGGTATTGATAATTTCTCTAAGGTGGATAAGCATCGATTCTTGAATCTGTAGTCTCTATTTTGTAATGTGTAAATCCACTCATCTTGTAGATTAATAAATTATATTAATAAATGATAATCAAATTCATTCTAATTTTGATATCTTGCTGATGTTTATTTCCGATTTTAACAAGTCATTCATCCTACTATGATGTATGATTGATTCAGATTGATATTGTTTATTAAGCAGTTAAGTAGTGCTTTTACTTTTGACAGATGGAAATTGTGTTTTCAACATTGAAGAACTTTGACATTTAGGTTTAATCTGATTAATTAAATTATTCTTACTCTGGTCATATGATCACGTAATTTTTCATATTTTTGTATTTACTCTTATTATTTTTCTAATAGGATTTGTTTTGTAAGTTCTAATCTCTTTTAGAGTTCTTAATTTTCTTCATCTATTTTTTATTATTATTTTCTTCTCAAAGGGGAATGCAACCTCTTTCCCAAAGCATTCTCACTCCATATTGAAGTGTCTGCCTTAAAGCTAAGCAATTCAACTTACATAGGCTTTCTATCTTAAATTTTGAACAGTCCAGATAGATCTGAATTGTGAGTTTTTGCCTTCTTGAATTTCTATGATATGCGAAGTTAAAAATTAGTTTTATTCATCAATTCGCTTTCTTTACTCAGATTTCTGAAATCTAGATGATTGTACTTTTAATTGTTATGTTTTACTTAGTACTGGCAAATCTTTGAAAGCATATCTTGGCTTTTTGCTAAATTTTAAGAATGAACTTATTACTCAGTTTAAATTTGATCCAATTTCTTTTTATGAAATTCATAATTTTGATTACGGAGCATCTTCTAAACCAAATTGGTTTCTACAAACCTAGCACCTTACATAAGTTATATATATTATTTAATTATTTATTTTATAATTCATTCTTATTTTTTACGACCCACTAAAAATTCTTTATGATTATCCATCTCCTCAAAATCTTAATATGTATATTAGTTTTAAGTAATCTTTTGAAATTAGAAATAACAAGTTGTATTTTTACATAATAAAATATTAGCTTTTCTATTATAATATTTTGTGGCAGCATCGGAACAAATAGCACAAAGCATATTTCAAATAATTTTATTATTTATTTATAATATATAAATTAATATTATTTTAATCAAATAACTTCTAAAATTCTCTCCATAATAAATCAAAAAAAGCCATTAATATAAAATTACCCATCACTTCCCCCTTATTGTTGCACCCCTAATACTCATAAATTCCCCTTTAAGATAAGAATATTTCTCTGATTCTTTTAGAACACCTACATTAACCATATTTAAAATGCTAAATTTTTAACCTTTTGAATACCATTTACATATGTTTAGTTACTAAATTTTCATTACCTTTTAATTGTTTGATTTAATAAATTTACTTTTTTTGACGTGACAAAATTGTGTTTAACAAATACAACTAACAAGTTATTACATCAAGGAAATAAGCAAGCTATTCTTTTTAAGAGAGATAATTATCCAGTTTGAAACTTAATTCAAAATCTTATTTAAGTCAATCCAAAATATAATCTTATAATCAAATTGTTCTAAATTATTGACTACAAATCTACCCACTTATCTTTATGAATATACTATGCAATAAGTTTAATATAGCCTTGGAATTAAGAAGTAAGGATTCTAAAGCGAATTTTATTGCCACTAACACATATACACATATGACTGATCAAATATATCAATATAAACATAAGATATTTGAATATATGGTATACTTTTTGAGCATTGAAAATCTTTGTTGTTACACATTAAAAGGTCTCATAGATATTCAAATTCTGCAGGATTGCTTTAGAAATTGATTCTATGTCAGAAGAGGATTAATGTATTGAAATTAAAAATTACACATATCAACACATCCTTATTAATAGCAATTTGAACATATTAATTATTTGATGGTAAATTTAATTTTAAGAGTCTTCATGAAAAAGCATATCGATTGGCATCAAGGAATCATATATAGTTTAATTGAAATTAATCATGATTAACAACCTGCTGATCTAATTGATCATTACATAAATAACAATGGTAACAGCATTTTTACAACATGTAATACAAAGCTGAATGGGAAAAGTTTTATTTTGATTCATTTTATTAAATAATATTGCTAAACATAAGCTCATTATTTTTATTTTTTGACTTCATTTTTGCAAGCAGATATCAACACTTCTTCTTACAATTCTTCTTATGGAATATGTACATATTTAACTGTCGATCCTCGAATGAAACTATTTCTTAAAGTCATTAATTATGGTTATTTGAGAGGATCAGACACTTCAGGATCAACTAAGTTAAAATTTAAGTTATCATCAACATAAGTGATTTATCCCTGTATTTGTAATCCATTTTTTAATTCGATTGTTACACTAACGCAGCGTTCAATTAATCCTCTAAAATAGGTTTGAAAGAATTAACTCTACATTAATTATATTAATTAATAATACTATAGCATAGTAAAACTTATTTTTCTCAGTAATATAAACTATAATTGTATTGATATTTGTTAAATAATAAAATATATATAGTTATAGTCATTAGGATACAGAGCAAATTCTTATTGGTGATTGAGAACTTTTTAGGATTGAGCTTGATCTTACTTTTTCATCATTTAAAATTGGATTAACCCACCCAATATTTTATTATCCTTTCAATTTCAAAAGTGTTTTTTGGATGTTGGTAACATTTTGATTTGGTTTGTACATACAAACAATCAGCTTTTCATTGAATTATATTTTTGAGTATCCCTATTCTAAATCAAGGTCATCAGGTTCATCCTCAATTAGAGATAATTTATGATGAACACTTAATGGTGTCATAGGGTTCAACTTGAAATTCGGAGAATAAGTAATCATTAATAATGACTTGTAATTTATAGATTTGAAATATAAAACGATATAAATTGAAAATCATATTAATGCGTAGCAAATGAAAGCAGTTAATACATCATTTTTTTAATTATCATTAATTTCAGTGGCAATCTTTCTTAAATAAAATATTTGTATAAATAATGCAAAATATAACTGATGTTTCCAAAATCATAAAAAATAGCCCACTTAACAATTCTCTATATACTTAAGACCCCAAAACTGTTTCTATCATTAATACTTTCTGGGGTATGGTTCAGACTTAAGAAGATTTTTAAATTGGATTTTTGATTGATTATTGAGTAGGATAAAACTAAAGGAAAATTATATTTTATACAATCTTAACAATTATCTTGTAGTTGATCAAAATTTAAAAATAGTATTAGTCAAGTATTGCTATCTGATAATCTATTTGAACAAACTTATAATATAAAGAATTACACTTAAATGCAAAAACATTTGTAAATTATATTGTATTATTATTAAATTATAGAGATGTAAATAGAGGATGGAAACAAAGAATTATTATAGTTACAATAAAGAAGGATAGAGTTAGAATATGAAAACTAACAACTGAAAACATAACTATTCCGTTTAGGACGTGACCTAGTGTTTAATAGTATTTATAAATTTTCTATTAAAAAGTTCATAAAGAAGAAGCGAAAGTAGAAAACTCTGATGGTGGTTGTTGGAAGGACTAAATTAAATATACATTAACTCATTCTTCAACTCAGGTTCTGGAAAGATAAGCAGAAATAAAATTCTTAGACCAACCTAAAAGATTAACTCTTTAGGTTCAAAGCAGTTGTCAAGAAAAAGAAAATCACAAAGAATTTTACCTCTTTTCTTATTCTATATTGCAAAATGATGAATTAGAAGATAACCCAAAAATTATGGCTACAGATTCAAAAATTGAAATTATTTTTGACAAGAACTAGAAAAATAATTCTCAATTGATTTAATTAAAATAATGATTACATTAATATTTTTATTGCAAAATAATGTAAACGACGTTCTTCTAAGACACTTTATGAAATATAAGGGAATTTATATATATTTATTAATAAATTTATAACGGAATGATTTCTCCAAGAATTTAAGGTTCTAGTTTCACCCCAATAAATACATCCAATGTCTTTACATCAACCATTAATGAGGATGCTTAGAATACTAGTTTTTCATCCTATCACGTGACTCCCAGATAAGGAGCTACTCCTCGATAGTTGTCTCGAATTTAAGAATATAATGAAAATGAGGACTCTAAAATAACAGACACTGATCCAGAAACATATAGAGAAGTGATTAAAGAGTTATCAACCTAACTCCAAATGGCTATATTAGAAAATAGATAATTGAAAGATAAAATTAATGTTTTAGAGGAAGAACATCATGAAAGTTTTTAAATAGTCAACACTTAAAATCATATGCTATAAGATAGCAATTTTACATTGTAGGAAAAGATTAACAATTTGTTCTCAGAAATTTAATAAATGCAACTTTAATTGGAATAGAAAGATTAAAAATTGAAAGATGTTAGAGAGAACAACTCATATTAAAATCAGTCATCTGAAAAAATGGCTCATTTAATAGATGAAAATTAGAAATTAATCAAAATTATAGAAACCCAATAATAAGAAATTCATGACTAAAAAGATGTAATAAAACAATTTGAAAAAGCTTTTTAAGACACAAAAGGTAAAGTAGAATAAGATGTTAATGAAAAATTTAATAATAAATGTAAGGAAATTGATTAATTCAAACATGAAATAGAAGGATTACAATAATAATTATAATAATATAAAGAATAGATAATGCTTTGGAGTTAGAGATATTAATCTTTGGATCAAAATTATTAAATTTAATACTAAGATTTATTTTAAAAGTTTAACATTAGTTAAAATCAACTGACTGAATTATAAAACATTTATTAAACCTTCTCAGATAATAGCTAAAGAAAAATTTAATAATTGGTTTAAGAATTAGATAATGCAAAAGTGGGTACTTTAAAAAAACAATAAAACTTAAAAGTTCAAGCCTTAGAGGATAGAATTGATGAATTGGAAGAATAATTATAGATTAAAAAGAATTAAATCTTTAAACTTAAAGAAGAATTAATGGAATATTAAAACATTTAAAAATTGACTAAGTAAAGAGACTCAGATAATATAGCAGATAAGAGAGGTATAAAATTTATTAATTTTTTAGTTGTTGAAGATTAAATATTAGAAAAATATGAATAAAGAATACAGTAATTAGAAGATAAACTTATTTAATAGGAATAGCAAATTATTGTTACATAACAACATCAACAATAGTAATAATATTAAAGCTTACCATAATAACAAATGGTTTTAGTTTAGTAATAATAATAATAATAATAATAGTAATAATAGTAATAATAGTAATAATAGTAATAATAGTAATAATAGTAATAATAATAATAATAATAATAATAGTAATATGAACATAGTTATTATGCAAGAACAAAAGAAAATAAGAAATTATAATTGTTTTCTGAAAGAAAGGATAATGTAAGAATGTATTATAGTTTTGCAAAAGAGAATTAATAGATTGAAAATAAATATCCTAGAACAGCTTTAAATTATGGAAATAATTATTGATTTGTTATAAAAAATAGTATTAACTACTAATAATATCAGTTTGATTTTGATTTCTTTATTAAGTTTTATTATGATTACGCTTTCGTAGTTACAAGACCTTTTTGTTTTTAGAAACTTACAGGTTTACTCTATTTCAATTATTTTGAATTAATTTGTGATTAATTTTCCTTATTTGATTTACTCATAATATTGATTTTTTTTGGTACTTCAACTTAATTTAATCTTTAAAGCAGATTGGTTGTGTCTAAGGTAGATTTACATCTTGAAAAGGATTCTTTAGAATTTGAAGTTTGAATTAGCCTCTTTCCATTTGGAGATATGGAATTTTCTCTAATATTTGGTTCAACTGATTAATTCCTGATTTTTTGTAAACTTTCGCTTTCTAAAGGATTATCCTATTATTCTGTTCTTGTAGTTTACAATGAATCTATTTCTTAAAAGGTTTATTAGAACTATTGAAGAATATTTGGAGTTTATCCTTATTAATGATTATCTATTTAGATATCAGCAACGTTTTAGTCTAAATAATTTTAATAGAGTAATTTATTTATGATGTCATCTTGGAAGAATTAAGTCGATTAACAAGGCTATTCTTAGAATCCAAACATAGGACTTAATAAATCTTATTTATTTTCTGATTGTTCTTTGTCAAATGAATTTAATGTTTTATTCTAGATTTTAGAATAACTTTCAGTGGAAGAATATTATTAATGTGAATGATCAAATTAACTTGGTTGTTATTATCTATTTTCTGGGGTTATGAAAACACCCTTTCCTCTCATTTCAGCCTCATCACTTAAATTAGGAGTTAAGGTATTTTTGGATGATGTTTAAATAAAGCCTTTTTTAGGGTGTGGTGTAATAAAATATTATTATGAAGGGGATAGTAATTGTTTTTATTCAAATAGGGTTGATTCAATTTTCATTAAAGAATCTTTTAATGATGTGATTTAGTTTAATACCTTAAATAGCAATTGAGATAAAATACTTCTAGTTTTTGATTATTATCTCTAGGAAATGTTTCTAGGAGTGCCTTTAATTTAAGATTTAAAATATTCTTCATTTGAATAAAAATTTATTATTATTTATATTTCTTAAGATGTGTTTCTAGGTATTAAGTTGCTAAAATGATATCATGCCCATTACTGAGCTATCCAAAAAATGACATTAAGTTGTGTAATGATTCATAATATTTAGCTTTGAAATCAGTGATTGATTATGTCAGATCCTAATTGCAATTAATGAAAATGATATACTTCAAGTAAACGTTAAGGCTGAGAAGTATATTTTATAGAGCTTGTAATAATATTTGATTCAAGTTCAGTAAGTGTAGCATTAAAAATATCACATAATTTTTCTGCGGCATTATTCATATGTCGTTAATTTTTTTATTTTAATTGAATATTATTTAATAATTAATTTTATCATACATAGAATTTACATCATAATATCTAAGTATATGTAATAACTATGGTCCCAATTGATTAACACAATTTTTGTATTATTTTAATCAGAATTTCAATATATTAATTGTAATTAATTTTTATAAGAAGAATGTAAGAGTTAATCTAAAACAATCTGAGACAAGATGTATAATCAATTGATAATTCAAATTTGAGTACTTTACAATGCTAAATTAATATAGGTGATTAATTTTCAAAGAAAGTGTAAGCCTTATTAGAATATGGATTATATGATCAAGCATTTGAAAGAGTGATGAACAATAAATAATAAATTTAGGAAAACTTTTAATTACTCATAGAACTGTAAGTTAATTTCAATATAGTAAAGAGCAAGGTTATTTAATACTTTCAAATAACACAAATTGGCTTTAGAAATAATTAAGCTCTCAAATGTGTTTGATTAATAATTGGATATGCATTAAGATCAATAAATAATCATTTTCAAATAATATTACTTAGAGACCCTGGTTGAATTGGTAGATATTCAAGAAGCATTAAAAGAAACTAAAAATATTTATAATGAATAAGTAAGAAAGGTAAAGTTAGTAAATAAACCATAGATAATATAAGATGAATTGCATTTGATAGAATCACAGAAAAGAGGCTAAATGCATTAACACAATCATCAACATCATCATGTTAATGACCCTCATCATTAATAATCAAATATGGAAATTCCTAAAGATAAACGATAGCCTCTATTCAAACTAATAGGTCGAAAAACATTTATTTTGTTATTTATTTTATTTTTAATGATTTCTTATTCATTAAAAAGGAGAAATGATATCAAATTGGTATTAGAGAAAGCCAAAATGGTATTAAGACAAATATTAAATATATGAACTTGAAATATTATAGTAATGTAATTCATCAAAATATATGCATCAATATTCTGCTTAAAATACTATTGATTACTTAATTATACAAGGTTTCATAGAATTTAATAGTGTTGGTATATAAAATTAAAATTAAGTTATGATTAAATTAATATCTAGATTTTGTACTCTGCAAAAATACTACCCTACAAAATATGTAGCACCTAATTTATGGGTCAATCAAAAATACATTCCAATTTTTAAGTAGAAAGAGTTGTCTCCAGAAGAGTAAAAATAGAAGATATACTTGCGAATGGCAAAATTAGTTCCAATCACACTATACTCTAGTTATTGGCTATTTTTTGGATCTCTAGATATCATACATACGTCAGCATTTTTAGGATTGTTTGTATTATATTTACCTTATATCTTAGTTTATGTACTCAAAATCAAGATTAACACATTTATAATAAGAAGCAAAGAAACCTGAATATATTTATATGGATAAGGATGGCAAGGAGTATGTGATTATTTATAAATTAAATGCTTCTGAACCTCAGAGTAAATGTGATGATTAGAAATTAAGAGAGATTTTCAAATTGAATGAGAATTAGGGATTATTAAAATTCAATGTTAATGATTTCACAATTGTAAATTCTGCAGCTCAACCAAAAAGTGAATATGAATTTTATAATTTATTTGTCCTTGAAAATAGCGAAGAAGAAAATATTAAAAGACCTCATAATATGTTTGAGTTGGATATTAATTAGAAATTAGTCTTAATTAAGTTTACCCAAAATGAGTATAGTGGTATGAATGAATATTTAAACGCTTTGATGAGTAAGAAATAAATTATAATAAAATGAAAAACCATCATTACTAATTAAAATGATCACGGTACTTCTTTATTAATTTCTTAATTTCATTTTTACTAGCTGTTTTAGTCATCATTGGTTTTAATTTCAATTTCATATTGCATTCAGAATATGTTTATATTTCCAATTTATTTTCTTCAATTTACCTTATATAATTTCCACTCATTAAAAGAAAGGCCCTAGTTGTTGATTTAGAAGATGGATTGCTATATTATATAATCATAAATTACAAAGGCTAAAATTCATCATTTTCTATGGATTTGCTAATTTCAAAAACGGTGTTCTCGTCAATGGATTTTGTAAACTTAGCAAATAGGAAATCTCTGGGATCCATAAAAAGGATCTTCTTATACCTTAAGTAATTAATTTATAAAGAATCATCCGAGTAATGTTATTCAAATTAATCAATGGAGGAATCCAATTTCTTTTGCAATTCTAAGTTTTTCATAAAGGCCATATATTTCTAAATAGTTGTGTTAAGAGTGTATTTGTATCTCATCTGATGAATCTAAAATTTTTCAGGAGTCTCTATATATTTAATCCAATAACTAAATTCATCTTAATTGTCCTCTAATTATTCATATCCATCATAATCATATAGAATTGAATGATATATTTCAATTGATTTATTACCTAATTCTGTTAGAATCTCCTTGTTATGAATATCGATATTAGGAGTTGTCTCAATAAATTATCTAACTGTGCTTATATCAATAGGTTATGGGATCTCTTCGATTATTTCCTATTTTTCAATTAATTATTATTTTTGTGATTGAATTTTTGTTTCCAAATCAGATGTTGCCAACTCAGTCTCGTAATCTTAAAATATTGAAAATTAATAGATACTCTCATTCTTTAACTCTTCTTTTAAATTATTCTCAATGTCTTTATCTGCATTCAATTCTACTTAATTAAACTATTGCATCTAGTAATGTGAATCAGCTGTTCTAATTTTAGTGTACTAGAAGATTGATAAGCATTTTCTAAGCAAAAGCTTAATCCATATGATGCATTAATTCATATAATGTAATTAAGATGAATTATTATTTAAAAATGTGAATCTAGATAATAAACTTGATTTAACAGAATCAGCTTAATTAAATATTATATAAAAACACTATTGTCAGAAAGTATTCCCTCTCTTCTTTAAATTTGATAGAAAAAATCTGAATTAAGTGAAATATTTACATAAAATAAAAGTTCTCAAAATGATTTGTTCTCTGGCTTTAGGTATTTGAATATAATATCTGCAGTAGCAAATTAGTAATTTTCCAAGGCAACATCCATGGCTGTTTATCCGTTATGCTATGAAAACTATAGTGAAAGAGTACATTTTGGATATTAACATCAGCACCATTCTTCAATAAGTAATCAACAATTTATGTAGCTCCACATTTAGATGCTGATATTAACATAGTGTTGCCTTCTTCATTCTAATAATTAATATCCATTGTTGCTTCCAATTTTAGGATTTCCTTTAGATCCGACAATCGATGTTCTTCAACCATAATGAATATCTTTTCTATTAATGTCTTATCCTCATTTTTTGTTTGCTAGATAATCATATTTCTGAATAATAATGAGTATGGATGCATAGATTATTATTTAACATCGCTTTATTTACTTTTTTATTGAATTTATTATGTTTCCTTATAAACAATTTATTACTCGTTTTCTTTGACAACTGATAAATTTTGAACCTTAGAGATCTGTGATTAAGATTGAATTTTGTTTGCTCCTTAAACTTGTAAATACTTTTAGGAAGGCTCTTCATAAAATTATAAATTAGTACTTCTGAATGCATTTCGAGCCACTGGTTATTGATTTTAGCTCGCATTCTTCTAAGTTTTTGTTTCGCTCTAATTTTAATAAGGTTTATTCTTACAATATTGGAAGGAGATTCGGATCTACTCTTTGTTGCTGGAGGTAAGGATAAGGTCATTAGATTGGCTTGCTTTGGTATGGTTTCTATTGTAGTTTCTCTATAATGTCTAGATTTCAACATATTCGAATTTTTTATAGAAGTATTATCCACACTATTATTTTATTGCTAATAGCAGTATTTAATAAATCGTTTTTCTTATGTATTTATTAGATGTTTGTAATCATCTTCAAACTATCCTATGCAGATATTTTCATAATTCTTATAAACTAACTATAGATATTTTTTTCGATCCTTTGTATTTGTTCTTAGAAAAAGTCTATTTATGGCCTCCAAATCTAAATTAATATAAAAATCATACGGGGTTAGCATTACAATTCATAATCTATATGGATTATTGGTTCTATATTATTATCAAATGCCATTATTTGTTCATGCAAAAGTACATTTTTTGAATCATCTGAAATTGTTGAAATAATAAATTTAATTAATTTCTCTTAACATGCTCGTGGATTCAAAAGCTTGGATGAGGATAGATATTTCAATTTCATTCCTTAATCATATGAGTAATCTTATTAGCTTTTATTTGTCAGATAACTATAATCGGATAACATACTTGAATTCTAGGAATCAAAAGGTTCTGGACATCTATAAATAAAGCTATTAATATCTAAAAATCTTGTTGTTTGAAAGTCTTACTTAACTATAAATAATAGTTACTATAATTGATTGATCAAAAAGAACTTTTGATACAAATAGCTATTAATCTAATTTTGAATCTTATCTCATTATATTTGGTATAGTCTCATTATCCTTTTATTCTTTCATTTTATTTTAATTTAAACATTTTAAAACATAATTTTAAAGATAATATCGAGTAAATTGAGCAGCTTTGTCTGAATTGAATTCATCAAAAATCTAATCATTTACATTTTGTATTTTATTCAATTTTCTAGATTATAATTATAATTACTTATTAAACATATTTTTAGAAACAAGAGAATAAATATTTGATTTCTTAGGATTTTTTATTTCTATAACTTCATTCGATTATTATTATTATCTTATTTGATCTTCTTCCATATAATGAGGAATAAAGAATTCCATCTTATTTTATTTTTGTTCTTCTGGATATTCAACAAGAACTTTTATTTTCTTTTTATTATTTACTGGAAATTACGGAGTAGTAGCACTTACTTATACCTATTTTCCTTTATCTTAAGATTTCTCTTTTATTGCTTCTATTATACTTTTCATTTTTTTAATAGATTCATCCTAATGAGTCAAAGTTATTTAGGAGCTAAATTTGGTATGTTTTTTCGGTATAGCTGATAATTACTATTGAAAGAGCATCTCTTTTGAATTAGTTAGTGATTATTACGGAAGATATTGAGTTTAAGTTTGTATGAAAATATTTGATTTAAGCATTTAAGTGTCAATTGCTGTTTTACTCTTTAGTTCTTTTTCTTCTGATCTTTCTCGATGAGTCTTTAACAATTAAATTATTTTTCTCAAAATCCTTGAACTTCTATCTTGAAATCCTTCAAGTTCATTGATCTTAATTTTACATTTAATTTGATTCCTTGCTTTAAATTATGGAAATTTTTATCCTAATATTAATTCTTCACAAAGAACATCAACAAATTTAGGCTTTTCTTGCTTAATTTCTTTTACTACTTCAAATTCCTTTACTTCAGGTTCCCACACTTGAATTGATGGTTAAGTTTTTATCCTCTAGGATTGAAATACTCCACTTGGTTTTCTACTAATAATTACAATAGATTTCTTTAATTCATTAATAACAGGTTGATCTTATTCAGTTTTCGCTCTTAATGATGAGGGCTATAATTCAGGTAATTTGATAGCGGTCTCATTTTTTCTTCTATGTTTAGTACGAGTAAAAGTTAAATAAGATACTGGTTTCTATTCGATTGATCTAGTAACTGCCGAATTAGTACTCACTTATGAAAAGGGCTTTATTAGTGATTTTACAAAGTAATTATTCTCATGTTATTTCATTTATTATAATTTATTTGAAATGATTATCATATAATTTTACACAAATCTGTAGTTATATAATTTAAATATTTTAGATGTTTGACTTAAGCTATGCAATCATAAATTTACATATATTTATGGCCTAATTTGAAATCAATTAAATTAATCGGCAAATTCATTTATAAATTACTAATTAGAAATAGGAATAGAAAATTATATATATTAAAAGTAAATGTTTATATAGGATAATCAATTTTAATTAAGATGTTATATTAAACCTAATTAACTGTTTCTGATTCATGATAACTTTATAAGGCCTTCTAGCTGATCAATAGGTATGTCTTTATAATATTGAAACATTAAAAATAACCTCTAAATTTTCTTATCAACTTTAGTGACAGTATTAAAATTCAATTCGAAATTTCTTGATAGCAAAGGTGAATTTTTTGGAAGATAAATCTGATGAAATGAAGAAAGAATGGATTTTATTTTAGTTGTGTTCAGTTTAGTCAGACCATATATCTTCACTACCTATTCCATCTGCAATTATAATCTCTTTGACATACTGTTTCCAATTCGTATCAAAACTTACTTTAGAAAAAAAGAGGTTGCTTTAACTAAACAGCCAATTAAATAAGAAGATATGATTCTAAAATGATACATTGTATGTTTTTGCTGTGATAAGATAGTTGAGGAAAATCTTATGCTATCAAATATAATTTAAAATTTAGAAATGAAATAAACTATTATAAGGAACTTTGATTGATTAACAACTACTATTGTTTATCAAGAATCAAATGAGAAATCAAAACTAGTATTTAAGTAAATGATTTAATTGATAAACCATCTGATTCTAGAATCTATAATTTGCACATTATCTCTTTAAATAATAGATATGATAATGCCATCTATTTATATGAAAAATAAATTCATTGAAATATAATGCATCAATTCTAAAATATAATTAATGAAAAAATTAATGAAAAGTCATCAACAAAAAATTGAATTTGCCCAGAGTGAAAAATTATTGCGTGATCTTGACTTGTATTAAAAAATATTTCTATAAACAAAATAAGAAAATAAAAAATAACAATCTTTAGCAATTAGAAGACTCTTACCCAATAAATAATATTCATAGCATTAATAACAATCATAATAATTATTTAATAATCCCAATCTCCAGTGTTTTAATACTTAATTTGATCAAGAAACTAGTTACTCTAACCATTAAAATTAAGTAAATATTCAAATGACTCTAGGAAAAAAAAAGAAAAAAGATTGCTATCTCGATGATTGATTGTCCAAAGATTTTCAAAATATCCAATAAAACTCAATATCCCCCCTAAAATAAATCATTATAATCTGTAACGTAGAAGATTGTTATCGTAAACCATTAAGGTAGACCATAAACCTATTATATGAAGTGATTTTATAATATATTCATAATGTACTTTAAATTCGTTTTCTAAAGTTAATTAATTTTCATGTTGTGATTATATTGAAATAAAACTAGATGTCCTTTTAGCTTATTAGTTAATTATAAAGTGTTATAAATCTCATTAAATTTCAAAATATTTATTGATAATAAAAATAATTAAGTGCTGATAATTAATAAAAAACTGATAGTAAAGTGAAAATTTTAAATAGAAATACATTTATTTATAGATAAATTGATTTTCAATTTTCTAATTCATTTTCAAATTCATCTTCTTCATAATTATCCGATTTATTGGATCTATTTTTGATTTAGTATTTAGGTTCACTTTCTGAATAATCCTCATTCTAATCATTCGAATTTTGATCTAATTAATAATCATCATCATTAATATCGTTGTCTTCAACATAATATTTTTCTTCATCATCATCTTCATGTGATTATTTTCCCTTCATTTAGTTATGAAAAACTTCCTAATACAATTATTCTCCATCTTCTTCATCTTCATCTACTTAAAGTAATTACAATTCATAAAAGTTAGGTTCAGAATAACTTCTGATTAACCCATGTTTCATTAAATAAGTTTAAGATGATTTATCGATTCCTTACTCTATTTAAGGATCATAGACCTTTTGATCCACTTCAAATAGATACAAGATTTATTCTTATTTTAATCGGAGTTGTTTAAAGAAGAAGCAATTTCGTTTTTATTATCCCTTATAATAATTTAATAATTCTTCAAGAGCATTTTCATCCTCCTATTCGTTGGAATCACAAAGTTCCTTTAAATATTTAAGTATCAAAGAACCATTCAATTTTCTAATGTTTTGGCAATCTTTAATTACCTAACTGAATAATTTAAAAATGTACTTTTAAGAGAAGATATTAATATTCAACTTATTGAAGACTCTATTATTTTTGTAGTTTTGCAATTGAATCCAGCAAAGAGAATAAATCAATATATTTGAAGCTCTAACCATTTAGTTTCTATTCCAACAATGATAAGATGTTAATAAACAATTTTGAGATACAGATTTCTAAAATTTTTGATTCAACTTTGTCATAAATAGGCCAAAAACCTATGATATTCATAAATTCTGATTTGACAATTTCATTCTATTGAGTTAAATTGATATTGACATTATAGGGATATTGTTGATTGTGTTTTTCGACTAGATATCTGGCAAATAACATAGCATCTGGTTTATCTAAGAGAAATGGTTATTTCGTTAATCTATCATGAAGGGAACTGAAATCGATAGAATTTGCAGTTTAATTAAATAGATGACGATCTAATTTCATAGCAGGTATTTATGCTGAGCTTAATCTTAGTCGTAATTCCAACCCTAAAATATTTGAATAGATAATACTTATTTCTGAAAGGTCTTATATTTTAACAGGCTCATCGATCAAGTCCATTACAGATCGATTGACACTTGAGCTTAAAATATTATTGTTATTGCTGGTGTTATTAGTATTATTGTTGATTTTAAATGATTAGTCTCTTTTGGTAGTGCTATTAAGTGATTTATCCATGAATTTTTATGGATTTGGTTTCTTGATGGTAATTTATTTTGTTTATTTTGTATTTAATGAAATTCTGTCAATGTCATTTTTAAGATCAGAGATTTATTTATCTTTTATTTTGAGTTTGTTTTTCGCCTCATTCTAATATTTATTATAGATTTTATCGAGTTCTTGATATGCTTAAACCATTTGTTGGAGTTTCTCTGATAGTGCTTTATTCTCTTCCATATAGTATTCTAATTCCTATTGCATTTATTTAATGAGTTATTCTCTCTGCATTAACATTTCTTTCAATTTGTTTTGTTCATTTTCAAATTATTTTTAATAAATATTATCAGTTATTAACTATTCTATAATTTGAGAGAGCCGTATGGTTTCATCTTAAAATGATTTACATTCAATTTCTAATTCTGTAAGTTTGGTGTATTTGGAAGTCTTCTTCATATTTTATAATTCTTATTTTGAATCATTTAGTTGTTCATTTAATTATTTGACTTGATTTTTCAAGTTTAATATCATTTAATTATCTTATGTTGGAGTTTAATAGAATCTTTTCATATTTCCTGTCTATTCCATTTCCTCAATGATATTTGTGCACTTGACTAAATCTTTCTTTGAACAATAATAAATTAAGTTTTACTTCTAAATTAACATTTTTAGTCTTTAATTTTATATTCTCGTCTCTTAATTAGTTCACTATCAACTTTAATTGATGACTCTCTTCATACAACTTTTCCCAATCCATTTTCTATGTAGAACCACTTGGCTTATTAGATTTAATTCCTATTGGTAATTTATAAGGACTAGAATACAGATTTATTCATATAACTACTTGGATGACTTGTTTTGCTCTTTATTAGTTTTCTCTTATTCCCTTGATTAGCATCCAGAGGCACTTGATGGTCTCATTTATTTTTTATTTGATCAACTAATAAAGTATAAATATTATAATTTACAGATTTATCGTAATCATTAATTAAAATCTTCTCTTCTATTACTCTATACTTTTTATTTACATTATAACCAATATCAAATAATATTATATATCAATAACGGAATCCCAAAAAAATGTGTTAACTACTTTATTTTTATATAATAATAAAATTTATTATGAATGAAATTCATAAAGGGTAATCAAATGAGGTTCCCCAATTAAAATATATCAGTTATGAAGACAAATTGGAATTCTATAGAAATGTGAGATAATGGCATAATAAATTTGTTTATTAGTAATTTGATCTGAGTGGTTTGAAAGGCATTCACTTGGATAAAAATGAAAAATTCAACGTATTGAAAGAGTAATTGACATCCTTTAATAAATAAGTAAACCTTAACATTAACTTAGTTATAATAAGCAGAAGTTAGCAAAATTACTCCTTAGAATTTTCCTTCTCGTTATAATTTTCATTCTCAGATTTTATAATTGTTAAGAGAAGCTTTGCTATCTACAAACAAAGAATAATAGGAAGAATTTATATTAAAGATATATGAATGGAATAATCAAGAATAATAAAGATCCTTAAAGAGTCGCTGTAAACATACTCAATCAGTTGATTTTAAATATGAAAGTTCTAATTTTGATGGTACAACCAATGATGAAACAAAAAGACATTTCCTAGATTTTAGTGAATAAAAGTAATTGCCTAGCTAAATTATACAAGAAAATATTAGGGATTTTAAATAACAGCAAAGAACCATTCATAAAGAAATTGATCCCCCCGATGTTAGGTATCAAAATTAAATTTATTTCAAGATTATAATCATACTCAAGAAAAACATTGATTCAATAATAATTGTAGATTTCACAATTAAAACAAGAGTCTTAATCATCCTTTTTTCCTACGTAAAACAATGTCAATAGATTTTCAATTTATGACGAATAATAACAATAGGAGAAAGATACAGAAAATGAAGAAAATAGAATGCCCATAGAACCAATCAAAGCATTTCTAAAAGATGATTAAGATATGAGTATATAAAGACAATAAAGCAAATCTTTTGAAATTCGTTAAATGTATTAATAATATTAACCATCCAACTCAGAAATTGAAGCATCATTATAATAAAGGTGGATTACCAATAGATAAAAAGAATATAAAAACTAGAAAGAAGATTAAGAATTAGTAAATTCTATGTTAAAATGGTCAAAAAATAAATCAAGAATTTAGAAGGAAGTGGATAGAAGACAAGATTCCTCCTAATTTGGAAGTAGATATTAATAATTGGATTACATTCCAGATTCTCCTTTATAAACAAAAAAGTAATATTATATCGGATATGATCCAAAAGTTATTAATTTAAAGTAACTTCCAATTATTGTGAATACTTCTAAAAATAATTCAGTTAGAACTATGATTGAAATGGAGGAATCAGTCTCAAAATAAAAAATTGAAATCACAAAAAAGAAATATACAAGTTTATTAAATTTATCAAATATTGATATTACTCCTATGAAAGCATAATAATCATTGTCTGTTTATGGTATAAGCGATTAAAAAAACAGATCAATCTCGTAAAAGAATAAAATTGCAAGTGTAATTGATGCATTTAGTCCTGAGAAGGTTTCTGAAGAACAATTAAAGGAAGTATATGAAGTACGCAAATTATTGTTATTAAATAGATTAAAAATAGAATGGCCAAACATAAGATAGTTGTGCCTCTTAAGAAAATAATGACAGGTTTAATAGCCCCTACAGTTGATAAAAATAATCTGTAAGATAAAATCCCAGATATTGGATCAATGATTATGAGCAATCCTTTTGAGGTAGCAAAGAAAACTAAAAAGAAGAAAAAGAAGAAGAAGGAATGAATTTATATACTTAATTTATAACACTTTTCATTGTTATACATAATAATCTTACAATAGAATATATGATCATTAGAGTGAAGAAATACAAAATTTTCATTCGAGATGATCAAATTTCAAATAATCTTATAATTATTATATTAAATTAAAATAGGTTTGTATGAGTCAACCTATTACTTATTCATCTTTAATATCACTTTCATTAGCTAAATTCCCCCAAGTTTATATGTACACAGATGGATTTATGAGCAATGATTTTGAATTAATTAGTTTTAATAGTGTTCATGGAAATCTATTTCATGATTTTCAAAATACGGTATTTAGAATCATACCTGTGTTAAACTTCAAATGGACTCAAAAGTTATTAAAGGAAATAGTGCAAGAAGATTTCTAGAAACTAAGTGAAATCTAAGGTAATTGATTAATAATATACAAAGTCGTAAAACAAAGAAAAGGTTAGATATAAAGTTTAAGAACTAACTTAGATGGAGAAGTTACATCTAACATTTCCTTAACTAGTAAATTGACAGGAGTCCCTCTCATATTTGGTTCATCCACTTTTATGCTGGTCCATGTAACCTCGCTCAAATTTTTAACTTTGAATGATGAGAATCCAGAAGATTTACATTTTTAATTAAAAGACTTTCCAGAAGAAGGTAGCATAATGAAATTCACTCCTTGTCTTAATTTCTAAAAATTACGAACTAACATAGTTTATAATAAAGATGCTGTTATCTTGTCAAGCACAAAAGTTGTCTGTAATCGACCCCCTTCATTATACACATTCTATAAAGGATAAGAATATAAATACAAAGAGTCAAAAGACAAACAATTAAAGAAACAATTTCAATAGGAAGTAAAGAGGAGTAAAATTATTGGAAGTATTGAATATTAAACTAGATGGAGGGTAGAGGGATATCATTGTGCAAGCAATAATGAAAAACAGTCAGAATTTGATGATTATCTTCATGTTGGAGATGTGATTGCTCTCTATCTATCAGAATTAAAATTACATGTTAATGCTCTAAAACCTTATGATCCATTCAAGAAGATATTGTAAATACTCAAAATTGAAAATCTTACTTCTGCTGAACCTTAAACTAAACAAAAAGATTAATTATTAAAATTAACAAAAACACAATAACATTTGGACAAAGAATTCAATCTAAATTAATCAGATGCTAAAATCTTAAAGAAAATATTAATTGAGGATGTAGTTGTTACATTTTAAAATTTCAATTACTTTAATAGCACTGAATCCTAAAAGAAATTATTAGATCTTCCAAATAGTTGTTTTTGGAAAATTGAAAGTGCCGATTAGATGAGTGGTGGTAGAGTAGACTGGAATAAAATTTATAGATTAAGACATTACTAAACCGGTAGATATTTACAAATTACAAAAAACGGAAATTTGGTGGATATGGAGTTAATTTCAGAACCTAATCAAAATGCATTATTTAAATTCTCCTAGATTTAGAATTCAGAAGATTCAGAAGTAACATATATTAAAAGAGATTCATTCTATTATCTATTACACATTGAGACTGGTCAATATTTGGGTATCAGTGATGAAGTAAATGAAGTAAATCCAAAGATCGAATAATTATCCAAAGAGGCTGAAGTTGAGGTTAAGTAAGCCTATTTGTCAGTAGTTCAGAATCATTATACTACATTTAGAGTAAAAAAGATAGATTTTTCAGACATGTGGGAGACATACATGTTATAATATAGTTTGCCATTCTTTTTGGAAGCTATCGATTATATTTAAAGATTACATTAAAAACATATTGTGAATAGTACTATAGCTTATAACGATGAGGATATCAAAAGTAAATTGCACTTCTATTAAATATTTTTAAAATTAGATAGAATGTTAGATATGTATTGTGAATTTGTAAACAATAAATTAATTTCTAACATCAGTGCTAAATAAGAATACTCTTATATAGTTACAAATAGATAAAATGTAGTTAGAGAATAAAACATATTTATTTTATTAGTTTGGATGTTATTTAGATGTTTTCCTAGCAGACAAATTATAGAAAAATATCCTCAGAAATTTGAAGCTATGAAGATAGATTTCATGGATGAAAAAGATTTTATATTTCGTGTTTAATCATTTCTATAAAGTAACACACTTAAACATCATCCAAGAATGCTCGTCAAATTAGAAGATGGACATAATAAAAGATAGATCTATTTGTCATACAAAGTTTACATGACAATAAAAGATTTTTGTAAAGATAACAAAAGCAATCAAAGAACTTTAATGAAATTGTTAAATATCTTTTACAATCACATAGGATTAGGAGATTAGATTGTGGATACATTGGCAAATTCTATTTCTAAAACTAAATCTATTTTATAGCAATTGCCAAAAACCATGATTAGTATGCCTTAAAAACCCAATTAAGATGAGCATCAAAACCATTCAACTTCTTAAGATAAATCTCAAGTGTAGGGTGATTAAATAAAAGTTATGGACTAATCAAATTTATCTATGACAGCTCATAACAAAAGCAAAGAAAGAGTTTCATAAAAGGAAATTGAGTTATAAAGAGAAAAAGAAAAAGAACAACAAAAACTAAAAGAATAACAAGAAAAATAAAAGGAGAAGGAGAAATAATAGAAAAACGAAAGTAATTCTCTATAAGCAATTATTTTGAAATTGCTTGAATTCCCACCTTTCTCAAAACCTGACATCATATATTTATTGGCGACTGTCTGTTAATCTTTAGAATCTCCAGTTTTTGTTAATTAAAATTTAATTTATAGAGCATTTTTTGAAAATAAATTAATTTACAATCATGCTTTTATGAAATTAACTTATAAATTTGGAGATTTATTACTTACTTGTTTAGACAAGAATGATTAACCAGTAACCATTAAATTTTTAGATTTCTTTGATGATCCAAGATTAGAAAGCGGAGCTAATTATTAACGTTAGTTCGAATACATAAAGAATGAATTGAATTTGATAGCAAATCTATGCTTAAGTAGAAATACCTTAGCATGCAAAACTTTCCAATAAACATTTTTATTCAATAAAACCTTACCATTTGTAGAGAATAGTAATTTGAAAGAAGAAATTAGAGCAGTGTTTTTAAAATTAATAAGAGTATTGTATATAGATTAAGAACCTTATTAAACATAAAAAAGACCAGAATTAGTTAGAGAAATCATTTACGATAAATCAATTTTAACAACAAAACTAATTAAATAAGATGGAGGAATATTATCTATGTTAAAAATGAATGCTAATAACTATGTATCATTTGAAGAAATCTAAAAACGTTAATTAGAACCATTAATATCAAAGGATACCATTTTATATCAGACTATGAGAGTGAAAAAATTAAAATAATAGTAGATAAACTGGGAAAGAATCTAAAAGGAACAAGCTATTGATGAGTCAGAAGTAGAAGAATCTGAAGAAGTTAAGAAATTCTTGTAATCGCTAATCAAAATATTAATTTAGCACATTTAAGAATCAGCTTAAAAATTGACTTCTTTGAAATAAGGCAGATTGATTTACAATATATTGACTTTAGAAGTTATCTAAATAGTCAAGTTAATCTTCTAATTTGGTTTTTTTAATTACGAATACATTAAACCTCCAAATTAACATACTAAGAAATCTTAAGCAATTATGAGAGAAATAGAAAAATAAATCAAAAATTCTGAAATAGAATAGATTATATAATTATTAGCATAACTATTGGAATATGATGAATAATACAATTAAGCTCTAGAAAATGCAAATGTCTAAAGAAAATATATCGAAAACAAACTTAAGAGAGATGAGAAAAAAAAGAAAAATGCATTTGATGATTTAGCTAATTTGGGTAATATAAATCTTGATATGATGAATTTATTGGATGGAGCAGAAAAATAAAAAAAAGAAAGAAAAATTATTCATCAGGATATTGAAATGGAGATAATTAATGATCCCTTATTCAGAAAAGTAAAATAATTAAAGAAAATATTAGATAAATGTTCTAATAAGACATTTTCAATTAAATAAGAAGATTAATTTACATAATATGAGGTTTAAATTAAGATGGAAATTTGTGAAATCTTTATATTAATGTTAGGAATGAGATAGGACTTCCTTATTGACAACGCAATAGATTTCTTTAAATAATAATTTGTTCCTTATCAAGTAAGTATGATTGATGAAAATCACAATTATACTGATTTGTTACCTGAATTGGGGATTGAAGTAGGAGAAGATGTTGATTCCATTTAAACAATGAAGGAGTATTGTGAAAAATTTTAGACAGTTAGAAATTTTGACATCATTCTTGATAGACCATTTTATGAAACATTGATATTATCATTGTTCTTTTCAACCAATGCAAAATTATCAAATAAAATTGTTGAATTAATCGAAAAATACTCTAGTTAAAGATATGATTTAGTCTAGAATTTAACAGAGTTATAAGTAGTTGTGTCTATGGAAACCATAGCCTTTTATAAAAAGTGGTCGAGACTTTTAAATAAATTGAAAAGAAATATCCCAAATTGTTAAGCTTGGTTATAACTAGATACTCCTTAAAAATTAAATGGAAGAAATGAAACTAATTTCTAAAAAAATCTGAAATTAGTTAAAAAGATTATTGATGTGTTTTAAGAAAATGCTGGTGATAATTAAAGAATGAAAATAAAATAAAGAATATTTAAACATGTTGGAGGATTTGATTCAATGCTTGAATTAATGTTATCCTGTATGATAATGATAATAAATAATAGACAGGTATTTACATTCAAAGAAGCACCTACTAGTTTCTCATAATATTAATAACATTTGGCTAAATTAATTTTGTAATTATTGGAATGCATACTTTAAATCATGGTATTTTTTGGTAAAAATTCTATTGAGAATTAAGAATTAGTATTTCATAAAGTGGTTCCTCATTTGACTAAATATAGGAGAAATAATTTTAATCAATCACAGTTTATTACTGATTTATTAAATGATAATCCAAAATTAACTCAACATATCAATAGAGATAGGGAAATTGAATACTTTTTTAAGTTAATCAAGAAGCATGGAAGATACACTGAATTTATAGACTTTTTTTTAATCATTTTAAAAAATGCAGAAAGTAATAAAACTGGTTAAAGCAATGTCTTATCAATGCACATAATTAACTTCGTCTTAGACAAAAAATATTTTGAATTCTGCAATGTAATTATTTTCTTAATTTGATTTTAGCCTTTCGTTCCATAGCCTAAACTCAAAGGTAAGTCATTGTTCTATTAACACAAACCTCAATCGTCCTATCTGGGAAAATTTATTATTGTAATTATAATTTAATATTCTTTAGATGTTAGCCTAATGTTTAAAAAACTATATAGGGGTGTCTTTGACTTATAGAGCTTAATAAACATTTAAATTAAATTTATTGTTAGAAAGTTTAGTTTAGATATCTTCAGAAGAAAGGGAGACAGCTTTTGAATAATTTAATTAATTAGAAGTTAAAACATGCATTTTTGAAATCATTATGGTTGTATTAGAAAGAGCAGAGAAAAAGAATTTGGAAATAATGTCATGTTCTGAGAAAATCCAAGAATTCCTTGTCCTTGAATCTTAGTTCTTAAACTCAAGGCAATAATTTTCGAATGCACAATTAATCTATCTATTTTAAAAGCAATCCCCTTTTCTTCTTTAATACTTCAAAGCCTTTTACAAAGATGCTGGTGCTAAATTATTTTAAAATGCTGAATAGTCAAAAATTGAACGCAAAAAAATTTAAGAGTATGGAAAAGCCTTCTTAAACGCTCTCAATCATATGAGCCAAAAAACCATAATGGATGATGTTCCAAAAATATCAATGGTTGAAGATTTATGTAGAGCTTTGAAAATTGATATTCCAAAATCATTTAGAAGACCAGTAAATTCTGATGATGAAATAGATGATGATGTGGAGGAATAAGAAGATGAAACTGATGACAAAGCAAAACAAATATCTATGGATGTATCAAATGAAAATACTCATTAAAAAGGTAGTTTTACAACTGGGCCACCATTAGTTAATGAAAATACTGCTAGAGCATTTTTATAAAAATTTAAATCTTTGAAAGCAAAGTAATTACAAACTGATAAAAAAGATAATGAAGATAGTGAATCAAAATAAATCAATTATTATTGGCAATTATTTGTTTCGTTGCTTTCGGATAATGAACAAGTGCATGAAGCCATTAAAGAAGAGAAATAAATATTTGCTAATAGTGTCTGGAATATAAGTTAAATGTTTTAATCAGATATCAAATCTGATTAAAAAGATTTAGTACTAAATCAAGAAGATGTTGTCAAGAATTTATTAAATTATATACAATACTGGTAAGTTAATGCAGCTGATAAAAAAAGTGTGCTTTTTATCTTTAAAGCATTAAAATAGATTTTAAAGAATCCATTTAGATCTGATGATTTGGATGAATTAAGGGAAAGATAGGAAATTTTGAATAAATTGAATGCAACTAAAATTTTAATGTAGTTATTATGGAGTGAAGATGAAAATGATCTACAATATTTAACAACTCTTCTATCCCTATTTTGCATGATGTTAAAGAAAGGTAATTTAGTAGTGTAAACCACAATTTTAGAATATTCTAAATCAAATCAGGAATGTGAAAAACTTTATTTTAAATTAAATTTGATAATTGCTAATTATATAAATTCGAATCCAGCTGAATTAAAATAGTAAGGAAAACTTCAAACAAAATTAATATGCAAAACTTTATAATTTATGTAATTATTGTGTGAAGGACACAATCTATAATTATAAGAATACCTACACTAATAAACAAATTCAAAAACATCTTATGATTTAGTTTTATAAATTGTAAAACTTTAACAATGCATAAAAATTGATAATAAAAATTATGGTATTGTGACACAATGCTTTGATACAATTACAGAAGTAATTTAAGGACCATGCAAAACAAATTAAATAGCTTTATCAAACTCTAAATTTATGGAGTATGTTGTGGATGTCCTATCAGAGAATGAAAAGTTGTTTGAGACCTAAGAAATCTAGAAAAAACAAGAAGCCAAATTGCTTGGAGTTATTTTTAAATAAGTCTAAACACAAAAGAAAGAATTTAAAAGCTTTAATTAAATGGGATAAACAAAAGAATAACAAGGAATTAAAAGAAACAAAATTATGGATCCTACTAAACCTTATAACCTTACTTTGCATTTAGCAAAATTAGCAAGACTTAAATTAAAAGCCTTGATATCATTAGTTTCTTTAGTAGAATGCTGCGATCTATAAGATAATTTAATCTTAAGAATAATTAGAGCTATCCCTATCCGAGTATTAACTAATAATATGTCAAGAGTATATTCATTATTTTAGTAATATTTTAAAGATGAATATAAAGAAGAATTGTTTGGAAGGGCAGAATAACTAATCGTATTGACAGAGGAAGAAGAAAAGTACGAATTAGTGGTAGAAATTGGGTTTTATATTTATATCCTAATGTAAATCTTTGTAGCAAGTAAAAAGGGAAAAGATATCTTGCAAGAAGATATTGAAATGAGAGAAATATTAAATGAATTTGATGTCGACAGAGCAGACGAGCAATCCACAGGCTTATTTAGCGGAATCTCTAAATTAGGAGGTTAGATGCTCTAGGTAGGATTGGGGGGACTTTAAAAATTCAAACAGGGAATAGAAGAAGTAGGTAAAACAGACGAAGATAGAAGAAAAGAGAAAGAAGCATAAGAATTAGAAGAGAAAAAGAAGAATAAGGAGTTACTAAAAAATTCTATTAGATTCTTTAAGAAAAACTCTTGTTCCATTGAAATAGTTCGAGAAGAAAAAGTTTATTAGGTTTTCTTTCCAAAATTACCCTACTGTCATTAATTACCAAAAGATTTAAAGACAGAATTTCATGATGAAGTCAATAGATCAAGTGCTAAAACTAAGTTGAATTATTTAATGACTAAATCTGAGAGCATAATTAAAACTATGAAACATGAAGAATATCTGAGAATTTTGTTTAACATTAATCCAATTTTTGGAGCTATAGCTTCTTAAGGCAAATTATGGGAACTTTGCCTATTTTTGACAACAATAGCTATCAATTTAATAATCTTGTTTAGTTATTCCTAATTTTTAGTTCCTGATCAATATTTGGATAATGATAGTAGAATTTAATATTATAGATTGTATGAACCAAGATTGTTGTGGTATGATTAATTAAGCATAACCAAACAAATTATTTTAATTTTGGGAATATTAGATTTGGCGTTTTCTTCCTTAATAGTATTTTTCTTTGCCCTTAAAAGAGCCCCCTTAAAAGTTTATCATATTTGGGTAGGATTTTTCAGCACTTAAGGATTTTTTAAGATCATAATCAGATTAATTAAAAATTCATTAGTTTCAATATTTGTGTTGTTATAGGATTTTGAAATTCTTTATTATTCTGCTTATATTCTAGCTGGAATAGTAGGATTAGCAGCTCATCCATTCTTTTTCTGTGTTCACTTGATGGATTTTTTAAAGTTAGATCAATTGAAAACCGTTGTTTAAGCTATTTGGAAACCAAAGGTAGAATTAGGCTTGGCTCTCATGTTATTAATAATTATTGAGTACTATTTTAACATCTTGGCTTGGATCGTATTTTATAATTAGTATCCTGCATCAGGAGAATCAGGATAAGAGTATTGTAATGAATTTTGGAGATGTCTTATCACAACTTTTGATTGGACTTTCAAATTTACTGGATCAATAGGGGCTCATCTACAAGATCCTGCTACTTTGGAAGAGCTATAAAAACAAGCTGTTTTATAAGGAGATGAAGACGCTTCATATGATTACGTCAATGCGGATTAAACTGCTATATATTACGAGCGATTCTTTTTTGATAATTTATTTAATATCATGTTGGTGTTCATTTTATTAAACATGATTTAGGGTATCATTATTGATACGTTTTCGTCATTAAGGGAAGATTTAGCTGAAAAAAACAAAGATATGGAATTTAAGTGTTTTGTATGTGGCTTTGATATGGAAACATTAGATAAGTCAAGTGATAGTGATAAAGGCTTTGCTTTTCATATAAAATATGAGCATCATATGTGGAATTATGTGTTTTATTTTGCTTACTTGTAATTCAAGGATCCGACAGAATATGATGGCAACGAAACTTTTGTTAGCAACAAAATGGAAAATCTTGACTTAGGTTGGTTACCAATAAAGAAAGCGAAATGCATCACAGATGAAAATTAAGAAGATAAAAAAAAGCTGGAACAATTAGATTTATTGAATAAAAAAGTATTTATAATTCAATGTTTTAGGCTGATAAAATCGAGGAAGATCTTAAAAAATAAACTGAAAAAGTAGAAAAAATTTACAAGTCCTTATTACCTGAATGAATTAAAAATTATATATTAAAATGATAACTCATTTTTTTGTTAAATTAATCAAATATTATTTTATAAACATGAAGAATTGAATTATTTTTAAAGTGGAAAAAAATGATTAAAAGAGTAATTAAGCAATACTACTAAAATTTCATAAAGCATGTCTATAAATATACACAGTAGAAATTAGATTTTTCCTTTAATAATTTATTCAAAAAGATTAATAGTAAAATTTAGAATTTGAAATTTTTGGTTAATATCGAGATACTTTTTGTTATTACCGCAAAGTCTTTAGGAGGTGTCTAACTTAGATATCTTGCGTAATTTAAAAATAATAAATTGAATTAAAAAAATTAATTACATTCTTATTTATATTCTGTTAGTTGAATTTTTTTTTTCTAAGCTAGGAAACTACTTAGATATATCTTCAAATTAATTATATTAAGTATTTGTTTTATAATTAACTCCATAATTATTTATGAATTTTAAAATGTGTTTAAATATTTCTTTAAATGAATTGAAATATCAGTTAAAATTGGTTTGTTAATCTCGATAAATCAATTTATTTTTTTTGTCCCTTTTTTTTGTTTTTAATAAATTTTTATTAAGTCTTCTTTTGGAATTATTTCATTTTTTTATAAATACTTTATCATCTTTTTATATATATATATTATTATTTAAATACATAGTTGAGCTAACATTATTATTTTTATTATCATAAAGTTATATAATCATAATTATAAGTTTGATAAAATTTCAGAAACATCAACTGGATATTTTACTAAGTTTATCTCATAAAATAACTCATCCTCGTTCACCTAAGGATATTTTAATAAAAGAAGTGTAGTTTCTAAATCTTTAAATTTTGATGATAACAACTTTAGAATTGAAATACCAGTCTTCCATAATACATTTGTTCCATTAAAAAACATCATATCCCAAATTCTTCCAACTATGTCAGGATTTAATGTTTTTGCATAAAGTGTAATAATCCATTCAAGTAAAAAATTTGAGCAATCGATGTTATATTATTTTAGTATTTGATATGTTTAAGGGATGTTTATCTTAATCAATTTTTAAAATTATTAAAAGATCACCTGAAGCAAATTAGAATCAACTAAATATATGGGAAGCAATTATGGATGTGTAATGAGACTGCTAAAAATTATAAAGGTTTGATATTCATCTAAATAAGTCAAGAGTATAGAAGCTATGTAAGTCATCCCTTAGATATAACCAATATCTGGTCGATAAACACAAAATGACTCCAATATAGATTGTAAACTTCCACTTAGAGGTCCTCCGGATTAAAAAATGTTTCGAAGACCTATGTTAAAATATTCATACTTGGAATATCAAAAGTTCTCCCTAAATCTTTCTGAATCAACTTCATAGAGCTTATTCTTCCATAATTATATTTGTCATCAATAATTATATTTTGTACTTATTCTGATAATATTTCAAATAACTCCAAAGTTATTTGATGCTTATTACCAACAATCAAAGGCCAAATAAATCTTCTTGCACTAAAAGGTATTCCAAATTCTGCTAATTAAATAACTTTAACGTCTCTTTAATACTTTTGCCAATCCTAAGCTATCTCTTGCCATATTAATTTTTATTTCTAAATTATCTTAACTCATACTTTCTCTATATCTGACTTAGAGTATTTTGAGTAATCTTTCAGATTTAGAAATTAGCAAAGATTATCATTTTGTTAAAGAGAACCTTAAATAAGCTTTTTTCTAAAAACCTGAAAAATCTGCACCAATATGCTTATTCTTATTTGGGAGCATGAGTGATTATGGACTGAATTTGAGAACTATCTTTTATTTATAATTAATAAATAATTATATTTCAAACAAGCTAAAGTCCTTTTTTTGACAGCGACATAAGTTTCAGAATCTAGCCTATATGAATAATGAATGAAATAAAGAATCTCATTCAAAGAATTTATAAACATTAACGAGCAAACAATTATAATCAAAATAAATATTGTCTTCTCTGACTGTTCGGCGTTTTACGAAGAGAATAAGATCTATTTCTAATTTACTCTAGTCTCTCCTTATATTTCCATTTATTAAAGTTTATTTAAGTGGGTAATTAAAGTGGATAGCTTTCAATATATGTCTTATGTTTTTATTCTGGTTATTTAAAATATTCTTTTTAGGCTCTCAGCCATTATTTTGGATTACCAAATGTTTTTGTCGCTTCTTATGTTGCCTCAATTCTCACCTTTTTTGTTTAATCAATTGCATTGTTTATAAAATTTTAAAATTCTAATTATTTTTCTTTATTCATTGGAACATTTTTCATTTCATCTAATTTGAATTTAGTTTTTGTTTATCTCTCGCTTGTAATAAAGGAATCATTGAAGTATTTTTAGCAATAGTCTCTGAAGGTTATATCTGGAAGGCAAGATCTAGTTCTCATTTTAATTTTTAATAAATTATTTTGATTGTAAATTGTGAAATTAGATGATATTTGTATTAATTTAGAGAAATTTAGTAATTTTCAAAATCTTCAACATTTATTAATCTCTTGAATGATAAGAAATTACAATTCGGCTATGTATCTATTTCAGGATAATTAAATTTGTATGGAATAATAATATTTTCATTAATATATATATAAAATCAGATTGCCTTTAACTTAAAGTCTAAAATTTCAGCCAATTTTGATTCTTCAATTTTTTTAAAGTAAGGGCGTTATTCGTCTTATATTTAACCTTTAACTAAATCTATCAAAAAAATAGCAAAAATCTATTAATTTGCAATATTTTGCTTTTATTCAATAAAACTTCCATTTCTTTAGCTAGTTTATTCATAATTAAAAGACTATATTAAAGATTTTTATTACATTGCTCTTAATTTAGGAATTAGTTCGCATACTTGATTTCACTTATCCTAAATCCATTGAAATTTATTTTGCTATCATAATCAACACATTGTCTATGTATTATTCCTCTATAATTTCATGTGAGCCTAATTCTTCGTGCTAAGAATTTGTCTAAAATATCATATATTAATTTACAGTCTATTTAATGAATCTGAACTACGATAAAAGTTCATCGTAATCTTTTTACAAAATTTTAACTATCTCATTTTTATTCTTAGACATTATCCATTATCTATCACTGTTTTAGCAAATGTCAATCATTTCATTTATATATTTAATGGCTTTCTTAATTAAAAAAATCATGCAAATTTCGGTTTTAATTTTCGCTGACCAGCTTTCAAGTTATTCAATTCTAATAATTCCTTAAATTAAAATATTAAATTTATATCGAAGTTCAAATAGTTAGGTTTAGATTTATTTAATCACATTTGGTTAACCATTTAGATTATTAATTTATTAATTTGAATTTGTTTATTATTGTGATTATTACTATTATTATTATTATTATTATTATTATATGGATACTTGATATGATGATATATTGGAGTCCTTTTCTACAGTCTTAGTAAATAATGAAATATTATCATTTTCTTTATTGGCTTTAGTATTTTCTTTATCTTATAAATTATTTCTTCTTTTGATCAACTCGTTCGGACTTGTGGTTATTTAATTTTGTATAGATTATTAAGAAATGTAAAAGTTTTATTATCCTACTGTCTCAAACTATTGCACTTAGGAATTTATTTGGTAATTTGATGCAAAATTTGTATTAATAGAATTCACAAGTCCAGATGTTGATGGTACTTGATCCTCATGAAATAACTTTTACCATTCAATTCTTTTTTATTAATCAATTTAAAGCATTCCGTTTAAAATGTAATTTGTATTTTCTGATAAATCCTCAATAATAGGATTAAAATCTTAAGAACGATATAACTCTACTAATTATTCTTATGCAATATTTTCAGGAAATGGAAGTGTTCCAAAAAACATCTTATAAAACACTAATCCTAGTGAAAAAATATCGCATTTATCCTCATATTAAGATTATTAAGTCTTTAATAAAATTTCAGGAGCAGCGTATAAATAATTCTCTAATCAATTCATATATTATGATACCTGGATCGAATATCTTTTAGCTTGTGGATGATTTACAGCAAAAGAAGTTCTTAATTTTAATAATGCCATCATTAAAAAATAAATTTTCAGGGTTGATATTTCTGTGAATTATTTTTTCATGGTTTAAAGTCTTAAACCCTCTATATTATATTAATAATATTTACTTAAAAATATTTGTGATAATTTGTCTGCCTTCATATTCACTTAACCGACCTTTTTCCTATAAATAATTGGCCAACGACCCTCCATTTAGATGTTCATAGACTAGATAGATGTTATTTGATGATTTAAGCATCTTGATCATTCTTACTATGTGTTGATCTTCCAATTTTTTCAAAGCTTAAATTTCATTTATTATCATTTCTTTTAAGAGAGAATCATTTAAGAATCTATCTAATTTTATAGTTTTGACAGCAACTGCTTCTTTTGAAATTAAATTGCGACCTTTGTGTATTTCACCATAGGTTCCTTATCCAATTGCTTCAATTAGTATATAATTATCTATAATTTTTGCCATTTAATATTCAAATTATTTATATAAATTAACAGCTACACATATTAAATATTAATTATTATTGTTTATGTAAATCATATTGATTAGATCAGAAGTTTTCATATTCATAATCATACTCCATAGGAGGTTGCTATTACATTTGAGGAGCATCAATAGTATGAATTGGATTTAATTATTTGTAGTATCTCAAGGCAACCTCATGATTACCTATTGAATTGTAATGTCTAACGAGATCTTAAATTTGCTTCTATTTCTGCATGTCTTGCGCCTTAATAAATAATAATTTAATTACAATATTCTGAAATTCATGTAAATGTTAATATTCTCTTTATAATTTTTACTTTTTTATCAATTCTTTTTATTCCTAATATTCCTTCCTAAGATAGAAATAGTTTAATACTGTTTTTCTTTTTCGTCATCAAAAGTTTGCATTTCTAATTCAGCTTATTGTATTTTTTCTTTAAGTTGTTCCTTTTCAAACCATGCTTTAAAATTATAGAATTTTTAAGATGGAAACGTTGCTGTGTTATAGCACTCCACATACTCTTCAAAATATTTCTTTTCTTCTTGAGGTGTAATTGCCTCTACATTTAGCATTTTGACATCTGATAACCACATTAAAAACTCTTCACGTTTTATATACATATCTGTATTACTTTAATATTAAAAATACTAAACCTGATAGTCCCATATTTGCCCCATTAATTCTTTCTTGGTTTCTTCTTTATGATATCATTCTTTTATTATTTTTCTTTTTTTATGTGCTTTTCTTTTTTATCTTTCTTCTCCTTCTTCACCTTTTTTTCCTTCTTTTTATCCTTGCTTGATGATCTCTAATCGAATAAACTTAATACTATACTTATTTATCTTTAGCTTTATCTTTCCCCATTTCTTAAAAAATATTCGATAATATATATAATAATAATACTAAGATTTATATATTTACAATATATACAAAAAATAATATTTATAATCCATTTGCTCTTTACAATATTTCTTGGATTATTAATATTATCTTATTTATCAAATCAATTTTTTAATTTTTATAAGGTTTAAAGTACATGTTAGCCAAATTAAGTATTAAGCGAATTACTTTCTGGATGTATTTTTAATAATTAACTATAATCAAGTTATTTACAAAAATTTTAGATGACATAATTCCCATAACAATTGTTTGATAACCTATAAAAAATATTCATATTGTTTATGAACACTTTCAAGATCTCTTTCCTCATAAAAGAAGAAATATTGACACTTTTATCAACCACATTACTATTTTAATGACAGCCATATTTACCTTCCAAATTTATCACAACTAAGTTTTTCTAAATCATTAATAATGGTGCTTTATATCTACTAAACAACCTCAAATGGTCCTTTCTATAGCAAAATCTAAATCATATAATTTCCATATTGAGATAAACATAATTCATCCTATAAATCTAATAATTCTTTATATATGCTGTTTAAATAATATAATAATATTAAGTAATAGATATACCTATGGAGTAGCTGACTATTCTAAAATTTATTAAATCAATCTGCAACCATGAGAGTCATTAGACAGCTTTTAAATCTACCCTAGAACTCCTTCAATAAGCCAATCGATTTTCTATGATTTCATCAATTCTGCTATTTTTTATATAACATGATTTCCGTTGATATCTACAACAAGATTTCTTATTTAGGATTAAAGAATAGAAAACATCTATTCGAATTTATCAGTATTATAAGAAATTTCTAATAATTTCTGAGCCACTCTACATCCATAAGTATTGTAACTTAATAATAAAATAGATTAAGCTAGTTGATCAAAGATTAACTATCTTTGTTTTTCATTGCCTTATTCTAAAATTCTTTGTACAACATAATTCCCAAAGATATCATTGGCCAATTAGACTATACCTGGTAATATTTAAAAAAATATATATTCTTTTTATTCGTCATCTCCTTTTTCAAAGAGGCTCTAGATTTTTCTGCTATTTTATTGGTCTTTGCATTTAAGAATCTAAGCTATGTCAATGTAATACTAAATCTCCATCAAGGTAAGAATCTTCATCCAATGAAAATGGTTGTATTGCCCAACAGTCTAGTTTAAATCCAATAATTGGACTTTAAATTTTCTTTATTGAATATCTATTTAGCTGAAAGTAGATTACTGTTACTATCGCATTATTTAAGGAGAATAAGTCCTGTTGGTTTCAGATCTTGTCATTGATGGTGAAAACGATCTCTCTTCATCACTTTCAAGAGCTGTAATTCTATTTACTAAATGGTACCATTCAGAATGGAATCAATAATTTCTTAATCTTCTTCAGGATCCATGTAATTAGTCATTAATTCTAATTTTACTATTATATTGGATATCTTAATTTATTATTATTAGTAGATATTTAATATCAGGATAACTTTAAATAGTGTATAAACACAATAAAGATTCCTCATTTAATTTTATCCATTGTATGAATCATATATAATTTTTGTTAATAAATTAATTAAACATATAAAATGGCCACTTAACCTTTGTTAGAGACATTGCCCAAAGACTTCCACAAAATGCCTCCAAATTATGACTTTTCCCATAAAGGTATTCAGCAATTAAATTAAAGGAATCAATTGGAAAGATTACGAGAAAGATTTTGTATTAAGAACTGATGCAGTATGGGAAAAAGATTAATTAAAGGATTGGTTCAGATTATATACAAAAGTATACAATTTTACAATTCTAGTGTTTTTACTTTGACACCACCGCAAATAAATACTCTTTGATGGAGCCAGACGATGTTTATACTATTCTGTTTGAAGGATGTAATTCATAATTTTTTAATCCAATTTAGGGGCTTTGGAAGATTGTTTGTTTCCCTTCAGAGGTACTACTCCAACAGGAAGAACTAATTGTTTCCAAGTTGGATTACCACCTAAATAAAAAGTGTATGTTCCTTATCCAACATATCAATCACAATAAGATTACTTTACTTTATGTGCTTTAAGATTTTAGAAGTGGTTTGATTGTGATTAAGCTGAGCATTTTAAAATGGATAAGACTGAAGCCGATTATTTGAAAAGAGCCAAAGTATATCCATGCTATGCAATGTTTTATGAAGCAGCATATGCTTGCACTGTAATTCATAAACTCAAATCTTTAGGACGATATGTTTGATTTCCTCATGGAGTTAGCATATACAAGAAGATCAAATAGAACATTTGAATATAATCATTTCCAACATGAGATGCGTCGCCCTCCAACTATTTATGATTCTCCTAAAAATGCGGAGAGAATTAAAAAAACATATTGAAATATCATTAGTAAAATTAAAAAAAAATCATTATAAAATCCTATAATACAGTTATAAGAGACATGAAATATTGAATCAAAATATAATCTTATGTCCTGGTATTATTTGAGGTGTAAAGAATAATTCCTTAAGATCTCTTACCTAGTCTACCATTCCAATCTAATTGAAGATTAATTTTTTCATCTCTAGAATATGATTTTATACATATTTTTTATCTAGAATTCATTTTCCCTTAATTACTTATTAATCTCCAATTTGTTTTAGATCCTTTAATTCAGTCTCACCCTATTTACAATATGTATTTATTATTCCAGTTTTAAAGGAAAATCCTCTTAAATGATAAAATGGCTTGACAAAATTTTATGAATTTAATTAATAAATAAATTAAAGCAATTTATTAAATGTCAATAAATAATTTAAGTTGGGAATAAGTAGAAAATCCTTCTAAAACAAAATTTAAACAACTTTATTTAAATAAATATAGAATTAAACTAGGTTTATTTTCAAATCATAAAGAATAATTGCCAAAATCAGTACTTATATTAAGTAATTCTTTAGAAACCCAAACATAGAAATATTTCAATTAAAGAATTAGATCATCTCATTAAACCTGAAATGATAAAGGCTAAAATGATGCCAGATAATTAAAAGGTACTAACAGCCTAACTATTAAACAAAATTACATAAAAATAATTAGAATAAGAATATTTTTGTCAATTTCCTGAAATTGCATAAAAAAAAGAAACAAAAAAGAAAAGATCTAAAACTGAACAACATCAGAATAATTAATATAATAAATTACAAAAAACATTTGCTAGAACTGCTTATTTGATTGTAATATGATATATGCGCTATCATTATTTAGTAACTTATTTCATGCTGTTGATGCTTTATTCAATTAATTTAACCATTGCAATAATATCATCAAGTAATTCATTTCTATACATTGCTTCAATTTTTAATTTAGGTCCGCACTTAAAACATTCTTTATTATATCCTTTTTTGCATTCAAAACAATAAGAATGCCCACATGGAATTATAGTAACAGGTTACTTGATGAATTTGTTACAAAATGTACATGATAAATTCTTTTATATATCTTTCTAAGAAATATTAATAAGAATATTAATACATCAGTTTTTTCTAATAATGTAATTGTGTCTGTAATTTATTTTGTATTTTTGGGTTTTGATAACTGTTCTTTCAATGATTCTAATTACGTATTCAAATTATTTATATCAGATTAATTGTTTTGATTTTGCTAGTCTAGCAGTTATTTTTGATTTCTTAATGATTCTAATTATTATAATTTATCCTGTAACTATTATTATAATTCTTGTTGTCTTTGCTTTAATTTTTCAAGTTGACTATTTAATTCTATGGAATTTTTGGATTATTCATCAATTTTTTGTCTCAATTAACTAATTTCTTTCTACATAGTTAATAATCATACATCTTTTGTTTTAGATAATTCGGAAAGTTATAATTTCAAACTTAAAATTTGTTCATTTAATTTCGAATTTTGATCATTTTGATCTTTAGATTTCTTTAAATTTTCCATGATTGCAAGCTTTTCTTATTCTAATTATTTGATTTATATCAATGAAGCTGATATCTCTTTATTCAAAGTCTATTCTTTTAATTAACTATCATTCCTATATTAATCATATTATTTCTTTATATTGTTTTTTTCATTAACCTCCTTCTCGATATTTTTTTAGATGTCAGTAATTTAATGTTCCATTTTACTTTACAAATCCTTAAATATTAACATTAATTTAATACTTCAGCTTTATGAAGTTGATCTTTTAACTTCTTAAATTCTTCATTACTTTCTTCTTTACTTTTTAATTTTTCTTAATACTGAGATATTTATTAATTTAAAGATTCTATTTACTGTAATAATTCTTATTCTTTTGCCTACGCTTATTTAATACTAATTTCTAACGAATTAATTTTCTCTCTATCTTTTTCAGCTTATAAATTTACTTTAGATGAATCACCTGCCTACTTTAATCTTAATTATATTGCTTAATAGCTAGCCTATAATTCTTAGAGTTATTTAGATTTCTCTTCATTTTAGATTTTTTCTTTAACTAACTCTTATTTCATTGACTCAAAGCCTTTTTCAATTGATATAATCATATCATTTCTTTATTCAATGTCTTTCTTATGCATTTCTAGCTTTGTATCAATTTGTCTTAATAATTATGACTCAGTCACAGGGGTTTATTTCTATTTTTTATTTAAAGATTCTGAAACAGTAGTATTACTACTAATGATATAGGTGTTGCTTCCAAATTTCAACTTTCTCTAAATAGTGTGCAATCGCCCAGGGTAAGAATCCTCCTCATCAATTGATGGTCTATTATTAATTTATGGTAAAGGCTTAATTGTACTTCTCATTTTAATAAATTTAATTATAAAATTATATACAATAGGAGTCAAAATAAACGTATTTAATAAATTATGTTTTATGATGATCCTACTAGAGTTTTCAAATAAAAAATTGTGAAGTCTATTTTAAGTAAATATCAATTTTATTCTCATAAGTAGAAACAATTATTGTGACTCATTTCTATTGGCAAATATTCATAATACTATATAGTACCAAAAAGGATAATAAAATACATTGAAGAACTATTTCTAAGTTAGCTTATATAGTGCAAAGTGATTTCTCAACTTAATTAAATAATATTAAGTTATTGTTAAGACTTTATAATGAAGATAATAGATATATATTATAAGCTGATTGAGTATTGTCATCTATTTAACTCATTAGTCATTAATAATTTAGATTTACTATGATGAGTAAATAAATATTTATTATTTAATTTTTAAAAGTGTTTTAATATGAGATAAGAATAATTAGAATAGCTATTAAATCTGAAATA